GGCCATTATCTCCGTAACCGTTCAACTTTGGACATAGGTGTTTTGGGTTATATCGGCATACTTTAACATAAGGAACACCCTCCCGAAGTTTGGCACATTCCTCCTGGGACACCCTGTATAAACTATGGGTAGGGGTCATGTGATATGTATTTACTGTTGGTCAATGTCGGTCCCTCAGCTATATAAGTGAGCCAAGTTCCTAAGCTGGAAGTTATGAGAGAAACAGTAGCAGCAGAAGCACACAAGCAAGCGAATTGGAACTAGTAAGTGACGGAGTGTGTAATTTAGTGACAGTGTTATAGTTCCTGTGTTTTAATTGTGGAACCAGAAGAGGACCAGTGTGTGTGTGTAAATCAGCAAGAGCACTGTATTTAAGTGTAATTAAGAGAGTGTGTGTAACATAAGTGCTAATAAATCCAATCATCAGAACTAGAACCCATCATTTTCGTCAGACATACCACCCTACATATGACAATAAATATATACACATACATGAAACCACAGTGCCCGATTGGCAAGATCTATATCTCAGAAACTAATATAAACTAATAAGTGTTTGTTTCAGTGAGGAAAAGTCAGAAAAACTCTTACTACAATGTGAACTGGAAAGTTCCCGGACTAGGTCAAAAAAGAAATTCTGGCCTAACTCTCTAAATTTTGGCTGCCATTTCCTTCAAAATAGTCTCCTTGGGAATGTATACAGCGATCCCATCGTTTTCTCCACGCTTCAAAAGCACTGTGGAAGTCAAGTACTGCTTGCAGTTCTCTTTGGATGTCAGACACTGTTTCAAAATGTCATCCATTCTGCTTCATTTTCAATTTGGGAAACAAAGCGAAATGACAGGGGGCTAAGTTCAGCAAGTAGGGAGGATGGAGAACGATAACCAAGTTGTTGTTAGTCACAAAATCTGTGATTTTCAGAGACGTGTGGGTGGACGCATTGTCGTGATGAGGGAGCCACTTGTGGTTGCACCAAAGTTCCAGTCTTTTCCGCCTTACATTTTCTCTCACACGTCTTGAAACATCACAGTAAAAGTCAGAGTTGATCGTCATGTTAAGAGAAACAAATTGAGGATACACAAACCCCTTCACATCAAAAAAACAATGAGAACGGTCCTTGTTGAACTCCGGACCTGCCGCGCCTTTTTGCTCTTGGTGATTGTGGACTCTTCCACTGTCATGACTGTTGCTCTGTTTCTGGATCATAACTACGAGTATAAATCCAATTTTCAGCACCTGTTATGATCCTAGAGATATTACTAAAGTTGGGTCCTTGTTAGCCTTCTGTTGTAGATCAAGACACACTCCGCTGCTTTTGATTTGTCAACAGTCGGGGAACAAACTTCACGGAAATGCAGCCAGGCTTGTGGAAGTGTGACCTTGGCCTCCCTTCTCATCTTCTTTCACTGAGGCAGGTACAACAACAGTCCAGGAACCTTCCAATAGCTGTTACATGTGTGGATTCAAGTCCAAGTAAATTCCATTTTCCATAAGAATAGTTTAATAGTTAAGCACATGACAACTTTACCGTTTACCTGCCTAGAAGTCATAGCACTTTTCGATAATTATATATGTTTCTATCAACTTTATTTTAGGGCCGCACCATAGCTCAAGCAGTTAGTAGCTGGCTTCCCACTGCGGCGGACCGGGTTCCATCCTGGGTCTGGTCAAGTGGGATTTGTGGTCGACAAAGTGGCACTGGGGCAAGTTTTCTCCGAGTACTTCAGTTTCCCTTGCCAATCTTCATTCCACCAATTGCTCCACAATCACCCTCACCTATCATCTGGGGCTGGTACAATAGGCAGTCCAAGGGACTTGGTCCCACCCCACTAGCAATAAAAAAAAATATTTTAAGCTCTCTTATTAAATACTGCAATATATATGAGCAACTACACACAGGGTTTGGATTGGTAACTGGATTTATTGAACACTTACAGATCATAACTACAAATAACTATAATGCTAATGCTAATTCAAACACTGCAGTTCCACTACAGCACACACGCAAGTCTTCTCAGCCTGCTGTCTTCACCAACTTTCTGGCTTTCCCTGGGTTCCCGCACTGTCCCTGTGACTCAGCTACAAGCTTCTAACACCAACAGCTCACAAGGACTGAACCACAGCAGTCCTCTAACTCATTCACTCACCAACCAGTTCACTCCACTCCACTCCACTCTATCCACTACACTAACTTCCAGGCTGGCAACCAACTCACACCAACCTCCTAATCTTCTCACTGCTGTCTCAAGATTCTCTTCTACAAGCAGCTGGCCCCATTACAGCCTCAGCATGCATCACACATAGAACACTGCTTCCAACAGCTATTCTATTGTTGCACACATGTTTGTTCCAGCCATTACCTAGCAACCATCATTGTTTACAGAGCCATTACTTAGCAACGGCTATAGTATAGCTGCTTATTTCACGGTTGTTGCCTAGCAACAGGTCTACATGCCACAGTATTATTTACCATTTCCTCCCTCAAGTTAAATGTTCTATATCAGCATGCTTAACAGTTAAAATTACTATTTGTTTAACATGACAGTGATTTAATTGGCTCAAATTATGCACCATCAATTTATAATAAAATGAGTAAATAGTGAACTGGAAATGATTTGGAAGGAAGTGGTTGTAGCCTAATTTGAGTTACTTGTTTTCTGCCTGGAGGGACTGAAAAAAACCAAGAACTTGTCACAACAGAGGGTCTCTAGGTTGTGATTTGAAACCAGGACATCCCACAAATATGAAGTAGGACTGATACCCTTGATCAAGACAATTTAATAGCAGCAATGCTACTTCCAGAATCCTTTATATTACTGGTATGAGAGGATATCCCAAAATGTCATACTAGTGATAATATCACTCCAAAATCATGAAATAAGTATTTTATTTATTCTACCATGATCACTTAAAACCTGAGTACACTTACATGTGCCTTCACAGGATAACAGCTGACCTTTTGCGACATCGTCACCTGTATGGCACTGAAGTCTCTACACTCTCAAGTGACATAAAGCAAATGAATAAATGCTACATGAACCTAATTTGGAGGCTTCTGAATACCTCAGATAAAATACTAAAATATATAAGAATAAGATCAGGCAGGCGGGTTTAAGAGTAACGCTCTAGACTTATATCCGGGAGTTACTTGGTACACATATCAGCTGTGACACTGACTATCCTGACTGAGGTTTCTCATGTTCTCCCTAGTTTCTCTAGGCAACTGTTAAGACAGTACCTCATCTAGGCCATGACTGCTTCTGTTCAAAACCTTTCCAAGTCATAATTCACCAATCATCCCATCATTCAATGCTACAATTTGAAATACTGGCAGCCGCATAAAATACACAATAATAACACTCACAAAACACTGATAAGCTGTCGCTCCAATTCGGTAAGCTGGGAGACTGTGCAGTATGCAAAGCCCCAGTCTGAAATTCTTCAGATAGCACAGTGCCATGGACAGGAACACATTGTCTTCTGGGATGTAATGTCACATAATCTGATTAACTGTTACTGATGTTTGAAAGAAAACTCCTGTCTCTATCTTCAGGCAAAAACATAAACATGGAGAAAATAGTATGGATATAGGCAGGACTCTGCACAAGCCACAGGGGTAAGAACAGTGTAATGAACAATGGCCCTTTCAAGGGGCATTTCCCACTGACAGAGAAGAGGAATATTAAACACATTCTCAAAATTTACCTTGCCAGATCTAGCTGTCATGAAGGAGAGTGTGGCTTCTTCCTCAGCCTCTTGCATTTTTCTTCGAACACCTCTTCTCTTGTCCACAATCTCACGGATTGTTTTGACAAGTGGATTAAGTTTAGAAGGCCCTAGTGGAGGCTGTGGTGGACCCATTTTTTCAGAAAAATCACAGGAGTACAGAACATTATCCACCGTTGTTCCATGTTCACTGTAGTTCAAAAGCTCATAATGTTTTGTTGTCTATAAGAAAAATTACAGGCTGTTAACAATTTCCAAGCTTAAAAATACAAACAAGATGACAAACCGATGTCTTCAAACTTATAATATTGTTCACTCTGTACAAACTGTAAAGAAGTCAATATCCAGGTCTTAGTTGCAACACTGAAGTACCAGCTTTCTTCTTAAAGGTAAGAATGTGCATTGTACTCTCACAGTACAGAACCAGATCCAGTTTCCGAAACATCATGTTTTCAATTCTCTAGAATACTGGACAATGGAAAATGTCCAAAAACCCAGTAATCCTGTGTTATACACCACTGTCAGAACCCTTCAGAATATAGTTTTATAATTTTTAACCTTCAAACAATTATAAACGAGCTGAAAAGGCAACTTTCTTTCACAGAACATAATTTCAATAACTTATTCTAAGTAGGAACATAATCTGTTTACATTCATTTCAAAGTAGTTCAATAATGGTACTTTCAAAAATAAAGAAATTACTCTTGATATTCATGCCCCACAAATGTGGTCGCCAATGAATTTGAAGTATAGCCATGCTTCTGACAGGCAAATGTTTACCCTATTATTAAAAATGCTGAGTCCCTTATGACCTGACTTAGTGAAAGTATTAAGTTCATGCAGAATGCATACAATGATGGCTTCTATTTATATAAATACAGGGAGTTTATCTGAGAGCCTCTTGCATATCTTTTGTCTAATCCAGTGAAAAGGACACACACCAATCATGTCAACCCACGCCACACACACAGACTTGTGGCATGGCAGATTGGTCAAAGCCTATATGCATTACAATCCCTCTTCAATATCACACCGATAAATCCTTGAACATCTATTGTATGCTATGCTATGTTAATGTAATTCTAAACCACTGCTACAGCAAATTAGTTGCCTTACTTCATGCATCAAAAAGGCACATGAGAGTTATACACTGAAACTTTGTGTTCATATACTGTACCCATGTTGAAAGTAAGAGAATTCTGTTACAGTTACAAACAACATAAAAAAACATTCGCACAATTGTTAAGTAAGTTCAGACAAATGGTGTCATTCCTGAACAAAAAAGAACTGAATCAAATGAAAAAGCTAAATAGTTTCGTTCAGTGTGTGACTGGTTAAGATTTTCTTATTTCAATTATTCACACCCTTACATGTTTCGGTCTTCAGAGACCATCTTCAGAGGGATACCTTTACATCAATACAGTTAGAAGCCACTATTACAGTACATGTTCTAAAAGTTAAAATATATACATACAATATAAATAATATACAATTGGCTGTAAAATCTAAAGTTTTTACAACTACAGCGGCTGTTCCAATACTTTAAAATATTTAGTTAGTTTGTTAAAATCCTATTGGAATTCGTAAACCAAGCTGGTTCGTGTCATCCCTCTTATTATTTCTTTTGACGGGGGCCAAATGTGTGCCACCTTGTCGTTCTCAAGAAGAGGGTTCTGCAAATATATTATGGGTATACTGTATTATTTCATCAATCCTATTATGTTTTGTAAAAACTTTTATTTCATCCTACCTTTAATGTTGTCCTGTATGTGTTTGTGGCCCGCTGTGTTGTTTTTACTGTTCTAGGTTGTGCTGTACAGCATATTTATACTCCTTGTGTCTGTGATGTTAGTGTGGGTGTGTACTGATGTTGTATTATGAGGTCGAACATATTATACTGGTTGTCATTTTCCTCTGTGTGTTTTTGCTCTTCATCAATTTGTTGAGCTTATTAAAGAGATATATACGGAAATTTTCTTTTACATTCATGATGCTCCCTTTTTTTTTGGCATGGAAATGGTTGAGAATGCCAAAGAAGGGAGCATCATGAATATAAAAGAATGAAAAGAAAATTAATAATATATTTGCAGAACCCTCTTCTCGAGAACGACAAGGTGGCACACATTTGGCCCCGTCAAAAGAAATAATAAGAGGGACGACACAAACCAGCTTGGTTTACGAATTCCAATATATTTTAAAGTATTGGGACAGCCGCTGTAGTTGTAAAAACTTTAGATTTTACAGCCAATTGTATATTATTTATATTGAATGTATATATTTTAACTTTTAGAACATGTACTGTAATAGTGGCTTCTAACTGTATTGATGTAAAGGTGTCCCTCTGAAGATGGTCTCTGAAGACCGAAACATGCAAGGACGTGAATAATTGAAATAAGAAAATCTTACCCAGTCACAGTGAACGGAACTGTTTAGCTTTTACATTATATTAGTGTGATGGACCAGAATGAAACAAATCAAATTAACTGAATCAAAGTTTTGAATACTCAATGAAGAGAAACTTAATAAAATTGAACTAGGCTTGAACATTCCACTGAATATCCCTTTGATGCCATACACAGCAGACCAGAGTTAACCTTTCAAAGTAGGGCATTTAATCACCCACCTAGATCATTATGCAGGAGCAGAACTGAACGGTGTTAAGATTTTATTTTAGGAAGGGGGGAAAATGACATGCATTTTGAAGTGACATAACTTCCATGGTTTTCTTTCAATTGGAATGAAATTTGGAATGCTTGTTTCCTACAGACTCTAGATAATATACATGCATTTCATTACCTCAGATTTTTTGTGTGGCAGGCCACAAAACACCCACTGATGCACAAATCAACAACATACTCCTGACAACAATAAATAGTCTCCCTTCATTTGTCAAGCTTACTGCAGACCATGCTCATCTTGTTGGCTTCGATTTATTGTCTGTGGCAGGTATTCTTCAAGGAAAATGCTGTTTTATAAGTCTCTTTACAGTTACCCTCACCTTTTCAACCTGGCTGTTTATGCTGCATGGATGCTTCACCAGCAATCCCTAAATCTATTTTTAATTTCAAATGGTCAACTTTCTGACCTAAATTATCTCTATATAATGAGGCAATTGAGAACTGTGACAGAAGTCTCCTGAACAATATCACTTACCATTTATTCTCCCCACCCCACTACCTCTCCCTCTCCACCACTAGGTATATTAGCAGCAGCTAGTCAAACACACATACACACACACACACACACAGATGTATATTTTTCTTTCCCCCTCTCTGTTATGATCTTGAGTTCTACAGTATATAATTCAATACCATTCATTTCTCATCACTCTACCTAAGAACACACACAGGACCATCATGATGCACAATAACCTCATCCTTCTGTATTTTTCTTCTACTTTCTTAGGCACATTCTTCCTGTTTATTTTCATGGTAAACATACAACTGATGTCGCACAACTTCAGAAATGTTACCAGAACTTGAAAATTAACAAGCCATATCACAGTCTTTGTTGAGAAGGGTGTCAGAGATTTTTGAAATAACTGCTGTTTTGAGTGGTCATCTGAAATGAGGGGAGATTCTAAAACAGTCTCCTTTCTGATATACACTATGATGAGCCAAAGGTAACCAGAATTTGAATCCCACATTTAAAATGTCTTTATTCTGAACTGTGATTTCAATGGACGGTAATGTTTAAAGGACAGGCAGCCCTTCCACAAGATAAGTGATTCATCAATGAAAATGTCCTGGGGTAGGCAAAGGGTCTTGAATTTTAAATCCGATGAGTGTTGATAGCAGAGATCTGGAATACATTCTGTGGTTCTTCAAATGTATTCTTGGAAGTACTGTTTATCAAATGTGTAAATCTGCAGCTGATTCCAAATCAAACCACAAATAGGTGGGGTACCAACTACCCAGTCTGACAGGAATTCCATTCAAAAACCATTTATATTTATTTATCAGTAATCTGTCAGACGACAGGTCCACAGTCTCTCCCAAAACAGTTTCTCCACTTAATGCGATCTAGAGATTTCTCCTTCAGATGAGAATATCCTCTTCTGTCCCCAAGGTCATCTAGCATCTTCTTACGTCTTCTGGTTCGCATACATGGTGTCTCTGTGTTTGGAAAGAGACTATCCAGGAAAAGTGATAATGTGGTAGTTTTTCCATTTGCTTTCCACATCGCAGTACAGCAGCCGTTCAAACCACTCTGGTCACGCCTGTTGCTATACGAACTTGAACCATCTCGAGCATCATTTGCTCTGTGCTTCAAGTCGCTACTGATGACGCTGCTTCCGGCATCAGTTTTTGGTTTTTGGTGTCCCTCTTCGTCTGATGCCTACCCTTTGACCTGTCCAGCAAAGGAGGCCCTGCCAGTAGTTACGCTACCGCTGGTATAGCTCTCAGGGTCCTTGGCATACTCAAACCCCCTCACCACGATAAGGTGGAGGCACCAACGAGAGGGTCAAAAACCATAAGGATGAAAAAAGCCAGGGCAATATATGGTTCTTACTGTCATGGGCTGTCAATAACTTACTTTGGACCCATTTGTAGAAATATTGCCTCTAAAGTTTTTCTAACTGTTATGCACAGTGACTGGTCTCATCTGTACCAGGTCCTTATCAAAATATAATTCAAATATATCTACAATGTCAGTCACATCCTGCATACTACTTTGAGGTCCATGAATTCCGGTGAAAACTTGTCTTCACTTAGTGGGGGGTGGAGTCCAGCTGGGTCCGCTCGGCACAGTGGCCACTGACTGGCCTATTGTACCTGCCCCGAGTGATTATGACGGAAAATTTGGTGGAATGAAGATTGGCAGGGGAAACTGAAGTACTCAGAGAAAACCCGTCCCAGCGCCACTTTGTCCACCACAAATCCAACTTTACCAGACCCAGGATCAAACCCGGGCCACTGCAGTGGGAAGCCAGCGACTAACCACTTGAGCTATGGCTTAGTCTTAGTCAACAATAATTGTCCATATCCTCGCAAAGAAAATTAGTGCCAAGAACATGCACATGTGTACTAGCATGCACGCACACACACACACATTATATGGATAACAAACAGAGAAACCATTCACAGTAATCCAGATGGCAAGCAATGTCAAAAAAAAAACCATGAGATAGAAGAACAAATCACATACTGTTCACCAACTCCTGGTGGAGCCACTGACCACTACAACTATAAAAATGGCTGAATGAAATCGAGGAATTTTAACAGATTTTTACATCAAACATCTAATGATCTCTCTATCAGCTACATGAAATAGCTAACAGATAGAAGCATTTCAGCTGGCTATCTGGAGTACATCCATTCAGAGTTCATGAAAATTACTTCCAGGAAAGATGGTACTTGTTAGTATGACAGTGGCAAAGGGAAGGATTTGTTTTATGCACATTAGAAGACCCTTTCTTTACCTACAAATATCCAGCAATACGACTACAATAACTCTTAAAACTCATCATGACAACAAAATTATAAATTTAAGACTGCACACTGAGAGTTAACTTCTCATTCCATGACTCACAATGCAGGCTTTCTGATGAATATATTCAGTGCTCTGCACTGACGGGTTTAAGTTTCAGTTTCAAGTTTGCTCCCTTTCAGAATAGGAACTACAACTTGTGAATGTGAACATTTTCTGAGGCTGCAAGGGATGTGCCTGTAACAACGCAGACCATTCCTAGTATCTGCTGTACTCTGGATTCGTTTTATGATTTGTCAGCCTATGGGCTTGCAAAACTGCTTGGTGAGCCTGAATGTGCATGGAAAGATATGACACACAGAGTCCATCTGTCTTCCACTAGACTGGTTGAACAATTTATGACCGGCTCTCAAATAACCTTCCTATATAATAATGTATACTGTAACATTTTACAAATGCAATATATAAAATAAATACATATTACCTCATCATAAAATATTGAGGCATGTTTTGGTGAAACAAAATTACAGTGACCATAATTGACCAACACCACATCCATATCAGCACCTGAAAATTAACAATGATTGCAAGAAACAGGAGAAATAGTAATGTTCATGTATTTATTTACTTAGATAGATTCAGTGTTTCAATTCATACAGAAACACAACTGTCACAGCCACTGACCTGTTCCAACTGTCAGAGTTCGGTAAGGCATAGAACATGGTGATCCTCGACAAGTAAGTGGGCAAAGAATTGCCCTTGCCTGCACAATGTGAGGCTGATGATGCATGGCAATTGCTGGCACAGGGTTGGTGACATTAGGTTGTGTGGTTTGTGATGAAGTACATGGGGTAGGAGATAGTGGAACAGAGCTGATGGGTGGGGATGATGCTGGCTGAGGGTCAGGTGAAGTTGATGGGGAAGCAGTGTTAGGGAGAAGCTGCTGAAGCCTTTGGTATGCCAACAAATGAATTAACCTCTCATCTAATTTGCTGAGCTCATTATCTGTCAAAAAAAAAGAAAGCTGATTACCACTTACTACTACTTTTCCAATGCTTCTGTTACATAAGACATAAAAAGCTTTTGCGGTGATGTAATTCAATGAAGTCTTCTTGAGTTATATGTTGCATCATATTTAGATAAAATTCTAAAAAAGAAATTTAGTTATTTTTGATGCAGTTTACAACCATATTTTATATTCACTCACTCACTCACATATTTATATTTACAGTTATTCAAAGTCTGCAGAATATGCACATTACATAATGTGAACATGACTGCCTGCCTACAGAGGGAGCCTGGATCAGTCCTAGCCATGGACATTTAGAAATTTTTCTATATTTTTCTAACACAACACCACTAAAAACCATGGGATGTCCACATAGTCCTGCAGCCTATAAACATCAGTGATGTTTCTCACCATGACCTAGTGGAAGCTTCTGAGAAAGTTTTTCTTGAATGCATGATATTCATATACTACAACCCATGTTATAACAGAATGAAACATTTCCAAGTGTCAATACCAAGGACTGATTCAGGTCCGCTTTCTATAGACAGGAAGTATCTACTGACTAGAATACACACAATTCAGTAAAATGTGGCTAAATAAACAGTGAATTAACAAAAAAATTATATTCAATACTACTCTCTCTTAAAAATCAATTTCAGTTTAAAAATTAGAACAACGAACTTCATAATTTACACTCTTCACCACACATTACCAAGTAACATGTCTCAAGCAGTAACATTTCTGGTTTGTATTCAGGCAATGCATGTATGCCAACTATTCTGATGGAGGACAGAGGTTTTTCATGGCTTTCCACAGTCCCTCCACAAAAATGCTATTATAACACCAACCATTGTGTTGAGTGATATTAGCACCCACCCCCTTTTCTTGTTAAGCACAGCCTGCATTTGATTCTTGGCATAGTCAAGATACGCTGAGGTTTATCATGGTTGTTCTCAGAACCTCCAGGCAATGCCCAGGACAGTACCTTAAAACAGGCCACAATTACCATGTCATTCAGAATTATCCTCCTACCCGACAATACATATATTATGAAATTAAGAAAGTACTGTTAAATAAAATTATAAACAAACAAACAGTACCTCAATAAAACCAAGTATAACACAAAAGAGGTCTTTAATTTTTTCCTTTCTTTGCATCTTCTGCATAATGCAGAAAAAGAAATCCACTGTATGTCATTTTTATTCATGGCTTCAAGCTTTGGTCTGTAAGTTCATCAATAATTTCTGAAGCTAAAACAGCACTGTGGACAGAAAGGTAAACAGTGGTCTAGTTTGCGTGTGGTGGAAGTAAAACAAAGGTTTTCATCCTGTCATTTTAATGAAATACAAACTGAAAACCTTTCTTTCTTTCTTTTATTCTAATTCAAGCCACAAAAATTTTAAAAACACTCAGCACCAAATCAAAATAATTTCATATCCAATGTTTCAAACAAAACAAGTTAGAGCCCTTACACATCTGCACTATTACAAAACAACTATTTTCACTCACCAGCGGATCCAACCAACATAGCCTGAAGCTGTGTACTGAGATTGGCAACAGCTGATGGTGTGGTAAGTGTTGTAACTGAACCCTTACTCGAGAAGGAATTTACCACAAGATTTGATGTTGGACTACACTTCCCTACAACAGAATCAAAAATTGGTTTACTCCAAAATGTAGCAGTTCCTGCATCATCAACTGGAAAGTATAAATGGTGTGAATAATGAAAGAATTATACTATAAAACATAACTGAGTTCACACACACATGCATATACGTCTGATAACAGTATATGATGGAAACACTGTGTACAGTAGCCACATGGCTACCTATATTAAAATAGCTCTTACTGTGTATACCACACAATGGGCTTATACCTATCCCTCCAAATAACCATAAATAACAGTAATTCTGTAGATCCTAATGGCTCTTCAAAAATCATTCAGAACATTATATGAAAAAATATATGACAATTTAAACACAGCCTATTTACCTGCAGTTCTGAGAGTGACCAGTTTTGTCCCTGAAGGAGCTACTGATGTTTGCTGCGTTGTGGCTACAACAGCGAGCTTTCCAACCTGTGGTCGTACTACTGATGTCAGTGGGCAACCATAACGAGGCTGTAAGATCGATGATGAGCTGTAAGAGATAAAAGATATAACATGGCAACTGACATACAAGACAAGTACTAGATTCTAATTACACGAGAAAACTTAAATTTAAATACATGCTGATTTAAAATTATACATATAAAACCATGTAATGCATGGGGATTTTAAATTACACAATAAACATATTCTAACAAAATGAGTACTAACCACAAAAGTTTTTAAATTCATTCAGTATGGATTCATGATGGAGATATCTGGTTTCATACAAATCAGTATTATAAAAAGTGCACTCCAGCTTCCAGTAAACGATGAATCTTAGTATGCAAGTGACATTACAAAAACGTCTTGGAGATATTTTAAAATGTTCTGGAGAGACCGGGGACATCCTCAGTTCAATAAATGTTGAAAAGGCTTCACCATTTTCAGCCTTGTTTCCATACAACAAAAGACAGGCAATTAAGCAAGAACAGACCTAACAAAGTTGCGGGGTACATGTGTACGAGTATAATACATATTCATGCACACACATTTCAATTCTATAATTTGCAATCATCCCTGTTACACAGTTTCCTTCTTCCTTCATCTATAAGATTTGGTGATGCATGTCTTAGTTTTTAAAAATCTTCATTTATACTGTTTGCTTATATGCTGTATAAAGTAACAGTCAGTCAAAGAAAATTCCATGCAATCAGGATAGTCAAGTGTTTTAGTCAAGGCTCAAACGGAGCACTTCTTGCATACAAGCCCAGAGTTATTACTAAAGAAACATGCTCAGTAACTATGTCCATTAATCAGCAATTATAGTGTGACATGTTGCGCAACGAAGGACCCCTACCTCCCCAGCGGCATGTGGCGGTAACGTAGCGCTCGCGTAATAGGCGAGTCATCACCCCGCTACTCTCCCCGCGGTGACGTCACGAGCGGAGCCGAAGTGAGCCGAGCGGAGCCGAAGTAAGCCGAGCGGAGCCAAAGTTAGCCGAGTCCCCGCAACCTGGTAGCTATGTAACGCGAGTCAACAGTGGTGACGTCACCAAGGGAGAGTGGCGGGGTGATGACTCGCCTATTACNCGGAAGTGAGCCGAGCGGAGCCGAAGTAAGCCGAGCGGAGCCAAAGTTAGCCGAGTCCCCGCAACCTGGTAGCTATGTAACGCGAGTCAACAGCCTATTACGCGAGCGCTACGTTACCGCCACGTGCCGCTGGGGAGGTAGGGGTCCTTCGTTGCGCAGCATGTCACACTATATTACCCTTCCTAAATGCAGGGAATTCTATACAGTAACAGTAACAATACAGCAGACAAAGGAGGCAATTATTATTCAAAAATGGGGGGGATTGTTTTGCATAAATGTTTATCTGTGATTTTACATTTAAGGCTTACCAATTTTCTCTATACAGGTGACAGAAAAAAGTACATTGGAAACAAATTCATTATATACTGTCACATGTCTGATTGACTCTCAACTGGGTTTTGGACTGGATACTGCATTTATTGACCACTTATATACATAATTCGTGACTACACTTTAGAGATCACTGACACACACAGACTAGTGTCCTCAGTCTATTAGTTTCCACTAGCCGCTTCTTGACAATGGATTTTAACACAAGAACTACAACAGTCTCACTGAGTTACTCACTCCAAATAAAGTCTTCTCTTCATCGCCTGGCTTAACATCTGAGCACTCTTGCAACTAACTCTTTTCTTCAGACTCCCATATAGAAATGCCTTGGTATCCCTCCCTTTGTCTTCCTTTAACTCCTCAGCATGGACCAAGCAGAAAACTCCATTGTTGCACATCGATTTGTTACTGTGTGAACATGTTTACCGACCGGTTGCCTACAAACGGGTCTGATATATTTGCCTATCTTGAGGTCATCGCACAGTAACTCTTCTACACACTACACACTACACTATACAGAAATGCTTAGCAGTGTTCAGTGAAAGTGTGGTAGTGTGGGGAGGAAGAGAATAAGCGAGCAAGTGTGCAAGCACACATGTGAGAAAGTGAATAAGTACAAAATCTGCACATCCATTCATGTGTTAATGCATACATACAGACATATGGCATTCTCACAAACGTGTACAGCCATCAAAATATGGAGATCAACAGTTTTCCTTTCTTAGAATACTTTTTCATATATACTACAAGCATATATATGAAAGAGTGAAAATTACATGGTAAAAACATGAAACAGTAAAGTGCAATACGGAGAAGTCCCTACAAATAGTGAGATGAGATAATACGATACTTTGTTTTCACTGGGAATCAGATGACTAACATTGCAAGACTGATGCACTTGTAGCAAATGGGAAGAAAGAAAAAATAGCCAGTTCTTGCAAATATGCAAACAAACTGAATGCTAAATTTGAGTTACTGGAGTGGTAATTCTGTTGATTATTAATGACAATGACAGCAGATGGACTATATATGATCAAATGGAGGGATGATGGATGAACTGGAAAGGATTTGAAAGAAGGCAGTCACAGATTTGACTGAACACCTCAAGAAAGCTCAGCCCAGGTAGCCAGTGAAACTTCTGAGATACAAACTAAAAAACCCCTAAATACAATATTATATTTAAGCATCCTGTTGCACTCTATACGATATATGACATAAACACAGTCCCAAGTGCAACAATTTATTGTAGTTCTTTTGTCTTGCCCTCTTCTACACTACATGTTTCGGCCGCAATATATAAATGGAAACTCACCTCCATCTAACATTGAGGTTAAAAATCCATAATTTTACCTTCAAACCTTGACCTTCATCTTCCAAGGCATCAAGTTCACATACAGGGGAAAATTATCATTTTCTTAACTTACATTGTAACTGACCTTGTTAAATTAAACACAAAATGCTGGGCAATTTCTCACACATGCAAAAATATTGCAATGCTCAGCACTTTATAGATCCCACCATCCATAATCACTCATGCTCAAACACAGTTCCCTGTCCATTTGTTATTTCGCTGCAATGCAACTGCTCCTTCACTACTCACCTCTTCTTTCCTCTTCTCCACTGTCAGTGAACTGATCTGAAAATTGCCTTATTACATTAACTCACTGACACATTAATAAACAGCACTAACTGAACAATGACTAAGAGCACTCCTTATTTCACGTCCATTTCTGCACTGAACTGAAAGCATGTCTGCATTACAACACAATGTGTGCTATCAGAAAGTTCCCAGACTGTTACTGTTGTAACTGCCTTGGTGAAAGAAGATGAGGGGGGAGGCCAAGGTCACACTTCCACAAGCCTATTGCATCAGTCTGTCACATGATACCACACTGTGAACATGCACTGTTTTTACATGAGTGCTTTTCAACTTCGTGTTTCATTTTGCCTGCAATGGATGGCAGAACTGTGTAACATTTCTGCATAAAGTTTTGTGTGAAGCTTGGTAAATCTGCTACCAAAACCCTTAAAATGCTTTGTGAGGCTTTTGGGGAACATTCTTTAAGCGGGACAGCAGTTTCTGAATGGCAATCATGTTTCAAGACCAGCTGCGTGCCAGCTCAAGATGGCAATTTTCAGAGCAACCAAGCACAAGGAAAACAACAGAAAATGTTGAAAAAATTTGAGAACTCAGCAACAAAGACCCTCACCATACAATCCATGAGCTTCCAGACACCACTGGGATCAGTTATGAAGTTTTCCAGGAAATGTTAACAACAAATTTGAACATGCACCGCATTGCCATGAAGTTTGTTCCTCGACTCTTGACAAATGATAAAAAAGCAGCGACATGTAAATGTGTGTCTTTAGCTACAAGAGAAAGCTAATGAGAACCCAACTGTTGTGAGTATCTCTAGGATCATAATGGTTGACGAAAGTTGGATTTACGATTATGATCCAGAAACAAAGCAACAGTCATCGCAGTGAAAGAGATCACAATCACCAAGAGCAAAAGGGCACCGAAGGTCCAGAATTCAACAAAGAGCATGCTCATTATTTTTTCAACATGAGGGGGACTGTTTATCATGAATTTGTTCCTACTAACACTACGGTCAACTCTGACTTTTACTGTGATGTTTCAAGACGCATGACAGAAAATGTGAGACAAAAAAGACTGGAACTTTGGCACAACCACAAGTGGCTCCTTCATCAAGACAATGCACCCACCCGCACGTCTCTGAAAACCACAGAGTTTGGAACTAACAACACGGTTATCGTTCTCCATCCTCCCTACTTGCTGGACTTAGACCCCTGTGATTTCACTTTGTCTCCTAAATTGAAAATGAAACTGAGGGAACAATGTTATGAAACAGTGTCTGACATCCAAAGGGAATCAAAGTGGTACTCGACAGAATTACGAAAAATAACTTCCTACACATTAAACTAAGCATTAGTAAGCAGTCGCCTTCACGTCCCATCTGCTTTTTCTGTGAAGAAGGTGCCCTTGATATCCACTGGACACAAGGCTGGATGGCCCTCAAGAGGCAGTATGGGCACTACAACCCTGCCTTGAGCCAAACCTTGATTCCTAAGTTATCCAGCTTACAGTCAAATCACTATATAGAACACAGAAAAGTGTATATAGAAATAAATGCATCTTACAACAGCCTGCTAAGCTAATTACCTAATAAACTTGGTGTTTATTTCCTAGGCACTGACTGTATTACCAGCAATGTTCACTGAAATCAGGCAGAACTGTAACTTCAGTACTATCAGTACTGGTTACAAATTTGTCCACCAGATGTTAATATAACATATAGAAGAACACTTCATAGTAAAGAAACTAGTTGGAGCCTGATGGAACACCAGGATGACTGAACATACCCTTTATTATGTTCTTGGTGATATGGGCCAGTTTTACAGGATGTTTATACATGCTTATGGGCATGAATGGGTTAATCCTTTGTCTGTCATTTAAATTTAGCAAATCTCAATGCTACCAGACAGTTACTTTACCTGTACTATGAATCCCAAACAGTTTCTAGAATGTTATCTACAGCAGGGCACATTTGATTTTACTACATTATACTGCACTAAACACAATAAATAAATAAACAAAATGAATATGCAGCAGTTTGTATATAAAGTCACATCCATATTACATGCTGACAAGGCAGTGCATTGTTGCAAACCTTTCAATATTACAGCCCGAAAGAAAAACTGTATATATTATATCTTGGCTGTATTAAACTACTTGTACTTGTATAAATTTTCAGGCTTTCAAAGTGGTGAGTGTTCAGATTGCAGTTTTCTGGGTTGTGACACCAGCTAGTATTGTAGGTGGACAGGTGGATACAAGTGTTTGAAAGGTACATGTTGCCTCCATCCTCAGTGTTGACTGCTCTCATTCTGAAGAAGGAAGCAGTATGTTCCTCCAAAACATTGGTATACTCCATTTCCTCTGCAAACAAGGGTGCAATGTCAATTAGTAAAACAGACCATTACATCAGTATTAAAAAATTATTAGATTTTAACTTCAACATCCTGTGGCATGGAGACCTGTCTAGGAAAGGTGGTTCCCATGGATCTGGAGGCAAATCCAGTACAAGTAGAGTCCGAGGCGATGCATGAGGAGGATCCTAAAGAAAAGGCAGCAGTGAAAACTGTAACATCACTGGCATGGGGTCCAGCATCTACGTGTAAGGCACTACGGTCAGCCAAAGAAATGGACCCAGGGCAATGGCAGGTCGCAAAAAAAGTTGGCTGCTGCCCGCAGAGGGATCATCTAACCCACTGTGCAAGAATGGCACAGCGGTAAAGGACGCAGTCATATAGAAGCAACAGGTGAACAGAGACGACAAAAAAAATCAGATCATGGAAAATGATGGACATCTGGGAAGATGTTGGACAAAAATGGAAGGCATCACTGGCATAAGTAACCAAAACTTAAAAGGAGCAACTACATCTAGAAAGCGAGAGGACATCCAGCAAGACCTTCAGGAAGGCTCTCGTGCTGGAGATCATGAAGTGAAAGTCGAGCCTTCAGTCAGGATTTGAAAAACAAATGACTGGACAATGTAAAGGGGTTGGTCCTCTCTGAAAGAAATAAGAAACAGCACAACAGACTAAGAGTCATAAATGTAGGTGCACTGACCACTCAGCCTGGAGGAAAAGAAGAAATGGTGGTATGCCTGGAAGCTACTCAGGACAAACAGCCTTAAGGAGGGAGCAATGTGGTGTACAGGCCTGATGCTAGGCAAGTACCTCAAAACAAACAATAAGACATCAGCTGTTGCAATGCAACGGCAAGTTACAGACACTTCTACAACTGAGTTACTGCTGGAAACAGCATTTTCTACTGGTCCATGCAAAGAGGTTATAAGGAAGAAAATTTGGGTGACCCAGTTAGCTGAAAGTCAGCCTGTGAAATGAATACTAGGAAGTTGGTGTGAAATGGCTGCCAGCCTGAGTTGAGTTCTGCATGGGAGACTGTCGAGGTAGAACTCGATCTCAAGACCTAAAGAATTTCCACTGTCAAAAGACACTGCCAGGGAATGGCTGATGAAGGCAAAGCAGGCTGGAAAAAGGCTTAGCAGGTGCTGCACAGAATTGTAAAGTGTGGAAATTAGCAATAGCACTGTAATTACTTGCAGCCCCGAGTGGTGTGTGTTAAGTGGTCAATAAAATCATTCACCAAATCATAAGCCATCTACAGTCATCCATATATATGTCAATACACAAGACTTTTCTTATGTAAGACTGCCTACACATAGTGTAACATACCTTGGTTCATAAAGCAGATGATCTATATATACATATAAGACTACACAGTGTCACAACCTAAAACAATTTTCCAATATTCATTTGTTCTATGACCACTTACAGAGATGGAAGAAAATTAATGTAAAGAGGAATCCTTTATGATTATAGTAATACACATCTGACACTAGTGCCCATAAATTTGGCACTAAAACAAAACATATAAAGCATCTGAATACATACTGGGCTGAAGCAGTGCAGGCAGTTTGCCAGATATTACTCTGGTTGACATAAACAGAGTTCATAGCACACAAAACTGCACTCTTCAATAATACTAATTAATAATGCCAATATAAAATCACATTCAAAAGCATGCAAAACTTTAAAATGATATTTACTCACCCTGGTTTAACAACTTTTGTTGTTACTATCTGGTTTGTTGGTCCTCCAACACACTTGCTCCCAGCACCATTATTATTATTATTATTATTACTACTCATGTTGTTGTTGTTATTGTTGTTGCTGCTGCTGCTACTGTTGCTGTTGTTATTGTTGCTGCTGCTGCCAGTATGGTTATGGTTACTATTATTATTACTGTTGTTATTGTTATCATTGATGCTATTATTATTGTTGTTGTTACTACTATGATGAATTATGGTACCACCAAACCCAGCACAAGTCTTCTGACACTGAGCACTCACTATGTTTGTATCTTCTTTCACATTACTGTTATTGTTCCGGTGACTATTGTGATTGTTGCTATTATTACTATTACTAATGAACTTCCCATTTTGTTGTGAAGGATTCGTTAAGGAAGATGAAAACACTTGCTTATCTTTGAGCAATGATATTGGTCCATTCACTAATCCAAATGTTCTATTGCATGGCGCAGATTCTAGTTGTAAACTGCCATTCATTACAAACGTCCGTGCTGGACTCCCATTGTTATGGCTTACGAGGGGGAGTCCTGAATTACTACTGCAACATGCACTATTTGAAGAACCTGTTATCACTGTGTTGTTGTTGTTGTTGTTGTTATTGCTGTTGCTGATGCTATTGTTGCTGTCACCACTACTGCTACAAATATCTGCTGGTGACATTGGGACACTGTCCAGTGTTGAAGAATGAGAAGACTTTGTGATAACATGTTCACTGTCTGTAATCATACCGGCTGATTTTTGTACTTCCTGCAGTTTATGAGTTGATAAGTGACAAGCAATGCTGGTCTGAAGTGCCACAACACTGCTCAACCACTGAAAGAACAATTGGCAACATAAGAACTGTGAGAGGTTAAACACATTTGAAATTACAAATTCTGTACCATCCAACATTCAAATAAAACTTACCACGGGCACTTAATTTACACCAGAGTCCCACAATATATACTGATACTATCTCTATACAAAATAGCTATTTAAGTCACAAACTTAGTATGAAAGCTGTTTTTTGCACATGTGCAAGATGACAAGAAAACCAGGAATTTTAGTGCGCAGTAAGAAAGGGTGCATGTACACGTGTGTAAATTCCATAATTACTGTTTTTTCATACTATGCTTACTGCACCATTCATTAGCTTAAATAATCAAGAGTCTTCTATATTTGCCTATGATAAAGCCATCACAACTCTGCATGAACGATAAATTCTTCAAGTAGGTTGCTGACGATAATATCTAATGCTGCCAAGACAAAGAGGTGATAGCCTGGATCATAACAATCAACTTCCAAGACACCCGTGCAACACCCACATTTACTTACATATTTATATTATTTGTTAACTGCTATTTATTAATTACATCAATGTATACATTAGATAAACAATACCAGTTCCTCATCTAGACCACTGTATGACTATACACAGCACACAAGATACGTGTAACTTCGCACACATAACCAAACCATTACACAATTTATCTCAATCTACACTTCAGATTAAAACTCTAACACACACCTCCAGAGTATAAAACAACTCCAGACCCTTGGTACACAGGATGCATACCAATGCTAAGAGTGCAACAATACCATTAAGACAGAAAATGACACATACATAAGGAACAACTTGTTGCAATCTTATATGGAACAATGAATCACAACATCCTTATTATTAAAGCACCCGTCAATAATGCAACAATATTTTAAAATATAAAAGACATCTAGAATACATTTCTCACTAAAAGTGTAATTGTAATGCTTTATAATCTTAAAATCATTAAATGTCAATAAGACATTAAAAGTATAGCTTATACAGTAAAAGTGATTATAAGATTACTAAAATGTCTCCAGTTTTACAGATGTTTTCTTCTCTTCACCACATGTTCGGCCACACATGGGCCATCATCAGGCAATTTTTCTTTTGTTTTTGGGGAGACCATTGCACTGTTCATTTGTCCATCATGCTTACATGCACACCATTGTTTAGTTTTTATTTTCCGACTAGAATGCCGTTATTGTATTCTTTTGAGGCTATCGTAGATAGTTGTGTATCGTACTTCTCTTGTGTATGTATCACTAGTGCAGTCTTCCTATACATCACATTCATATCGAGTATAACTCTCTCCCTCTTTCTCTCTCTCACGCCATTAACTACATATTTAAATACAGGCAGAAAGTATTTAACATGAATAAACAACGCAGAAAGCTACAATGAATGTACCAACTGCTTGCAGATGGCCTCCATGGACAAAACACATAGCAATTAATAAATATATACTATACTATCATATACTGTGGGGCGCGCCCTAGCTCAAGCAGTTAGTCGCTGGCTTCCCAAGTTGGATTTGTGGTGGACAAAGTGGCTCCGGGGCAGGTTTTCTCCCAATACTTCGGTTTACCCTGCCAATCTTCATTCCACCAACTGCTCCACAATCACCCTCAATTATCATCTGGGGCTGGTACAACAGGCCAGAAGTGGCCGCAGTACAAGGGACTTAGTCCCACCCCACTAGCATTAAAAAGAAAATCATATACTGTAGTTGTGCAGACTGAACTTCCACAATTACATATCAGCACATATTCAATACAGCTATATCCCTATGCAGTGATTTATCTGGGACATGAATTCTATCAAATACTATAAATACTGTATGATAGAGGGGCATGTGGTAGCATAATTTGCACTATGCTACAAGCTGGAGGTTGCATGTTCGATTCCCATAGTGGTCATTGGAATTTTTAAATTTACCTAAGCCTTCCAGCCACACTTTGGCCCTGGGGTCAACTCGGCATCTAAAAGCAATGAGTACCAGGAATCTTCCTGGGGACTAAAGAGTAGCCAGGGCATAAGGCTGATAATCTTACCGCCATCTGTGAGCCGACTGTCTAGAAAATGTGGAAAACTCGATGTCTCACAGCCCTATGGGCCTTCACGGCCTGTTACAGGGATAGCTTTACCCCTTTTACCTTATTGTATGATGGGACTTCATATGCCACTTAACATATTTCCTGGACAAAAACACACCTTAATTAAGACATTTCTTACTTGTTCTTGTTCCTCTGGAGTTGCCTTTCGCCCCTCAACATTTCCAAAGGAAATATTTCTCCTTTCTGCAACACCTGTTTGGTATTCCCCTTCTCTCAGAATGTCACGTAAAGAGGGGATAAGAGGCAGAGGAAACCTGTACTGTTCCTTGACTGCATGAGGAACCTACGAAGTTACAGAAACATTTCATGAAACCTTTCAGCTACAGGCAGTCTGCTTTCCAACAATACTTAAAATCAAACCCACCTGTTGAATAACCAGTAAAACACAAAGCATTAAACTTACATTGCTAAAATAAAAAAATAAGCCATATTTATTCAAATGATAATATTTAATGCTGGATAATTTCATGGTAGGGGACTGTGTGAAAGTGTGTAACATACAGACCACCTGTTAACTTGAGATCTTCTAGCATATTCCTCATGCATGTCCTGAATTCTTCTATCTGCCTCAAACTTATTATAAAAGCCTGAAATGTTTGACAGTGTTGGTAGTTTAGTTTTAAATTCTCTTCTCTAACATCTTCATACACCCTTTACATTCTGCGTTTTCTAACATCATTTAACAGTTCATGTATGCTGCTCAAATGTCACAGTCACGTCATTTTGTCTAATAAGGAAATATCATGTAACTGGTTGTAACAGTAAGAATCAGAACTCCACTTTCACTTAACTGTATTACTTCAAATCAATGTAAACATCATCTACCTGTATTTCTATACATTTCATGGATGTTCAGATAGTGTACACATCTGTTTGGGACATACTATGTTGGTCTCAGGTGCTGTAAATTAAACTTTTACTAGATAAATTTTAAAACAGATTTATCCCCATGATTTTACAGGAATTGCTCAACTAAATGATAGTCATTAGTAACTCTCCTGTCTGCAGAATGTGTCTCCCCAATTTTCTTTAAAGATACTCACTCTGACTCTATTTCTCGGTGGTAGTTTAACCTTGAATCTAAAAGGGGGGTTTCTTCTGTGTGATTTCCTGAAAAACTCCACTTTTACAGCATCCTGGTCTATAGGTCCAGCATAACGATCCCACAATTTCAATCGCTCTGTAGCACTACAAGACATCAGTAACTTCCAATCCTGCAACAAAATGTTTCAAAATCCTCTTATCACTCACCTCTAATTAACACACAGATTCAAAAGTATTATATAAACTTTGCATGTATCTCCCAACTGTCAAAACAAATAACTTGATATCTTTGTTAAGGCAGTAAATTTTAAAAATAAGAAAACAGTGAACCCAGTATCAATGTAGTCTAAACAAATAAATGAACAAGTTTTTCTTTGCATTCATTAGAATAAGCACAATATACACACACACACAAATGGCAAAACCAAAACTGAATTTCATCTCTTTCAGATTCACATAAGATTCAGCTACCTAACTGCAAGATAGCATAGTCAGTATAGCGACTGGCTACAGGCTGGACAACCGAGGAGTTGGAGTTTGAGTACCAGCAGGGTCAAGAATTTTCTCTTCTCCATGTCGTTCAGACTAGCTCTGGGGTCCACCCAACCTCATATCCAATGAGTTCCAGGTGTTCTTTCCCCGGGAGTAAAGCGGCCAGGACATGAAGCTGACCACTCACCTTCAGCTACTGCCAAGGTCAAGAAAATGTGAATCTATACGTTCACTCCCCCATACACCTTCATGGCATAGGGCTTAATTAGTTAAGCACAGGAACAACATTAACTACAAGTGTGCACCATTGCAATAATGCAAGCCATAGCTAGTGAAGTTTAATAATTTTGGTTATGAAGTAACGACAGAAAGATTTCATTTGGGAGCATGATTATTCTACACACAGACAGTCAATTCCTATGGACACACATTATCACCTTTCTTCAGTTTGAACTTTACATTACATTTAACATAAACACCTGATCATGTCATGGGGACTCACACAGTTCTAAGCGGTTCTTCACAAGAATTGCTCAAGGTTACCCCTTCTAGCTAACATGCAATTTTTACAGTGACATAAAATGGAGTCACCAACATGAACCAGTTGCCTAGCTTGGCCCTTAATGTCTGTTTCAGTTGTGATCCTGTACCTCCAAGAACATAAATATTTTACCGGATGCTTCCCCAATAAGAAAAATCAGGTACATTCATCAGGCCACATAAGTGGACCTCCTAGCATTCCATGTGATCCAAAATATGGTTCCTCAACCAATTACACACTAGGTGTGATAAGTGGGGTGAGGCACCATTGAGCTAAAAACATGCCCTCCAAAACACTACAGAATATAAAAGGGGAAACCAACCTATCTGAATCCACCCATATGATTCACCATCACATATGGTCCAATCAGGTATATGACTTGAACCTAACTCTGACAACAAATCTTCCATGAAATGGAGACCATTGTGTAACATCAAGACTTCCCCGATGCCCGTTCATATAGGCTGTGGAGAGTAGTACTCCACTCATAAATGTTGCCTCATCAGTCCATGACATAGAAGACAGGTTCATCTACAATTATATGTAGAAGCCATCCACAGAACTGCATAAAATCACTGTCCTCTAGTCACAACCCTTAAACAAGTTGCACATGAAAGGATAAAACCGCTCCTCATGCACTGTATACCAAACTGAAATCTGAAAGAGGCCTGTTTCTCATACAATCTGGCATGTGTCGGTTGACGGACTGGCATGTAGAGCATCTAACACTTCCTCTACATGCTGCACATTTCATCTGAAATGGCCAATGTGTGCTGGTGGAAAGACTGCACCTGTTTACCTCAAACTGTGGTGCACCACTGAAAACACATCTGCTGGGTTACCTCCACCTGGATGCCTATGCTAATATTCTCTTTATGCTGCTCTAACATTTCCACCACAAAAGCCATACATGAAATGCATATCAGCATATTCCACATTAGTATACTGTGACACCTTATTTCACAGTTATGACTACTATACTGTCCAAAGTAATGTAAGCATTTCCACCACAAAAGCCATACATGAAATGCATATCAGCATATTCCACATTAGTATACTGTGACACCTTATTTCACAGTTATGACTACTATACTGTCCAAAGTATTGCAAGCCATAAAAGAATGCAGCATGAGCTCCACCTTGCACTACTGTAACGGCTACACCAAACCCCCCACCACCAAAAAAACCTGTATGCAACAAAAGTTTCTCAATAAACAAATACAGGTACGTACTAAATATTGTTCCGGGTGGTTTGGACACATCCATCTGCCTGCAGGTAAGGATGTGAGTGGAGGATCAAGGCAATCCTGATGAAACAGCAGGGGGCAGTAATCACAGGCAATAAGAGGAGCTTTCCGGCAGCTCCTGTTTCAGACAGAAGAAACAAGCTTAGCAATTCTGTGGAATAATAATTATTAAGCACCAGAACAAAAAAATACATACATAAGAAATATGTAGATATACTCCATTTACTAACTCATACACCTCTCTTACAAACAGCTGTACAAAGGAATGGCCTACACAAGCAGTAATATGTAAGCCAATTCCTCTTTTTCCAGTATATCCAACTACAGCTATATTTCGAACAGTGATTACTGTCATATTTATCAAATGGAATGATGAATAAAATATACAGGGAAAACCTATTTAAGGTTTCTTTCAAGAGAAGTGGATTTGAACACTTAAACTGTCATTAAGTCAATGACACACTGATATTTATTTATTAATTTGGGGATGATTAACATTGAACATTAATTCACAGAAAACCTTAAACTGAAGAATGTTACTTTGAAGTTCAACTGTAATTGGTTTTCAGAATTTCACTTGTACCTGTGTATGTTCTTTGGGGCCATGGAACTACATTTCAGAAACCAACAATGTTCTTCTTCAAAGTAATGACTATCAAAACTTTACAATTTTCATCATGATGATTACAAGAAAACTACCTGAAGGAGGGGGAGGAAGAGAAGAAGGGGTGGAGGGGGAGGAGGACAATGATGACCTGACTGCTGTAGCATTTATTTCCCAAAGACTACTCTTGAAAATCTGATACTAAACATAATACAACTGAAAAACATACTTCCTTCTTTAAAATTTAACAAAATGTGGTAAAATACACAGCATTCAAAGAAAATAAACCGGATGCTATATGACTCAAAACATTACTCAACAACAGCGCTGCATCCCAGAAGACAGCACAATGATACTGACATTCAAGTATTTTTATATCAATACAAAACTCCGCATACACATGAGTTTTGAGAAACAGTTTTCAGATGTCTATCTTCCCAGGAATTCTTTAAATAAAAATTTGGCTTCTTATATGCTTTTCTTCACAATTCCTTATTTCCGATGTAAATGAAAAGAAACAAATCTCAAGAGTTAGGTAAATATGGTATCACATCATCACAAGCTGCTGCTACTGAGAAGATAGCCCACTTGTAACATTAACATTAACCTATCCGTGAAAACTGTTTTCTATAAACATTTTTATAAAGCAGCACTTACTTCCTGCACTCAAAACACACTTTCACAGGAAGAGGAACCAACCCGTTATCCAATTCATATGGTTTCTTCTTAGCCACAGAATTCCGTCTGCTGGTAATTTTACTTGGACCAGGTGCTAAACAAAAGAACCTTATTAACATTTTATATTTCTCAAGAAAATAAGATATAAATGGTACAGGAATCTGGAAATGCATATTTCAAAATCATAGTCCTTGAAATATAAAATCAGATGTGTAATATCATAGCCCCGTATTCTTCCTCTGTAGTAGGACTCATTCAGACTTGTAAAAGCTCTTATATCCATACTACTATATGCTACAGAATCCATAACACCCCGCTTTTAGCCCCTTTTCAAAACCATAACTACCAGCTATTCTGTTGTGTGACCTGCAACTAAAATGCTTGTAAGAATGGAGATTAATTTTGGAGTCCTTACAACAATTTAACCCTATGCCACATTTAATGTAGAATAACGTAGCAAAATACCCATCACACTTAATGTACTATAATGCTGTGCAGGAAGAAACGTCTACATCAACTGGTCTGATCATGCAAGGATACAGTGAATTTTAACAGTGACACAAAGTTTAACACTAAGATGTAATTCAGGTTCAAATGAACATAAACATTTTACAAATATGAATAAGCCAAAAATTTCTGCGACATGAATGTTGATTATACGTAGGTAAGTCAATAAGTAGCTGGTCACGTTAGCCGAGCGGTCTAAGGCATGCACTGTCTTTGCTTACTCGGAAGCCAAGATCGTGGGTTCGAATCCCACTCAGGGCATGGATGTTTGTGTGCGTTTTCCTGTGTTTGTCTACAGGTAGAGGCCTTGCGACGAGCTGATTACTCGCCCAAGCAGTCCTACCGTATGCGTAAGATCTAGAAAAACCGAAGTGAACGGAGAAGTTCATGGAGGTAGGCCTAGGCCAACTGGGGCTCTAGTGCCAAGGAAAAAAAAAGTCAACAAGTAAGTTACAAATGGATATAGAACTTAAACAAATAAGAGTACTGATTTGAAAAATGCTTCTATTTCTCAACATAATCTCCCTGTACATTGAGGCACTTGTCCCATCATTTCACAAGCCCCTGAAAACCAGCAGCATAAAATTCTTTGGGCTGCTGTCAGAACCAGGCGGTGACTGGGATCATGAAGGCATACTGCTCACCGCATTACAGCCTCAAGGACAAACCATAAATGCCGACTCCTACTGCAACATCCTCAGGAAACTTCGTAAGGCCATTCAACGGAAGCGACCGTTACTTCTCAGAAAAGGCTCTTGCATGACAACGCGCATCCCCATACTACCAACAAGACAAATGAGACACTGCAAAATTTCAAATGGGAAGTCCTCGAGCATCCTCCGTATAACCCCAACCTTGCTCCAAGCGACTTCCATTTGTCCGGCCCTCTTAAACATCATCTTCCGGCTGAATATTTTCCCAATGGTGAATCTGTAGAAAGGGAAGTCACCGCCTGGTTCCGACAGCAGCCCAAAGAATTTTATGTTGCTGGATTTCAAGACCTTGTGAAACGTTTGGACAAGTGCCTCATTGTACAGGGAGATTATGCTGAGAAATAAAAGCATTTTTCAAATCAGTATTCTTATTTGTTTAAGTTCTATATCCATTTGTAACTTACTTATTGACTTACCCTCGTATCATAAATTGTTCGACAAAAATCACAGCACTTAATTCATTAACATATTATGATATGCACCTTTCATCATATGATACATTGCTTTTAAGATGACTGACAATACCAGTCAAGACAACATGGTATTGCATGAGGTCTTTCCAGTAGTTCAAACATTTCCTTATTGGGAGATGATTATCACCATTGTCAACAAAAGAACCGTTTTACTGAAGGTTTAAATCCGAAGTATTTCTGCTTTCAAGCAGCCCTTTAATATCCTAATATAAGCACTTTAAACATGCATATTATTAGTTTATTAATTATCTGTTCCATATTCATTGGTTACTTCTCCAAAATACCAGGTGTCCAGATGAAAGGTATAAAAAAAATAACTTACATCTTGGAAAATAATTGTCTTACACGTATCCTGTTCATGTCTCAAAAAGGAAAACTGAAAGTTTTCTTTTCTCACACCTGGCTTACACGCATATGCCGCCACATTTTTGCCATTATGTTAGGAATCACCTGGACAGCGAGATGTGGCCTAGGTCGCCAGATTTAACCACAGTGGATTTTTTTGGTGGGGTTATGTGAAGAACATTGTCCTCCGGGTTAAGATCGATGACCTTCAACACCTGAAAACCTTCATACGGGACACTGTGGCTACAGTAACACCCAACATGCTTCAAGCATGGATATTTGTCGTGCCAACAAGAGAACCCACATATAAATTTAGTGACAAAGTTATATACGGAGAACAAAACTTTCATAGTTTCCCTTTGTAATGGTGTAACCCATTAATGTGTATAATAAATTCTTTCTGAGATATAACGATTTTATTTTGGATACCTTTCATCCAGACACCTTGTATGTCATCTCATGGAGGAAAACTCATTTTCTGTACTAGAGAAGCAAACTAGCATTGAAGTCTAATAAGAATGAATTTTGGTAATACACTGAAGGATATGATTCAAGTGGTCCAATGCATCAAAATGTAACACTTATAGCAAGGACATTAAAAAAAATAAAGGTATTCCTGTAACAGGCCATGAAGGCCCATAGGGGTGTGAGATATTGAGGCTCCCACATTTTCTAGACAATCGCTCATAGATGGCGGTAAGGTTGCCAGCCTTACTCACTGCCGCCCTCTACCCCAAAGAATATTCCTGGTACTCATTTCTGTTAGAGGCTGAGTTGACCTCAGGGCCATAGTGCAGCTGGAAGGATTAGGTAAACTGAAAAAATCCACCTCATCAGGATTCGATCCCACAACCTTGCAGCTTGTAGCATAATGCCTCAACCAACTACACTACTGCATGCAGCATATCTTTAGTAAAATGTTGCTGTCACTAAGGTTCTTAAACTAATCAACTTTGTATTAGTGACAGGTTGACATTCCTTCCTTGGCAATAACGGACTATAAATGATTATGTCTGACAGAAACAGCCACTCAACTTACCACATTTCCCACATTTCTCACTTTCCTATTTATTTTAATGTCTCATAATGACTTACCCTTATCTGTTCCTGGAAATGGAATACTCATTCCCATTTCTCTGGGTAATTCAAACTGCTTTGGGTTCATGGCCGATGCAGCTTTCACCAATACATCCATAGGATGTGAGACCAGTGAAGAACTTTCATCCTTCCTTGGTCGTTTCTCACTTATGGATACCTCTGCTGTCTCCCTTTTCCCTCGTAGGCGTCCTCTACATGTTGGTGTGGAAGGAGCCAATTCTGCCCACAAAGACTTCAAATGCATGACTTCTACTACCAAAGAGCCACAAAATGAGTACAGAACACACAATCATAGAAACAGATATAACAAACTACTATTTCTTTATGACATGGTTATTATATTATATTATATTAACTGTTCAATTAAAATTTGGAACTAAGCCTGTAGTCCTGGTGCTGGCTTGCTGCAGCATATAGACATACTGAATTTTGAACAATGTCTCGGTTTGCCCACTTCCTGACATGAATAGACATTCACCCTCCAACACCATGAAATCTTCGTTTTATTTCTTACTTTGGTATACCATGTTCTATTTCATGGTTTCTTAAGCAGTGGAACACCTTCCACTATACACATGGCCAGAATATATCAAAACTTGGCCAAAACTCAAAAACTAAATTCTAATATATAAGTTATGTACGTATTCCATTTGAAGTAGTGATGTCTGCTCATTCATAATATGCAAGATCTGACATGTCCAGGCATACCTACTGCTGACAGTGGAGTTAAGCTGACAGCTCACTTTGAAAACAGGGTGACATCCTTTCAGTGTTATTTCATACATCCATTCTGCTGATAATGTGAGGACTAAAAGCTGTGCCATATCTCAAACAATAAGGGTGAATAAAGTCCTTTCAGTTTAGAAGTGCTCTCTTTACAACTGTCAACAATCTTATCTCAAGTTCCTAAAACAGTCTCATTAACACTCAAATGTACAAGTTAGAAATATTTCACTTGAGTTACAAATATACTGATACAAACTTCTATTTCGATTCTTAAGGCATTATATACTTTAGCAAGTGGACAGTAAAATAAAAAAATTATTATCTGTCCACTGTTACCCACTCCAGCCATTATAGTTTAACTAAGCCTCTGATAGTCATATGTGATCACATTTCACACAATAATGTAAATGCATTTATAATTTTCATTTTAAGCATCCTGTTGTGTTATAATATACAACTTCTTTATTAAATCTGTCATAACACAACTATATGTTAGCCATGTGTTTGCCTGATGATGGCTTTTAATAGCCGAAACATGTAGCAGAGCCAAACTAGGCACTGACCTTAATATAGTTGTGTTGTCAGATTTAATAAAGAAATTAAATGTAAATGCATGTTTTCACTAAGTACTGATGAATACTTAGGACTGCCGTAAGTTCATATGATGAAATTTCATTATTTGGAACAAATATTTCATAGCCTGTAGACATATTTAAAGAGAAATACTAATGAGAAAGGATATTTTCAGATACTATAGCAATCTCATGCCAATCAAGGTGCTAAAACTTAGCATGTATTGAACTGTCTGACACTGATGGCAATCAAAATATATTTCAAGAACTACTCAGACGAAAGGGACACATTGTAAAATTACTGTAATAACATAGTTTGTAGATGGGGTAAAAAAAATATGACAAGGGAAACATTTTCAGTCTAGCATTCTGATGGGAAATGCCAAGACCTGTTCCTACCTGAAAGTTCAGAGTTAGGATGACAAAAATACTCCACTTCAATGCAATAGCGAGAGAAGCAAGTGAAGAAATAAAGAAACACTTCTGCACACAGCTGCTTCAGAGTTAACCTGTGCAACTGAAATGACCTTATATCCAGGTCAACAGGATGCAAAATGATTTAAATCAGTGACGACAACTCCTACTTGGGTCTTGAAAATGGGATATGCATGGAAAGAGAAAAATGTAAGCATGACATTTCTTTCCATAATGAAGCCCTTTCCTTGGTTACTATGCAGTTGTTGGAACCTCAAACTGGTACAAGTAGTTCATCACAAGATCGTCACCACCATCAAATCAAAGCCTCTCAGTTAGGGATGTCATAAATCTCCGTGCATTTGGTGAAGCAGTAAGTGGTAAACATATGATACAAAGTTCCCCTCTCACTCTCTGAAAATGGTTCTGTTACATAGATGGTGACCCTCTAGAATGTGTCCCATCATATTGGTGCATCAGACAGTCGCTCTGGGTTCAGGGACCTCGGCTTATCATACGAGCGTCACATTGAAGGCACCACTGCTCAACGTCACAGTTCGTGTGTAACCAGCTGTACCACTGATGAACTTCAACCTGGGTTTTGATACCCAGATGTCCTGAATATTTTAATGGAGCACTCCCAGTACATAAAAGAACTACTTGGACTGCCTTGGACCATCACTAAGCCTGCACCCATTGATGTTCTAGCACACTCTCGCCACCAGATAGATCCAGTGAGCTCAGTAATTCTTATACATGCAGTAGAGCTAGTGATGTTCTTCCACTTGGGGCACTGTCAAGCCTCTCATTTCCTGTAGAATTGGCACCACATCACCAGTTGCTCCTTCCTCAGGGAGCAAAGAGAGAGGAAAGAACATGCAAGAATTATAGGAACCAAGCTGTCAGGGCAGGCCATAAACTCACAGATGAAAGAGAACAGCTCAACATACACAGTCTTGTTCACGCTTCTAAGCAATTTCTTCAACTGTGTTCTTGTGTTTTAATATTTCACTTCTGTTTTGGGGGAATGTGCGACACAAACTTTAAAACTGATATGACACAAAAATGCATCATACATACCAATGCTTGCTTTGACAAGAAGTGAGTTGCAAGGAGGGTAGTAGTTTATCAGCTGTGAGACATAAACATTTGTTGGCAAAAACTGCTTTTATTTACTGGTTCTTACAATCAGGGACTTGTGGAAAAAAATCTTGCTAGTTGCAACTCCACAGGAGTTCATTGCAAAAATAAACTATTTCTAAATTTCCCATTGTGACAAAACCCAAAATTTGCTAAATACAGTCAAGGAGTTTGGTGCCATCAATAATTGTTAAAAAGTATACACAGAGGTGATTACATGTACAGTAATTTGAATACCAACCATTTTAAAGTCGGTCCTAATGTTCTTTCATGCCAGAAAAAAACAAAAGACAACAGGATCAAATGAGCCAGAATAAGAAAGAAAACCTAACAAAATTGGAACAGTGGGATGTCTCTTTTGGCTATGAATTGATACTGGGGAGATCATACTCATAAGTCCTGAGTTGTTGCGAGATCTCTGGTTTGTTTACTTGTTATATCTTACTGGTTCCTGCTGTCTTCTGCTTCTGTTGAGTTTATTTTCTTATTATGGCTCATTGGTTACTACTGTCTTTTGCTTCTAAAATCAAATTCAATTTCATAATAAAATTATAAACAATAACACAAAAATAAAGGTGACACACAAACCAGTAAGTGCTTGATTATACTGGACAACAGTTCATGCATCTTCAATCGTCAAACAGAATTTTCATTCAAATATCAGTATTTCTATGTATGTTAAAAAATGTGGCTGCAGAACTAGCCTCTGGTAAAATCACCAGGCTCTAAAAGTAGCATGATGAATTTCCAGCCAGATCAGAATATGTATTTTGAGATTTGTTTGAGCTCTTCTGAAAAAGCAGCAGGGAAGCCAATCCAATTTCAAGCATTTCTGCTAACACATACTCAGAAATACCTCCATTAAAACCTTCTTTTCAACATAAAGAAATAATCCAAACATTACCTTTAACTTCTCTTGGCAACTTTACTTCATTTTTTACACTAATACTGGTATCTGATGCTGTATTATCCACCTTAACCTGTAATATATAATTTTAAAATCAGTACTACATACATGTGACACCAGTATACCACAAACAATATTAACATAAAAATAAGAACATGTGACAACAGGAATAACTTACAGCAGAGAGCCTGCAGCAATGACACAGCCATTCACCAATTGGAATATCTGCCTCATCAAGTGGAGGGTCGCTGAAAACAGAATAAAATATTCAATCCTTTCCCTGTGAAACCAGCATGACAATATTCAATTACCAGTGCTGCTAAAACCTTTGTTACTGCACTGAAACAACTAATTTCAGTTTCCAAGCTCCCATGACTACATAGCAAAACTGTAACACCAGCTTCGGTGAGAGTACAAACTGTTGGACAAAAAATAAAGTTTGGTAAATGTAAGATCTGAAGCTCTCACGGCGGGTGAAGTTGATATAAACTTCTCAGGCTAACAGCTGTGTCAGTGGTTTAAAATTACCAACATCTGATGGACCATCTCTGTCATCATCAGGCTAGACCCTGACAATTACAAAAACTGTCCATCCACATAGTACCCACAGCTAAGATTTGCCAACATTTTATTATAATTACTGCAGTCTTAATCAGATTCATTAGTCCCATGCCCCACCCAGTGTACACCAGAAAAGATCAAACACAGCTAAAGCTAGACTCACAAAGTTCATACATTTCAATTACAAATTTGGCAGTCTTGAGTGGTATGTACTGTGTGAAAGACAACAAACCTTTTTGTACAGTCAAGGACTAGTCTATCACAATGTTCTGGTCCAGAAGATACAGATTCTGGAATTTGTTATTTACATGCTGAACGACTAGCTGAATTCTGAAAGTCCCTGAAATGGCTGAATGACTGGTTGAATTCTGAAATGGTCCGTGAAATTAATTTTGCTTAGCATGGAGGAAAAGAGGGATGGATATAGGAGTTTGGTGGGAAAGCCAGAAAGAAAGAGACCAGAAGGAAGACAAAGAAGTAGGTGGGAGGATAATATTAAAATGGCTCAGAGAGCCAAGATGGGGTGGTATGAACTGGATTCATCTGGCTCAGGATAGGGACCAGTGGAGGGCTCATGGGAACACAGTCATGAACCTTCAGGTTCCCTAAAATGTTGAGAAACTGAGTAGCTACAGCTTCTCAAGAAGGAATTATCTCAATGGAGTCAGTTAATCTGTTACTGTTATCAGAAGGATACATAAAGTTATTATGTCTATTCTTTCCAGAGATGAAAGTTTCAGCAAAAAAAAAAAAAAAGGGAGCAAGTCAAATCCTTCAAATTCCATGATTTAGGAGTAGGTGTTTGTACAATTACCATCAACACTGAGCCAAAACCACACACATTTAAGCCACTGTAACATCTTTCCTCATAATCCTACAACAATATGTAAAAGGGCTGACACTTTTTGAAATTTCTTGCTGGGTGTATCTGTTGGATTCATCTACAATGAGTTGCACAAAAGCTACATCAAAAACGTTTTCATATATACTCACAACATCCTGTTCCGCAGTGTCAACATGGGGACCATTTCCATCACAAAATGATCCTCATGAAGCAGGAAATAACCCTATAATTTTCCACACAAACTTATTTGACACCCCTCCCAATCCTACATTTATGACTTCTTCTCACTACCATTTTCATGCACACTATCACCTATCACATAGCTTCCTGCAGTCACAAATTGTGTATAATCATTTTCAGAACGAAAAAAACAATCATCATCTGAACTAAACTCACCAATATTTTCATAATCTAAATCTCGTTCAGAACTTGTACCTGTTCTAGTTCCTTGAGTGCAAAACTTGCTAATGGGCCTGCCATGATCACTATGAGGTCATATACAGTATTTATATTTACACTGACATGCTCAGGTGCAGGAAATACAGGGTTACTGACACATGAACAGAGAGTTTATTTATTTCATGATAGGCCAGTGCATACCCAATCACACTGAAGTTAGCTGTTCCTTATCTACATGCCAGAGAAATTAAGCATACAGTCAACCAAAGAGCGCACTTTAAACCGCAGACATAGCAATCAAATGCCTGATGTAATGTCGTGTCAAACTGCACTGATGAATTAAAATGTGGTCTGGAGTAACCTTCTATGACAAATCATAAAACTCAAGAACAAAAATAGTAGTAGTGAGTTTAAAGCCATTTTGGCTCCATGTGCCCCAAGAAGCAGTGGCAGTTTGGGGGGGGGGGGGTTATTACACTGCAAATCTAACTTGGTCATCCTCATCAGCAGGAGATTTCAGTATCATGGGAGGTAACGTAGTGAGAACAATGTACCATCAACACGTGCATCACATTGAACTTACATGCAAATTACTGGAGGCTCTAAGTTTTATCATAATAATCTTCCTACTCCCATAAAATAACTATCTCTTCTTGGATCTGAGATTCTCACAGATATGGCATGTGACTCTGTGTAGTTTGGCAGAAGTTCAGTGCCATTTCTGAGGCACATACTTCATCTGTCACCAGGTTTAAAGAGTACACCATGCAAGCAACAAGCATGCAGGAAGCAGAGTACTCTGACAGATCATGCATCATATGCAGAGATCACATTAATACTGTGACGTCTGATGTTCTAATGGTAGACTATTAAAAGTGACATCTCCTGGGATGTCACACCGTGTTCCCTGGTGAAGGTTAACTGCCTCCATCTTCACTGAAAAGTCAGCTGAGCATGCCAACAAGCAGGCAGCAACTGCCTGCTATATGCTTTGCTCTTTGACTCTGAAGATTATGGCAGAATATTCCTCTGAAACACTGGTAAACTTCTACCAGGCTACAGAGCATCACATCCCTGAAGACAATACCCTTCAATCAAATTTACTGTTGATAAAACTAATGAAATTAAAATGCATTACATTGCAGAGGCAATAACAACACATTTCAAATTGATAACACTGCTGTAATCCTTGCATTGCTCCCAATTTACCTGCAAATAAATCTTGGGTGGAAATCTTTTGTTTTGTTTTTTTTTAGTTCCATAAGTCTATACTTTTGCCACCAGTTTTAAATGTAACTGACACCAAGAAAACAAAGATCTATGGAGAATATCTGACCTCAGTGAGATGAACCTACAAGAAAATTGAAGGAACTATATAACAAACTTTCAGGTTCGTTTCCTTCACCAAGTACAAAGTGACCACTTCAAGGAAGCTAGATGAACCAGTCATGGAGGAAATTAGATAAATAAATTCTGGTCAGAAAACTTCACAGAGAGTTCATCTGAGATAAGGGCTGTATGGTAGGATAATAATAAAATGAATCTTCAAGAGGTATAGGCCATGTTTTTGGAAACTGACCCATGGGTTTCATGTCCAGAGGGTTATGGCACCATGGTTGCAGCTGTACTATAGGTGGCAGTGCAACACACCGTAAAGCTACATTACCCATACACATCCCACATTCCTTACTCAAGTAAACTAATTGAAATGAATATACTGCACATTATGTCGAGACAGCCAGGTCTAGAAATATGGCCAGCAAACAGTGACACTATAAATGTACTCACTCAAGAGAGGATTCCATAGGCTGACATATCTCTTCTATAATACTGTCATTATTATTAATATAGCTCTTTTATGTTATAAATATAACAACCAAGTAATTTATTTAATTGGCTCATATTTGATACTCTTAACCAAAACACTCCAATGCAGTGGACAGAAGTCATGATTCATATTTGGGCATCATCATTCAATTCAATGTTAGCCATCGGATCAACTTCACAGATGAAGTTTTCCATTTTTTCTTCACTTCTATACATAGATGCCTTTAAAGATATGCCAGGACCACTCAAACAAGTAAATTCAACAGTCATCATTATTCATTATCTCTCTCTTCCTGCTCTATAACCTATGCAACTGACACAATGTCTTTAAATAAAAAAATGAAAACTTTGTGGCACTAATTACACTTAAGTTTCCAGTGAGTGATGTGCAAACTATGACAATGCCTCATATCAACCTTCATAACTTAAATGATACAACTCCATGGGGCAAAGTCCTTGAGAAGTCAAATGGCTCAGCTCCTCAAGAATTCCCACCATTTCATGGAACCCAAAGTTCATTACCATGTTAACAAGAGAATGCCATTAGTCTCCATCCTGAGCCAGATGAATCCAGTCCATACCACCTCAACCCATTTCTCTTCAGATCCATTTTAACATTATGCTCCCACCTACATCTAGATCTTCCTAGTGGTCTCTTTCCTTCTGGCTTTCCAACCAGAATCCTATGTGCATTTCTCTTCTCCCCCATTCATTCTATATCTTCCATCCATCTCATCTTCCTTGGCTCAAACATTTTAATTATATTTCATGAAGAGTGCAAGCTCCTCACTACGAAATTTTCTTCACCCCCTACATACTATAAATATCCACCAATTTCAATGACAAATCATCACATTCCTAAATCTTGATGTACTACTGTGATGGATGATGTATACAAGGTTCCAAATTGTCTCTGCCACAATCATATCACTCCCTGATGATGAAGGCACACATAGTTTCCAGATATTAGAAATTAATTCCATATCAACATGGCTGTTTGACCAAGTACACTACACTTCATTCAGTCGCCAGAAAAACTTCAGATTTTATACAACCTCTCACCTCTGAAATTGAAAGACGTTCATCCTTGCAATTTAATACAGGGGAACCTTGCAAATATGTGCATGAACATGAAACAAGAAAGAAATTATTTTGTGTAATCCCCCGGCAAACACTGTGCTGTTCACATAATCCTTTCGTCCGAATATTTAAAGTACAAAATAATGTACAACTGAAGTATGTCACTGATATTTAAACTACTTATGCCCCTATTTCCTTAGGTACTTGAAGCACAACTTACTGACACTGAAGATGAAACGAAGCTGGACATTTATCACAACATAGAAGATCTCCTCCTTCGCCACAAGAATCACAACAGTCATGATTATGACCTTTCCCTGGTCGTTTATAATAGGGATGAAGTTCTTTCCCTTCCTTTTTCTTGGCTTTTGCAGCTTCGTCGCTTATAGGAGGAGCAATAAGCGCTTGTATTTGCTGTAACAAAGGTTTTAATTCATTATTTTTAAGTTTCTGGGTGTCAATACTGACGGCAGGAAACACAAAGAAGGTTTTAATGTTATTTTTATTAACATTTGGAAAAACAGAACCGCCATTTTACTACAAAGATGGCTCCATTGACGATTTGCTACTCACGGGCATAAGTCCCCCTGAAGTATCCAGATCATACTCCACGGTAGCCATTATGGATTATAACGTATGTTTGAACGTTACTAGATTATTTACAACAGATTAGGTGCCTTTCATCCTCTGTAAAATCATAAAAATGTATCTTCTGTCCTTCGCAGACTAGGCTACACGTCCTGAATCTTCTGAAATATTTACACAACTGTCACAAACTTATACTACAATGTAAAACAACAGTTACAGTCACTATGCATTTTTAAACATTCTAGCATACTATGCATACTAAAATATTTACTTTATTTTTAAAAACATTACTCGAATCCAAAAGAAAAAAATTAAAGAAATCACAACAAATTTCTGCATTCCCTGTTGGCGCAAATTGATGATACAGCTATACGCTTGCGCAGTAACAAGAAACTTTATTACCCAATCATCGCAAACCAGTGATAGCAACGGTGCTGTAGGGGCTGGAGGTGTCATGGGCGGCATGGGCATGGGTGTCATGCTGCTGGTCAGTGGTATAGGTGCTGAAGGCTATAGGTGAATATATGTTTAAGCATTATGGGTCTGAAGTAGACAGTGCGGTGAGTAGAATGTAAACTTAGCTGTTACGTACAACCCATTATCCAGGAATAAAGTTTGTAACAAAAACTGAAATAATTATTATTTAAACTCGGGATATTCAGGAAGTTATTTCTAGCCGATTACTCTACCTACCTGTACGAAGCGCTACCGGAGTGCGGAGTGTAATGAGTTCCACATACATTCTCACCATGTTGGAATTACTAGGGCGTTCTTCCACACTGCTTTCGTTTCTTCACTGACGCTGCATATGATTTATCAAAGTACCTCTGCGCGGCATAATCAAATGAACTAAATACATGCAATATATGAAATATGACATCTGCTTCCCTCAAAAAGAAAAAAGTTTTAGTATGTATGGGTGAAAAAAGGTAAACTTGACCCTGTACTTAATTAATTAAGCTGCATACAATGAAGGCATATGGGGGAATGAAGATTTATCTCCACCATTCTTGACCTCTGCACTAGATGGAGGTGAATGGTCAGCTTCACAGTCAAATTGCTTTAACTTCAGAGAAATCGCCCCTGGTACCCATTGGATAGAATGCTGGGTGGGCCCCAGAGCCGGTATGGACGCTGTGGAGTAGAAAAAATCTTGCCCTGCCAGGACATTTTAGTAGGTATGTCTCCATCACTATCCTGCTAAACTTGATTTGCACCAGTACTTACAATGGCAAAATATAAATATAATATTTCATTTCATTTATTTCGTATCCATGGATCATTATACATGATATAAGACATGTCATTCTTGTGTAGTTATGGTATAATAAGTTTCATAATGTTACTATTTGGGGGGGCTGCATGTGAAGCATTATCCACCCTCTTGTCTATAAGGGAAAGGCACTTAAGATTGCAAACTTAAAGTATTTATGCCTGTAAACACATCATTTTTGTGATCCATGAAAAAATCCCAATCCTGAAGAATACNAATATCTTGAACATAAGCCTGGACTGGACAAAGCAAATGCACTCATATGCACATGAACACATAACACATTAAAAACCCCTCTTCCATTCAGAAAACTGGACTAACAAATGGCAACAACTACTACAGATGTTAAGCAGTAAATATTTCAGTAGCACACTCCAGCCTGCAATGACATAACGTTCATGCCAGATTTCATCAAAATCTGTCTTAACAGTTCGCATGTTGAAATGCTTGGGGAGTAACACAATGGCCCTTCTATGATCCTTTCATGCACAACATGCAAATAATACAAAGAATGGGAAAATTCCCAAATTGTTATCTATTTCATGATCATAATTATGCAAGATGTAAAAGTGTCAAGACTGAATAAAATTTGTTAAAATTCTGAAAATATTCTCTCTCTGCCCTCCCCACAACATAGCAGATGCTGTTTAACATGAAACAATGAAATAATATGATATTATACTTAAGCATCCTGTTGCACTTTATACGATATATGATATAACTCCGTCCTAAGTGCAAACTATGTTTATAGGTCTTTCGTTTTGTTCTCCTTTATACACTACATGTTTCGGCCCCAAACTGCCATCATCGGGTGTATACACCCACGTATGTTACACTGCAGTTATTTATAATATTTAAAATTTAAAAACATAGGTGTTCCTAATTGTTCCTTTTGTTGTTATTACCAAAATCTACTTTATTGATATCTTTGTTATTTACACGCGTCAATTTTGATTTCTCTGAATTAGCACTTATAAAATCTTCAGTTCTAATTTTAAATCCTTTAAAAATATTTCTCCCTTGGTAGAAAGACTCACACTCAAACTGACCACATTTTAACAGATACAAGACGGCATCCAAGTGCACTTGATGTCTGATCATTCGGGGCAACAGATTGTGATAAAAAAAGTAAAGCTATCCCTGTACCAGGCCATGAAGGCCCATAGGGTTCTGAGACGTTGAGGGTCTCACATTATCTAGACAATCGGCCAAAGATGGCGGTAAGGTTGTTAGCCTTACGCACCAGCCACGCTTAACTCCCCAGGAAAATTATTTAATTAATTCCTGGTACTCATTTCTGTTAGAGGCTGAGTGAACCGCGGGGCCATAGTGCGGCTGGAAGGATTAGGTCAACTGAAAAAAATCCAATGACCTCATCGGGACCTTAACCCGCAACCGTCCAGCTTGTAACATAGCCCCTCAACCAATTACGCTACCGTGTGCCCCCAACAGATTGTGATACTAACCACTATCTGGTAGCAGCAAAAGTTAACGCGTGACTGGCAGTAAGTAAACAAACAATGCAGAAAGCTTATATGGATAAATTAAATCTCATGAAATTAAACAAGGTACAGTGTAAAGGGCAGTATTGTGTTGAAACCAAAAATATGTTTGCGTCTTTGGAAAACTTAGATGATGAGGTGGGCATTAATAGAGCTTTGGAAACTATTAGAGAGAATATCAAAATTTCAGCCAAAGAGAATTTAGGTTATTATGAATTGAAGAACCATAAGCTGTGGTTCAATGAAGGATGCTCAAAGTTATTAGATCAGAGGAAACAATCAAATTCCAGTGGTTACAGGATCCAAGCGAAATAAATTGGGATAATCTGAACAATGTAAGATGTCAAACCAGCAGGCATTACAGGAATATTTGAAAGACAGAATTGTTGAACTTGCAACAAACAGTACAAACACAAACATTAAAGACCTATATACAGGAATAAATTAATTAAGCAGGGTTATCAAGCTAGAAGTAACTTAGTGATCTGGTTGCAGATTCCCACAATATTTTGAATATGTGGAAGAAATACTTCTCTGTTATTAAATGTACATAGGGTCAGTGATATTAGGCACACACAAATACAAACAGCTGCGCCATTAGATCCTGATCCTAGTCCTTTTTGAGGTTGAAATTGCTACTGCAAAGTTGAAAAGGTATAAATCGCCAGGTAGTGATCAAATTCCAGCTAACTGATTCAAACAGGAGGTGAAACATTATGGTCTGATATCCATGAGCTCATTAATTCCATTTGGAATAAGGAAGAATTGCTTGATCAGTGGAAGGAGTCTATTATTGTACCAATTCACAGGAAAGGCAATAAAGCTGACTGTAGTAATTATCGCGGAATATCACTGCTATCAACTTCATACAAAATTTTATCCAATATCCTCCTCTCAAGGTTAAGTCCAAATGTAGATGAAATTACTGGAGATCAACAGTGTTTGTTTCGATGCAACAGATCAACTAGTGATCAGATTTTTCACATTTGTCACACACTTGACAAAAATGGGAGTACAATGAGACACTACATCAGCTATTTGTAGCCTTCGAGAAAGCCTATGATTCAGTTAGGAGGGAAGAATTGTACAATATTCCCACAGTGTTTGCAGTACCCATGAAAATAGTTAGGCTAATTAAAATGGGTTTAAATGAAACATATAACAAATTTCATATATGTAAACACCTGTCCAATAATTTTCCTATCCAGAATGGTCTAAGACAAGGAGATGCTTTATCTCCATTACCTTTCAAATTCACTTTAGAACATGCCATTAGGAACGTCCAGGAAAACCAGGTGGACTGGAATTAAATGCGACACATCAACTGCTGGTCTGTGCTGATGATATGAATCTACTAATGAAAACATAGATATCATAAGGAAAAACAGATAAACTTTCTGAAAATATGGCACAGTTCAAATATTTGGGAATGTGAGTAACAAATCAACATTTTATTCAGGAGGAAATTTAAGAGGAGATTGGATTTGGGTAATGCTTGCTACAGTCCAGAAGCTTTTATCTTCTCATCTGCTGTCTAAAGTGGTAGAAATTAGAATATACAAAACCATAATTTTGCCTGTGGTTCTGTATTGGTGTGAAACTTGGTCTGTGACATTAAGGGAGGAAAATAGACTGAAGGTGTTTAAGAAAGGGTGCTGAGGATAATATTTGGAAGACTGAGGGTGTTTAAGAAAGGGTGCTGAGGATAATATTTGGAGTGAAGAGTGATGAGGTGGCAAGAGGTTGGAGAACACTGCATGAGGAGCTTCATAATTATAATGATCAAATCAAGGAGGATGATATGAGAAGGGCATGTAGCATGAATGGAGAAGAGGAATGCATATAGGATTTTGGTGGGAAAACCAGAAGGAAAGAGACCACTAGGAAGACCAAGATGTAGGTGGGTGGATAATATTAAAATGGAACTTACAAAGATAGGATGGGATGGTATGGAATGAATTGATCTGGCTCAGGATAGGAACCACTGGAGGGCTCTTGTGAACACAGCAATGAACCTCTGGGTGCCATAAAATGTTGGAAAGTTCTTGAGTAGCTGCACAACTGGCAGCTTCTCCAGAAGGGCTCATCTCCATGGAGTTACTTAGTTATATGTATATTTCATTGCAAATACAATTAACAAACTTGTTTGTACAATAATTCATGAACCCATTGATTAGTCTCTTGAGAGAATAAGATAATTTTCCACAAATGGATAATGTCTCAGAAGATATCAGCAGATTTTGCCAAAATTCTGTCCCTCTTACTTGGTGATGGTCACTGAAAAGGCTAAGCATATAGAGAAATGTCTTCTTTTGAATTTCAAGGCATATTTGTATCAAATGGAATGAAAGGTATGCACAATATAACAGTATCTAGTTGACTCCATCTCTTACACAGGCTTCTATGACATATCTTTTCAGATGTGCAACTGCCAATCTTGTTCCATTGCAGAAGACTTGGGATGGCATAAGACACTGCAGTAGCATAATTATACCACCTACCTTCAGTTTTACCTCATAAAGTAGTTCATAAAACGTTATGTAAGTGTCTAATGTTCAGCTGAAAAATGCTTAGATTTCATTTTGACACTTTTACACATTGTATTAAGTTAAGAGAATGAAGTTTGTAAAACGTTACATATGTGTTTCAAGGTACACACTGTTACTGTTGCATAACAACTGTGAAGCTACCACCACCACACATTATTACATATCAACTAGTAGAACTCCTGTCTGTCCACATACTGTCTCTTAATAAAATTCCTTGATTTTTGACTTCGGTAAACCATGTCAAGTGACCATTTCAAGCAGTAACCTTCTGCATATCAAACTGTTGACAAAACTATTACTTCCATCATTCTGATTCAATTCCATATTGCATACACCTGAAACTCAGAGAATCCTGCTTAGTAGAACAGATTCACAGAAATACTATCAGTACAAATAACTGGTATATCATGTAACAAGTGTCATTCCAGTCAACAGTGTTTTGTTTCTATGCATATACATAGGTTGGATAAAAAGTAGTGGCAACACCTCTATAGTTCTGAAATGACTTTCTTACCTGAGGTAAACACACTTATATTCCTTCAATATAATCGCCCCCTTGTGTACCACCTTCTGCCAAATTTGTGGAAAGCATCGTACACCATCAGTGCATCCACTTCTGTTGATGTCCAGCAGTGACCACCCTACAGCACAAATAATGTCCTCTCTTGTGTTGTAACGTGTCCCTCACAGTGGTTCTTTCATTTTGGCAAAGATGTAATAATCGCACGGACCCATATCAGGTGAGTATGGCGGATGTTGCAGTATCTCCCATCGCCAGCAGGGAAGGAGATCCTTGACAGCGTCAGCAGTATGAACCCTTGCAGTCTCATGAAGGAAGATGGGGTTCATTGCCAACAAGTGTCATCGCTTTCTCCTGAGTACTGGACGAAGATGATTTTGCAGGAAATTGCAGTAGTAGGCAGCGTTTACTGTCTGTCGTTGAGGTACAGTGTGGTGCAGTATCACTCCATCAATGTCATATGCCACAATGAACATTGCCATGTAGGGCACACTCTCTTTGGACGAGGAGAGCCAGGATGCTTCCATTCTTTTGACTGTCACGTCAATTGCGGTTTGTATGAGCAAGCCCAAGTTTCATCCAGAGTGACAGTCCTTCCAAGGAAATCGTCACCTTCCTTCTGGTACCGGTCCAACAAGTCCTGTGCAATTGCATAACATTGCCATTGTTGCACCTCGGACATTGTATGGGGTACCCAACGCGCTGCAATCTTGCAGTATCCAAGAATATTATGCAGAATGTGGAGCACGGTTTTGTGACATATGCCTACCTCAGCAGCTAAGTCCCACGCAGCCCACTGATGATAAACATCCAGCAAAGAAGCAGCTGAATTGTGTGGTTGTCAACACAGGGTTGTCCTGAATGGCATCCTTCCCTTCACAGAACAATTTCACCCATTGTGCCACTGTGCGATATGACAAAGCAGCATCTCCACATGCTTTTCACAGTCCCTGATAACAGTTTTGTGCACTACAACCTCGTGCAACTTCAATTTTTATCCAGGAGCGTTGTTCTTGTTTCGTAAACTTGTTCTTAGGGCGCTTGAACTGGACTCCTGCACTTCAAGACGATGCACAATGCAAATCAATGAAACACAACCAGAGCCACTCATTGGACTACTTCAACTGAACCTCTGCTATCAGCTACAAACAGCGCTAGTGCCACCTGATGCACATCTTTCATGTTACAGCAGTGTTGCCACTACTTATATCCAACCCTTGTATATGGTAGAAGTTGCTTTCTCAGAATTACTTATAATTCACATACTTTTAAAATGAAACGATAGATATAATAAAGGTAATAAAATTGTCCAATAAATAACCCACAGGAAATTTTTGAAAGTTGGCAGGTATGAATGTATCTCCAAATATGCATATGTAATATTAAACCACCTTCAGAAAGATGTTTAACAATAAAAGTACCAATATTATCAACATGTAGCCTGTGCTATCACAAATTTCCCATTCCATTTTCATTCAATGACAACAATCAGCTTTCCTGACTAGACTGTCATGTATCTGCATGAAGATCTAATGCATTTGCTTTCTATGATCATCCTTGAGAAAACAAGCAATGGTTGATCAGTTTTCTGAATTCTACCAGTACGCATATACAAATTACTGATATTAAGTATAGTGTATCAGGACAGTGTTTGGAAGATGTTCAATACAATGTTAAAAACTGTTTAATAATCTTTGACCTTCAAGTCGGGGTGCTATAAAGTTTTCAATCTCATTATGATACAAAGGGGCTAAAATGGTTTTAAAAACATGTAGCCTATTATCAGAAAACAAAATGTTGTCTATTATCTTATCTTATATAACATTAATTTAAATATATCTACATTACTAAGAATGCATATAAAATCTGCTGTTCTTAAAATGTGCCATACTATGAATCAGTATAACTGAAAATGCAATTCTGAACTTGAATTAACCTCATGCTTCATGCAGGAGCACTGTGAACTAAAGCATGAAGAAAATTCCATGTTCCAAGTACAGGAATATTCAGTGACACTTAACCTCATGCCATGTTTCTGATATTTTCAGATTCATGGTTAACTACTATGTAAAATTAACAATGATCCAATTTGGTAACACCAATATCACTGTTCATTCTGACATATGGATACTGTCTTCTTGCTGGCAACTACATGAAAACTTAAGTATCCATCAAATGTTAATTTTCATAATAGAAATTCTTAATACTACACTGATAGGCAGAACATATATATCACAGTAAATTAACCTCCACCCTCATCATCAGTATTTAATCACATACTCTCACAGTTCAAAATCTGATACAATAGTTTAAAAATGGCAGGTATTTTAGTATAACAATCCAAAAATTAGCCACAGTTAAACTCTACAATATCCAGTTAGTTTCTTAAGTTATAAACATTTATCCTGGAAGAATTCTGAAAACTGAACTGTGACGTTCATCCACTGGTACTGCCCATTCCCTACAGTATAGTTTACAAAGGCTGCTGCACACAAATAGACGTCATGGTAGTAAGAAACAATGGCACAAAATTAACATGTCTGAAACAGAGAAACAAGCCCACCATGTCAAAGGTTTGCATGAAAAGCTGTACAAGGAAAACAAATAATGAAACTGTTCAAGAAGCACCATTTACTCACTACCTGTTATGCCCACATGTACATGAAATTTTACATATCTCTTTAAATAACCCAATAAAAACTTTAAAAATATAAATTTGGCATTTGCTGGTGATAGCAACAATATTAAACTATCACTTCTCCAAGTGTTTAGTGGCACTGGGGCAGGTTTGCTCTGAGTACTTCGGTTTCCCCTGCCAATTTCATTCCACCAACAGCTCCACAATCACCCTCACCTATCATCTGGGGCTAGTGCAATAGGCCAGAAGTGGCTGCAGTACAAGGGACTTAGTCCCACTCCACTAGCAATAAGGGGGGGGGAACAAAAAATAAAAGTTCCAAATAAGGATCTACATACATAAACCTGAAACTAAAAGACGACTTTACTCTTGTACCATTTTCCTTGTCTTATTTCCATTGCAAATTGGTAAATTGGCTGAACACATCAATGAATGTCACAATATAAATAAAAGCAACATTTTTTCATGCACAACTGCGAGAGTATTTTCCAAAAATCTACACAGCAAATCATGTGAAATGACACACCAAGTCCCATTTGTTTCTAATCAGCTTCTCTACATGAATAGAAATGTACAAGAACCTTCAGTATTATCTTTGGATGTGGTTCAAATTCCTCTTCCATGTCCTCCTACAATAAAACCTAGCAGAAGGATGTTCAATTGTGCTCCCATTTGTAGTTTACATAAATTACAATCCAGAGAAAAGGAAAAGGAGAAACAACTTTCACCAGTCACTGGCAGAGATTCTGTATTTCTCTTCAACTGCACTGCCTTATCAACAGTGAAAAACCAGTCTGCTCTCTCCTTATATTTCATTTCACCAACAACTTTATTAATGTATGTACTTCCTGAAGTACTTGAACTGGCTGATATACCAGATTGAAACTAGAAAGCAACTTCATGCAAAAGAATAGATATGTTGTGTGCAAAACAGCACTATAATACATTAAAGGAACTGTCATTGCTAGATGGATAAAAGAATTGGATATGATTTCCAAATATGAACATTTTTCAATCCTGACTCAATGTGATGAACAAGAATGAATGGCTTAACAAATACAGTACAAACTAACCAGTTTGAGCTCCATAATGCAGCAGTTTATGTTCTTTGATAAGATTCCATGAACTACAAATATTTAAGTAACACTCATCCCATACGTGAGCACACTCCGGCTACCAAAGCTCCATATCAAGTAGTAAATGTATCTATAAAATATTATGTTGCCAGTACTGTAAAAGTGGGAAGTTCTTCCCTGAGTTCATCCTTGTGGGTCCATTGCACCAGCCTCCAACATACTAAGTGGACTCAGTCTCATCCTATCCCACAAATTAAAAAGAAAAGTTAATACAGCAAACAAGGTACATCATGAGGAACTGCGGAGACTGGAATTGTAGCCTTCTGTCACCTGAATAAAACAATTTTTGGTTTGTATTCGTATGTTGCTACATACCTACCTGTTCGAAAGTTTGGTGTCATACAACTGCAAGAATAACTTCACAAAGTTTAATAAGGCCATGATGAAAATCAGTCCCTTTCTGCATTTACCTGTGATAGGGCTATTCAATAACCTGTTACACTGAGCTGGCCAATCTGGGAAGATTCATAGATTGGGAGGGCCAATGCCTATAGTCTCAGGCTTTTGTTATATCAGTATAATACTTAAAACATAGAATTAGACTTAAAAATCAGTTTATAATATTCATGTACATGATTATTAAATATTTTATGAACCCAAACATAAAAGAATAAAATTTACAGTTCTTTCCTCATAAACTCGTGTACAAATGAACAGTCTTGCAGACCACTAATTGAATAGACCTGATGTATGACAAAATCTCATTACGCTGATTTCTACATACACACAAAAAAATGCAAAATGTTCAGATTCAGTAAAAAAAATTGTAGTATCATGAATGTGAAAACCCAAATTCCCTTTACAATTACTGACTTTTTGGACATTAACCATCGTCCCATTTTTAAATTAAAAACAGGACAATGGAAAACATCCAAAAAGTCAACTGTATCAATATACCATCATCACAAACTTTTAGATCTAACCACATTCCCTTTATTACTTTCTTTAGAGAAATTTTACGCTAGAAAGATTTATTGTGAAATGTGTGTTGTATGATGCTGCAAGAGGCCTCTACAGTAAAGCTTCCATTTAATGTTCCTCAATTTAAGGTCTTCCCTCATTTAACATTCAATTTCAATGATCCAAAGTCAAACATCTCAGCACTGAATTCCTCCATGTACATTTTCATCATTTTAGTGTTCAAATCTACTACTCCCCAAAGAAAATTTAAATGGGAAGTTTACTGTACTTAGTTTACCATTTGTACATACAATTAAATTTCTTGGTTTTTTTGTGTGTATATTAAGATATGGTACATAAGTACTTACTAAATTAGAAGGTGCAATTGTTTATCATCATGTACTCTCCTGTCATGTAATTATGTTCCCTCCCTTCAGCTTCATGAATTATGCCCTCTGGCCTGCTGCAATTCAAAATTAGTTTCTGAAATTTCAAATCCATGGTTTAAGCATTTCAAGACAGTACGAGTACATGCCTTAAACCACGTGACCATCATGATCAGCACCATCATATCCGCCCATCACTTAAATACACACAAACGTGTTACCCTGTAACATCACAAGATCCAAGTAGTAACATGTGTGCAACATCCCAAAATGGTAACAGACATGATAAGGTATATAAACAGACAGCACAGAGAATTAAATGATCATATAAATTTTCAGCAATTTCAAACAGTGGAATATCCATTCAATGTTTTACTTCATTTAACACTTAATTTCTGCAGCCCTATCTCACTATCACAAATGTAGATTCCCTCCATTTAAGGTTATTCTCAATTTTGTGTTCAAATCTATCATCCCAGCAAGAAGCATTAAATGAGAATTTAAGTTTGCAAAATAGCTACAGATTTTCTGTTTTAAAACTGTTAAACAACTAAGTATGTCTTATATAAATAGTAAAAAAAAAAAAACATGTCTGAAATACAACTTTCAATTGCATAGGATAATTTTAAAGGGATACCAAGGCATAAAATAGCAGAGGGCTACAAGTCACACAGAGACTTCCCTCTGCTAGAGACACTGACAAAACCAGTTCTTAACATAATAAGACAGTAAAATATGTTGCTGCATTGTAAAGCATTATAATGAAAACAATTGAGAAGATGAATTTATCTGAATCTGATGTATGACTGACTACTTTTTCTCATTACATTCTTTATCTCTATAAATGTTTCAAGTACTCTTCCCAACTGCAATGTGTCTCTCTCAATGTTTCTTATGAGTGCATACAGCTATATGCATTCAGTACACTTCATCCACTATTTCTGGACCATGAACAATGTATCCCACATTCTTTTGTCCACATTAGACACCAACAACTATAGGTCCGCTTTATTTTACACCAAGTTATTTTTTCATCCAAAGATATTTTATCAAATATTTTTGTTGTATATATCCATTATGCTTATTTTACAGACTGGTTACATTCTTGAAATGGTGGTAATAATATCTTACAATACCAATAATGAAATAATGAACAATTGTTAACTACTGTAATATGGTCTATAATGCAACAGAATCTGATTTGATACTACATAAACAGTAATTATCAGACATTATTTACAATGTCAAAAAAAGAATATTTTATCTGGAGGTCATGTCTGTCACTCAGTAACTGAGCAGCTGGTAAAATTGAATGATTAAAAGGCCTACTTTATGTCAGGTGATAAGTGAATATATCAAACAGACTTTTGTTGAATTTATTATGAGAGATTGCTGCGCAAGTTTAGTCAGCCTTCCAATTCTTAGCCATACTGACTACTAGAAACACCTACTAGAAACACCTCTTTAAACTATGGTCATAAATTAATTTGTCATGTATATCATCAAATTACTCAGACTTTGGTACAATTTGACATGACACATCTTTGCATAACATAGGTTGGTCATTTTGATTTTTGGCCATACTGACCAATTACAACTTTATTTTACATATGGCTGTAATGGACTTATCCACATACTCAATAAAACATATCACAGATTTTGTTGTAACTCAATAATTCTATGCTGTAAATAATCATGCTGCTGAAATATAAATTTTGCACATTCTATCTTACAAAATTCGTGTTTTACTGAAATGTACTTTAAAAGCTAGCCACAAGAAAATTTAATAAACTGCAGGGTATGCCTCTGGGAATTTTGTATACTAAATTAAGGAGTACATTCTTTTACATGCTGTTTAAGATATCCATCAGACTCTGAACAAGTCAAAATTATGGTGAGTACATTAACATCCAGAAGAAACTTTTGACATATTGAGGTGGTAATTTTGAAGGAGGAAACCCATTAGCATGAAGCTTATCAGGCTGAAGCTCAGTCAGACATACTTTTGCCCCACCTAAACACAGAACTGAACAGCATCCTGATCAACCACTACCAGCTATACTGAAAGACAAAATCATCACAACTCAAGATGAGTTGTTTATGATACTTCCTTGAAGAAATAGCATGCTTCATGTGATCTAGTGCCTACAAAATGTAAATCAATCTCAACTGCCAAGATCATTACAGGAGTGCCTCACCAGACCATCATATAACAGAACACTGAACATCTCCTAAGAGATTACCCAGATTACTCATATGTAGGATATGAGGTTCTCACAGCAGTGGTTATGAAGAGCTACACCTTTTGGAATATAACATAAAGTAGTCCACTGAAAGTCAACTAACGTTTGGAGGATTTTTGCCATCTGCTTTCATACTGGTTTCATGCTCAGCTTTTTCTTTCACCCTGAAGGAGGAGGAGACATGTTTCTCTGAAACACTTGCTAACTTTCAACAGACTACACGGCATTATATCCCAGAAGATAAAACTCTTCAGAATACTCATATTTTACATACAAAGAGGACAACAACATTTCACTGTAGGCAGATTATATAATGTAATGAAATATATAAAAAAGTACCTCAAATATTCTATCAGATCTATATGGTACGTGGAATTGTAATACTTACATATTCCTGCTGGTGTACATATAGTGTGTTAGAAAATACAAAGTAACACATATGTATGTCCAAACAACAGGCAATGCATTTGAACTACTGCCACACTGCACTATGACATATTTCAGTGAGAATATTGAGTAATATGATGACATGCAGTAAATTTAGACCTGAAGACTGTAGAATGATGACAAAATCTTGTGGTTTATGCAGAAACAACTTAGACACAAGTGCTCCCATGGTTTTGATATGACATTTGAAAAGTATAAAAAGAGGTACTTAACAGAGAACAATAACAATACTAATATGTCCTGAAGGTTATCAGCTATAAAATCAAATCATAGTCTGAACAGCTAAATGACAAGGAAGGCGACAATTAATCAACTTCTGTTAACATCAAAATGTGTTGTTATATTAATTCATTGGCCAATTTATCTTTCTGCAGTTGGTGCTGATGAATTATACTCATTTTCAGGGCAATAAAAATATTTATGCATGAATGTTACAAATTGATAGGGCACTCTGTAATTCAGGGATTACAGCACTTCAAATTCACTGTTGAGTAGGTATGTTCCATTATAATTTCATTGGTGGGACTCATAGGACATAAAACGAAATATAATACGTAATACTGCATAAACTATCATTCAGATGAAAGACCTATGGATACAGAAATTGAGACAAAAAATAAATAGAACCTAAAACAGACTGGATGAACATTTGATTGGACAAAACAAGAAGTAGATGAAATATCCGTGGAAATAACGTCTGGGATACAGCTGCACTTCCAGTCAACATTTCCTGTAAACGAAACCTCATACTTCAACACTGGACCCACTTCTACCTTCAGGCAGCCCAAATTCAATGATAAATATTATTAATTTTATCAGCACATCACAATTATTTCAAGCATAAAGATCAAACCTAATGGAAAAATAAATAAAAATAAAAAAGAAATAACCATAAGGTGACTTCAAGGCTATCCAAAACCCTTTACTGATTAATAATGTATGTCATTTAACTTCACAGTTCTGACATGTCATTCTCAACTTTGCTTGCAGCTACACTGGCTAACAACAAAGCAACATGAGTATCATGTGCTTATGGGTGGCTTCAGCATGTACAATGATATGAGGGTGGCATGTATAACTATGTTGACAATAATAAGACCCTTATGAAAGAACTAATCGTTTTTAAAATTACATATGTTGGTTCTCCTCTGAGATATAATTCAAGCCATGCTCAAATCTGCACCTGAATTTGAACATGTATTAAGGCACATGTCAGACACATGTTTCCAGTTACATAGAACCCTGAAATTTTAGTAACTTTTCTGGTATGTTCTATGTTCAGTTCATAATTTATAAGACAAAAAGATATAAGACTGTTTAAAGTATGACTGAAAGCAGTTTTGTGACATGTAAGAGAAAGGAAGACTATAATAAGGTATAGCAAAACAACAGAAAACCCAGATAATATTGCATATCAAGCACTGAATTTCACTTCTAATATCTTTACATGTTAATGTTCGATAGCCAAATAGGTTTCAACAGTTAAATGGAGAACATGACACTTGCACGATCAAGAACACAAAATGTAAAATATAAAAACCAACATACAGGGAAGTGAACCTGCTATAAACCTTTATCCATATAACTGAGTTTATTAGAGGAACAGTTTCAATTTTGGGCCTTTCCAGAACTATCAGCAACACTCTTATCCATTAACCTATCAAAGAACTACAAAGGAATATTTACAGCATCACTGAAAATGTTAGCTTACCTTGGAACTATAGCTATATAAAATTGATATCATCTTACATAATGTATCTGCATCATTCTGTGATGGTTTCAAAGCTTCTATTTTGTTATAAAAATTATTCATTTTTCATTCCTACATTAAACATAAGACATCCATAACTACAAATACTCTCATACGTTTTCAGTCTCATTTCCAGAACCTCACACTATACATCTGGGTTTTAAAAGATAAATTTATATTAGAGAATGTTATAAAATAATGCATTTGCTCCAGTATAGCCTTCTGAGGCTAAATGTATAAAAAAGCATTTCATCAAAGCGAACCACACAAAGCCAGTAATATCACACTAGTCCTAAGTCAATAAGATATTTATTCCACAAGGCTTCATCTCAGAACTTTCAAAGCAAGATGATAAAGAATGACATTATACTCTGAAACATGATATATTGAGTGAATGTAATTTGTCACAAGATTAATTACTAATGGTTTAATATTGGTCAAAAGAATCAATATACAGGTATATATGTAGCATTAATTATGGCACATATGTGCAGGTTCTAAGTTGTCTGAATTCTCCATAGCTTGTGCCAATTGTGCATGGACAGTCAAGGGATGATGTCTTTTCACATATGCATGGAGAATCTGTTGCTAAACATTACCCAATATTTCTTCTTACTTCACCAGTGAGGTTCACTTCATGTGCGAATTTCCTGATTCTTCTGTGATGAATATATCAACAAAATGTTTTCATAATATAGGAAGTGCAGCTGATAAAAATTCCTGTTCACCTTCAGTGTTGGGTGATGAATATGTAGAAAGCATCGATGAAAGTTTGTTATGATGTGCATAAAAACCTCAGAGAAAATGCATTCAACAAAGTGAATTGCCATATACATAAAAGTGTACATAAGGACAACAAACACTGCAAAATTTAAACCTTATCTTATACATGTTATGAAATAAATAAAGGAACATGGCAAAGGAAAAGACTAACATTTCCAGTAGTTTCAAAACTTAATTCAAGATGGTGTACCCATTCTTGACGAGTTTACTTTATAGATAAAACTTAGTTCCATACCAGTGGATATGTTAACAGCAAAACAAAAAACCATGAAGATTTAAAAAAACCCTATGGTTGCCATGAGCAGTCATTACACGTGTGGGTACCTCCCACAGTGCAAAACAGACAACTCACACAGTGTAGCAAGAGCAGGAGATATTTATACACTACAGTTTGCTGCCTGGCTGTCTGTACACCCACACAAGAGCTACCCATTCAGCGCTCACCACGATAGCTCCAACACCCATTGGTTAGCATGCCATCCAATGACAGAACTATAAAGATGCAGACCTCTGGCACACTAGCATCAGTCACAGCTGTGCTTGCATCAGGAGAACTTTGCAGCAGCTGCTCTACTAGCACCAGCTACTGTCAGCATTCGGCAGGCTGCCAGCCACCCAGTCTCACTGCTGCAGCAAAAGCCTCACTTGACATCCTAGCATTGGGTAGCCTGGCGCAATGACAGCATCACTCAAAATCCTAGCACTGGCTAGCCCACTGCAACAAGAGCAACACCCAGCATCCAGCAGGTGCACCCGGCTTCACAAACAGTCCTTTTAAGGGACACGAGACCACCTCCATTGCTAGCTCGGGCTAGCCTGCTACGAAGAAGAATACCGGGCAGCTGCAAGGAAGAAAGCCAGGCCACTGCAAGGAAGAATGACACGCTGCTGCAAAGAACAATGTCACTAGCTCAAGCTAGAGTGTTTTACATGGATCTCTCCCCACGCCACCAGGTCTGACATCCCACATTGGTGATCCTGATGTGATTCCATCCAGTAAGCAGTTGTTCTGGCAGTCCACCAGGAGACTGAAAAGAGAGAGGAAGTCCATGCCAATGATGGGATGTGTGATGTTGGCCATGTTGTGCGAGGATCTTGCTGTAGCAGTGAAACCAGGTGGCTGGCAGCCTGCTAAGTGCTCACAGAGTAGCTGATACAGTGTTCTCCTGATGCAAGTGCAGCTGTGACTGATGCTAGTGTGCCAGACGCCCACACCTTTATACTTTTATCACTGGGTGGTGTGTTAACCAATGGACGTTGGAGCTGCCATGGTTATTGTTGAATGGGTAGCACTTGTGTGGGTGTACAGACAGCCAGGCAGCAAGCTGTAGTGTATAAATAATACCTGCTCTTGCTACACTGTGTGAGTTGTCTGCTTTGCACTGTGGGAAGCTCCCACACACTCACTAAATGTTGGAGTTTGGTGCCGAGTTTCATGCCGGCTTACAATTGGATGCCTATTCTTCAGTGAAGTTGCAAATACTGAACATTGCTAAAAACAATATTATATTGTAGCATCCTGTTGCACTTTTCACTTAGTGTTTTTAATTAATTCTACAGTCTTATGTGCAACAATTTACTGTAACTTAATAAAATCTAGTCACTTTAAAAGTTCTCACAGCATGTAAGATTTGAGGCTTTCACGGCGGTGACTATGAAGAAAGCANAGCATGTTTCAACCAAATTGGTCAACATTAGGTGTTAAAAGTTGTGGGTGAGGAAACTGCTGTCTTTCTGCGTTCATGTTTAGTTGTTGATATATGGTTCCCCTAGTGTGCATGTATGTCTGTAACAAGTGTAATTCTTCTATTAGAATTTATGTTGGCGAAGTTATTTTTGTGCTAGTGTAAAACAGAATGGAAACTAATAAGAAATATAAAAAATTAACTAGTACAAAATGAACATACCATAACAAAAGTAGATAAAGAATAAACTAACAGTTAACCTGACAACAGAAAACTACACACAAAAAGCAGACAATTTCATATAAAAGAATCAATTCATACTACTTAATAATAATCCCATGAAAAACTGTTAAAAAACTATAAAACATACACTGACACAATGTAATATCATACCAAACCAAAACAAATGGAAACACATAAACATGAACCCAAAGGCCCCAATCTCCATGCTACAATAAACCTACACAGGCACAGCATTCAAAGAGGACCTGCAAGCATCAGTAGCTGAACTTGTATACAGCGAGCCCCTAAGAATCACCAGTGAGCTACTGGCTCCATCAGCTGACCCACTGAATCCAGCGCACCTCATCACCCAGCTCCACCAACAAATGACCCACCTCAGACCAGTTCCAGAAACACACCATGCCTCCCTGGCCACATTTGTGCACAGTCACCTCAAGAACGGCACACACATCTTCCTCCATCAAGACACAATGGGCCACTCCTTGGACCCCCCCCTCTTTGAGCGGCCCTTACCAGGACCTGTCATGGAGAGAGAAAACAATGCAACTCCTTGTATGTGGCAGGCCCATCACCGTGTCAACTGACAGGCTCAAACCAGCGTACATGCTGAATGGAACTGACCATGGGATCACCACTTTCAGCCCCATGGTCAACACAACCCCAGCCATGCTGGCCACCACTCGTCACATGAACTACATACTCCAGATGCCACGTTTCCCTGATCACTTCAACATTGTGAGAACCACCCATATTGAATCAAATGTTGCAGCAAGAACGTGCTTCAGACATAACAGTTGTAATCATAGCTAGGAAACATTCACTGCTATGCAACAACTCAATAATAAGGTATACATAGAAGCAGTTCAGTACAACACAACAACAGAACAGCAGAATCAGGTGTTCACTTTACGGTCAGAACAAAATTACTTGAGGAGGATGAATACAGGAACCACCAAAGCCAGAGAGTATCTATCCAGGATAAGCCTACTGTCACGTGTTGGGTAAGCCATGCGACAAATAACTTCACGCTGATCTTGGATCTAGCGAATTTATTGCACACTTTCATCCACACTTACATAGTTCACAATTTCATTGTCCCAATTACTTCTCCTACTGAAGTCACTTCCATGCTTCAACTGTCTGCATTCCATTCACTCGAGGCAACTCAACTCAACAGTCATACTCAATCCTCAATCCTCACTGAATAGTGTTCCTGCTCCTTATATAGGCTTGGCACGGACCACATAGAGAATACATTGCTGCTCGGCAACAGATACCAGGTATTGTTGTCAGGTGTGTCTACATACGCATTGCCTAGCAATAGACGCCCTACGGTTGTGTGACAACACAGCCTAGCGGGGAGGGGTGTTTAACGAGCATTGTTACGCAATGAACTCTCGTTGTGTAGGAACACGCCACACTACCTTCTTCAACACACCTACCTGCAACTTGCAACTTGCAACCTTCAGACTGAAATTTGTCCATACATTCTGCATAACAACAATAAATATTTGTATAAAGTTTTAATACATGGCTGTCCATTCAAACATTGACATATCCCACACACCTATCAGACCACAATCAATTGGAGGAATGTGCCTCCATACGAACTAGCAAAGTATCTAACAAAGACATTACACAATTGCTTACACCTACCCAATGCATACAACATCCAACACTCCATCTGACTACAGACCTACAATCTATAGAAATTAATGAAGATGTGAGAATATGTTCATTCAATATAGAGAATATGTACACTAATACACCAAAATCAGGTCATAAATGTAACAGAAAATAGCCCAAAAATTACAAAAACTAATAAAAAAAATAATATATTTAATGGAACAAAATTACTTCCAATTCAACCAGCAATATTACAAACAAACAGATGGATTAGCAATGGGTGCTCCTACTTCGGCTATATTTGCCCAAGTATACATTCAACATATGGAGCATAAACAACTGTATCCAATCTTAAGGAAACACCAAATAATTGGATAATGTTATTTTCACTTCTACATGGATCAAATGATAAGCAAGAATCAGTGTTCAATCGAATCCTCCTTTATTAACACATTTGATACACAAATATGTGAAAATAACAGGTTATGGGGCCAGGATCGTATTATTGATACGTATAGTAAAAAGTGAAAGTGTTATTTAAAAGTGATCCCTTGGACTGACACCGCCACTAAGACAAAGAGACAAGTTTCATCATGGCCACTCCAAAGCCCTGCGTGAATAGTGATAAGCTGAAAGGACGGGAAAATTATAGAGAACAGTGCTTTGATATTCAGAATGTTCTAGTGATTGAAACTGTGTGGCAGCAGTCAGTGGATATGCTGCAGAAGATACAACTCCCACATCCCTCAAGAAACAAAAGGACGAGAAAGTCAGAGCCATCATTTGTCTGACACTGGAGCCCCAAGTTCCATCTCACATTGTCCAGACAACTACAGCAAAGGAAGCCTGGGACGCGTTGGAAAGAACATTCAAAGATCAGGGTGTCACTAGTTGGATAAGTAATTTAACTGATTTGTGCTCTTTGAAACTTGAGGACTATAAAAGTAGGCAGGAATATGTTAATGCCTTCATGTCAATAAATCTTAAGATTAGTCTCAGTGGGCAAAAAAATAGAAGATGAGCTATTAGCCGCTTTAATGTTAAAGGGTTTAACTAAAGAGTATTATCCCATGCGTATGGCACTTGAAAATTCGGTGACTTTGACTAGTGAGCTCATTAAATCTAAGTTATTGCAAGATAGTGAATTTGGTAAAAATGCAAATTCAGATTCAGCCTTTCCGTCCAGAGATAAGTTTAAATTTACAACACCAAAATGTCAAATTTGTGGTAAGCTAGGCCATATAAACAAAAGTTGGGTTAAAGATAAGGATAAGGGAAACAATAATAATCACAACAATCAACACAACCAAAAATGTAAGGGCAATCAGTCTTCTAAATCAGTTAATAGTACTGATGAAAATAAAGATCTGATCAAATGTATAATGAAAATAAATGGAAAAATAAGACCAGTAAAAAATCCATGTATATGTGGTATCTGCCTATCATGTTAAAATTAAGGATGATACTTGGGTAATAGACTCTGGTGCTTGACACCATATGACCGGAAATAAGACTGTTTTGCAAAATTATAAAACACATAATTCTAAGGAACATGAGATAAGTCTTGCTGATGATAACGTGTTAACCAGTGCAGGTTTTGGTGATGTAAAACTTGTGAATGACAATTTTAGCCATATCTCAGATGTATTGCATGTACCAAAATTGTCTGCAAATTTGTTATCTGTGAACTCAATTGTAAACAAGGGTATGATTGAGTTATTCACCAAAGACTGTTGCAACTTATATGATTCTGATAATTTTCAGGTAACAGGCAAAGTTCTTGATAAGGCATATCCCAAAAATGGGATTTATTGTTTAAATACCGAAGCTGACTTGACCCAATCTGCAAATATTGCAACTAAAGATAATATTAATACCAAAGAGAATAATGAGAAATGTGAGAAATCTTGTACTAATATTATAAAGAATGAACAAGTTGCAGGTACCCAGCAAATTGATGAACAACTGTTGTGGCATAGGCGTTTGAGGCATTTAAATAGGGTTAGCATGCGGTTGCTAAAAAAAGGTTTAGCTAGTGGCATTGAATTTCAAGAACAAGAAGATCAGTTAAAGAAATGTGTTCCATGCCTGGAAGGCAAAATGACAAAGAAGCCTTTCCTACAATCAAAGAACAAACGGTCAAAAAGGATACTTAATCTGTTACATTTAGATCTGGTTGGGCCATTTGAAGTACCCTCTTATGGGAATGCTAAATATTTTTTTACTATTGTGGATGATCATAGTAGAAAAATCTTCATTCATTTCTTGAAACAAAAAGGTGAAACATATGAAGCCTTTAAAGAATTTATGAAAATGGTAGAGACAGAAACTGGATTGACTATAAGAGCTGTTTGTTCCGATAATGGGGGTGAATTTTGCGGCAAATTATCCAATGACATGTTAAAACAAAAGGGAGTTAAAAGGGAATTCTCTGTGCCATATAATCCACAACGAAATGGAACTGCCAAACGAGCTAATCACAGTATTCTGGAAAAAACAAGATGTATGTTGTATGATACCGGCTGCAACAAAAGATTCTGGGCTGAAGCAGCACAAAGAGCCATATATCTTTTGAACAGATCACCTCACAAGAAACTAAAGAACCAATTGCCTGAAGAAATATGGACGGGAGAAAAGACTGATCTCTCCCACATAGCAGTTTTCGGATTTCCAGCTTATGCTCATGTACCACCAGAGAAACACCAAAAATTGGATGCTGTGAGCAATAAATACATTTTTGTGGGATATAGTGAGGATAGTACAGCTTATCAGTTATCAGATCCCCTCAATCCGTCTCAAATAGTTAAGGCAAAAGATGTAGAATTTCTGGAAGAAGAAATTATAAACAAGAAAGAGAGCAAGAAAGGATTTCAGCTTAAAGAAATTCTTCCAGAGTTGTAGAGTTTCTACTTCGACCCACAAGATGAAGCACTGAGTCTTATTCATCATTCGATCCACGTAGAAGTGAAAATAACAGATAATTCAGATATGTAGATGACATTCTCATAATTTACAACCAAAATAAAGCAAATATAGATGAAACACTAACAGAATTCAGTAAACAAAAAACCAGCAAAAAATTTACTATCAAAAATGAACAACACAACTCCATCAATTTCCTGGATCTTGCAATACACTGAAATAGAACAAAACCAGAATTTGCGATATATAGGAAACGTGCACAAACAGATATCATAATACCGAGAAATGGCAAGCACCAACTACTTAATGAAGATAGTGAATACATCATTAAGAGGAGTGAGATAGATGAGTGTATGCACTGGAAGACGGTTGAAATAAATCATGGACTTAAATCAGTGCAACACGACGCTAAAATATAACACACAATAACAAATAAAGCAAAAACTAATTATTATACAAGACATTATATAACAACAAATATAACAAAAACTTAAGCATAAGTCACTCAAAACACCACAAACACAACAAAAATATAGGGCCACAACACCAAACAACAAAATGGGTCATCTGTACATGTGGAAAGGAGACACAGAAAATCAAAACATTTTAAAGAAGCACAAATAAAAATCACATTCTGAACAAAAAACATAATACAAATCCTGGCTGCAGACAGAGAAGTACAAAAAGAAGTGGCACATACCAAATGAGGTGCATGCATTGGCCATTAAAATATACAGGGCAAATGGGCCAAACATTCCAGACCAGATATAAAGAACACACAGGTTATAAGGAATAACAATGGCAACTCTGGTCATTCAAATCATATGAAAGCATAACCAACAACATGAAAGTTATAAAAACAGAGAAAAAAGGAAAATATTTAATACATTGGAAAAATACCATATATATAAAATAAGCAAAGAGGGACTACACATGAATGACACATTGACACTTACAACCCCATATTCAAGGCAATACAAGAACTGAACATCAGACAGTGATGAATAAACATTGTAAGAATAAAAACCAGTCCAACTCAGCAAGCAGTTTAAAACAAGACAAGGAACATAATATGACGGGGTACATAACATCTAAGCATCAATGCAGAAAGACAGCAGTTTCCTCACCCACAGCTTTTAACACCTGATGATGACCAATTTGGTTGAGACATGTCGTGAAAACTTTTAAAGTGACTAGCTTTAATTAAGTTTTATTAAAACTTAATTTATTAAATTGTTGCACATAAGACTGTAAAATTAATTAAAAATTACTAAAAACTTTTCAGGGTATTAAATTCTCTCGCAGAAGCTGGGGATCAAGACAGCTGGGTCCAACACGATGGGATAACAGCTCACTCAACAAGCTCGATAAAATGTTGCAAGTAATTCCCAGTGACTGCATTATTTCTCTTAATGTATGGCCTCAAACATCTCTGGATCTAGAGTCTCTTAACTTTTGTCTTTAATCATTTCTAAGCAATTATATGTATTGAAATACCCTTGACATACATTAGAACAATTGAAAAAGAATACTGAGACACGCATTTCAAAAATTACTCAAACAAATCTTCATCATGTTGCATTGAACATGCAGGAAAGAGTAAATGCATTTATCATTGAAGGTGATGGCAAATTGCCACACTTCCTATATTCATACCTGCAACTTTTGATGCAAATAAAATTGTATCAGCATTGGGTTGTGCAACATTTTAATCTCCCTGTGCATGTACCATTTTTGAGTGGTATCCAAAGATGTAAATAGTATAATACTGTATACTATAGGTCCTTACATCACCTGAAACACCCAAGGAAGAGGAAATTCAGACTGCTCAGAGGCTCAACCTCCTTAAAATTGGATTTCACTACTTTCTTTCTATGTGATACAACACTTCCAGCACTACACACATCAGTTTTCTTAGAAGGGTGAAAATACAATACTTGTTTGCAACAACTTAGGTGTGCACCTAAACACAAGAACTATTTAACCCCTTCAAGTCAGCATGAAGTAAAGATAGGTGCAGCATATAAAATATATACTCTTTTTTCCTGCTTCATGCTGTTTCTGTCTGTGCTATCTGTTTGTAGAATACTGCAGAGCAGAAGAGTTGCACATAATTCTACCACTACAACATTCTTCTGCACTGCAAAAACCACATATTTGTACCAACAAATGAACATTTTCCACTGCAAAGATTTCAATGAAAACCTTTTCACAACTGATGATGAAACGAGTATTAGATTTCTGGCCAAGTAATCTATTGTTAAACCTTTACACTGGCTAGGTACTTTATTTTCACTTGTAGGAGCTGCCGAACCTCCCTGAGTGAATCTGCATGGCTATTATATAGTTTAGTGTCCACTGCCAATCCAAGACCACTTCGTGTCGAGTTACTACAACTATTCTCATTACTATTTTCATGCCCAAGGAGACAAAGTGCTTGGAGGTGAGATGGCAAGTTTTCAGCAAAAATTGGGATGACAGCCAAAGTAGGTGGGATCGATTCCCAATAGTCCAATGCAGAGTCCAGTTCTTCTGCTGCACCCTGAAGTTCTGATACAAGTTTGTTGAACACTTCTATCCTTTTTGACTGTGACTGTTGATTCTAAAAAGGCAGAAATCAGTCACACATAAGTAGGTACAAAATTGTAATGGATCACACAAGGGGATACAGAGCAATCAACTCAACAAAAAAATTACACAAACTTTCTTTCCATAATTTCATTTTATCACATATGTATGCCTTACAGTTAACATAATTCATGGTTAAAGTACTTGCCCCTTCATAGCAGTCCCAATAAAGGAAATGATTAACATAAGTGAATGAATGCATAAGGGGTAGGTGTAGACTGGCCCATGCACCACAACCTTCAATGATGTATTGTGCATAGTAATTAACATACAAGAATTCATTAGATGGAGACAGTAATATGCATTTTCCTCAATTTGATTTTGCTGTGAACAATGACACAAATGCAACCCATAATATGTGGCCATGTGCACCTTTGACAGAAGGGGCCTTAGTATGATCAAGACATTCACTGCCAATGACAGCAGTCAACAGTCATGCAAACACACCCTTCCAACATCAGTAATGGCTCACAAAACATAGTATTCTGAGGAACTGAAACATGCCATAATGATGAACATCATAATCAAAACGTCAAAAGTTACACCTCCTCAGTTTCTTCAAGGGATTTGCTAGGGTTCTTATTCCAGCTATCTTCTTAATTCCATGGCTCTTTTTATCTGTGTTAATATTACCATTCCACATTTACCTGCACGTTAATTTAATTAGTTTCTGATGTAGTCCTTGCAAATTTCCTTCTATGTCAGCTATTATTACTTGAGCAACTGCAAAAAGTAGCATGTTCTAATTTTCTTTAAATTTATGTTCCTTTTACTGCAGTGTAGCACACAATTACATTTTAAACACATGCGCGCGCGCACTACAGTTGAAAAGCAGTAGTTCAGAGCAGATCATAGAGCCTACTTTCCTACTATACAGACTACCACTCCTACAAATTGAATGTTAATGTTACATTTTGATAATGTAAATTTATAGTCCAATAATGAGACATATTTTAGTCCATGTTTCAGAGTACAGATGATTCGTATAAAATTCTTGTCAAATCGGAATTATTTTATTGTTTGCAACTGTAAATTATGTCGCCATCGTGAAACTGAAACCCATATACAGATTTCATGCATTTGCAATTTCATTGTATTGCATTCTAGAAAAGCTACTTAACACCACTTTGGGATCATATATTTAGTGGTGCCAGTGCAGTTTCCACCTCACAAGTCAAACTCTGCCAGTCCGTTATTACCAATTGTAAAAAATTAAACAGCATAAGGCTGGGTTGGCCTCCAGCAGCATATCACACACACCAGTGTTGTAAAGAGCAATATTTTGGTTCAAAATTTGAAAAGGGGACACAAAGGAAAAGCATGCTGATCTCATAAACCTACATTCTTTCCTTAATGAAAGGAAAACAGATGAACATCTGTCATGGTAGTCTACTTAGCTGCATTGCTCACAGGTTTAAACTGGCATTTAAATGACCTAAACTATATGTTAAGGTAATACAGTAGCAGTAACACAATCTATTAAAAGTTTGTATGCAACAAATTGTAGAAATAGATTATAAAAATGTTCACAACATTCTATTCAGAACTGAAATTAGGTACTCACATGCTGGTTGTTGCAATTTTTCTTTTTCTTCTTATTCTTCCTGACTAATGGAGCTTTCAAAGGCTTCACTAGACTATGGCCGACACCACACAATATGGCAGCTAAACTAAGCATCTGCGTACACAGCACAATTCAGTAAGGTATAATACAATTTTAGATAGGAACCAATATTTTGGAGAAAACTACTGCCTTCTCCATCTCGTACCCCAAAGGTGGAGGCAGCAGGTTCCTCTGAAACAATGATAAATATCTACCAAACAACATGGCATCACATCCCAACAAACAGTGACACAATTTTACTTTCCCAAGTTACCAAAAAAATACTGTTAGAAAGTCAATGTAAAATAATTTAAAATTACCCTTTTCTTAGCAAACTGTCATTCATAAAGTGAAAAGTGGAAGACATGAGTGAGGGTCTAATGAAGGTTCTATACTGGAATTTGCCTGGAGAGACTGAGGAAAATTATGGAAGACTTTTGTCAGGGTTGTCAGTGTCCTGGCCAACGTTCAAGCTGAACACCTCCCAAATACAAGTCTAGAGGAACACCTCTTGACCAACCTGTTTGATGAATTACAGTTTATTAACAATAAATCTGAATAGTACATATCCTTATTTGTTAGTTTTCTTTATAAACAATCATTAAGTTGTAAACCATTTGTGTAATTTTTATTTTTAGGTTTATATGCTTCTACTGTATCTGACCTACCCTCTACATTCAAGCTGCTTCCTTTATCTCACACACACACTCAGGTGAGAGACAACAGTTACTGCTGTCATTCATACTGATATTCATTACAGCAATCCATGAGCTACATTATTCCAGTCTTAACAATAATATTTCTTAACCATAATCTTGTGGTCTGAACACCAGACCTGACAATTGTGTAAATGCTGCATGAGCAATATAATCATATACAACACGATCTGCTTTCTTGCTTAATTGCTTGACTCTTCAAACCAGAAGATGGAGGTAGAATGTTCCTCCAAAACACTGGCAAACTTCTACCAGATTACACAGTGCCACATCTCAGAAGACAGTGCTCTTCAAAATGTAATACCCTCTTGATATAATGGGCTGCAATCCTATTCAAATCTATGCGTAGTAATGACCTACAATTATGTTAAACCTATATGTAGTATGCTTATCAACAACAACACAGGTAGTCTCCCTGTAGCATGCTAAAAATGTCATGAAGTTTAACTATACCCTAAAATGACTTCAAGACACCAACTGCATGATAAGTAGTAGAGGGTAAATTGGGTGATGCTTACCTGAATCAAAATCTAAAATCAGGTTCCAGGTGCACGATAAATTCTAGTGGTGGCAAAGAAAAAATCTTAGTCAAAAATCACAATTTTAGAGGAAAAATGCCTTGTAGCCCAGTAAAAGTCAACAGATGTTTTGAAGGTACATGTCACTTAGATTTTCAGGGTCAAAGAGTAGGCCAAGCAAGAAACCAGCATGAAGCAGGCAGCAAGCAGGCAATTTCATACAGTTTCTTGCTTGAATTATATTACTTCTGCAGCTGGTACAGGAAAACAAACAAGAAAATATACTTGTCTCTCATAAGTTGAGCAATGATGACCAAGCAAGTTAGTTCAAGTGGTAATGCTCTCAACTTGTATTCAGGAGATGCCCAGTTCAAATCTGACCCAGGGCACCATCTATTCTGATACTTCTGTGGTTTTTCTCTTCAGGAAAATTCTGGAATGGTGCCTCAAATTGGGCCATGAATGTTTTCTTCCACATCCTTTCAAGTTCGTTATTCACCACTAACTGATACTATGTAGTTTGAGCTAGTGACAGCATCTCTAAATAAATCATAAACAAACAGAAGTTCAGAAATGTAAATAATGTTGTGTATTTGCTCTATGCAGGAACTGTTGAGCCACAGAGGCCTCAGGGCATGCACACAACAGGAGAGTTTCAGATTGTATCGGCACGTTGCTAAGCAACAGCTCTGTGAACACTTGGATTGTGCAACAGTAAGGAGGGGTCACGTGAGCTCTGCATTTCCACAAGTGACATTATATACACCCCACCTAGCCCATTGCTATGCCACGCTTGGTAAATGCCCTTCCACGCTAGGCTGTAATGTCATGCAATAGTGGAGCGAGATGCATTTTCCGTTTGTCCAATTGAGAGTTTATAGGAGAAATGGAATTCCTAAGAGTTGGATTTGGAGCTAGTTATTTTACGAGAGAAGCATGCGAATGGAGTACAGAAGAACACAGGAGGTCGGCCAGTGAGGATCTAAAGTGTGATTAGAAATTTTATATGTCATAATCAGAGATAGTGAGTGATAGCTGAGAAGTAAGCCAGTGAAGACTTATTGTGTGACTTCAAGACACTACATGTCTTATAGTGCAGCAAGATTAGGAGTATGTAATTCAGTGAGACTTGTAGAGCTCCTGTGTTATAAATACGTGAAAACTACAGCAGATAGACTGAGAAGATTAGTGTGTATGGAGTGTAAGTTGTGTAAATCAGTAAGTGTTAAAATTAATTGTAGTTACAACATGTAGGTTGTTAATAAAACCAATTAACAATCCAAATTGCATCTCGGTCACCTAAATATATTACAATAATATTTACCCCACAATGAACAAAGTCTCACCTCAATTATGTTTACTACATACTCCAATAATATTCTTCTCCCAGCCAGCTGATCTGCACCTTCTGAACCATGGACTTTAATCATTTCACTGGCTTTGTGGACTGCAGCAGTGACCATCTCTGCTGCTGTACAGGCCATTTTGGTCAACGAATTGTCTTCGTTGTCTTGCATAAGCAATTTGATAAGGCCGAACAATTCCAGAAGTACACAGCAAGAAGGTGAGGCCAAGTAACCATGAAGACGAGATGGTAATGGTGCTCCAATTACATTCTGCAAAGGTACAGAAGTGGATAATGAAGCATGTCGTCCAACAAGACGCTTCATAAAAATTCAATCCTGCAATGTAACCATAATAATTAAAGAGCTGCAACATAACACTCACATCTGAGAGTAGTCCATTTCTTTATTTTGTTACAAATGGAAAAGGCCCTTGAAATACAACGTGGAATCATTTCTTTCGTAACTTCATCCTTCCCCAACTTTCCTCCTTTCCTTTACCCATTTCACAACTTTGTCTCATTCCCTCCTATCTCCATCAGAACAGTTAAGTTAATCTTCATCCTCCAGGTGGCACAGTTTCAAACAGAAAGCTACCCTCTGTACAATTCTGTGAAAACTAATAATTGTGAAGATGACATAACATACACAATGAGTCAGATAACACACATACATAGTCATAAACCGTCTCCTGGTGTTCAGATTCTACAACACTGCATAAGGATTCTTCAACACCAGTGAGCTGGTATATGTCAGATCACATGGTTATAAGATATAGCAGTTTTGTTTCAAATAATTATTTTATTCAATTTATTCTGTGGTAGCAGTAAATGTTTTATTGGCATAGTATCTTGTTCATCTGTCACATACATGGGTGATAAGAACAGACAACTAACTTTTTTTTTATTGCTAGTGGGGTGGGACTAAGTCCCTTATACTGTGGCCACTTCCAGCCTATTGTACCAGCCCCAGATGATAGGTGAGGGTGATTGTGGAGCAACTGGTGGAATGACGATTGGCAGGGGAACCGAAGTACTCAGAGAAAAAACCTGCCCCAGCGCCACTTTGTCCACCACAAATCCCACTTGACGAGACCTGGGATCGAACCCGGGCCACCGCGGTGGGAAGCCAGCAACTAACCTCTTGAGCTATGGCACGGCCCTACAACTAACATTACACTTATAGTGGTAATGGAAAAGGAAGCCACTGGAATTTGAAAAATATTACAAAACATTCATAGCCAGAGATTATAGGCTTTTGTGTTGTTTTGGCAATTTTAAGTTGCATGAGAAAATATTACATAAAGCCATCCAACAATTTCAAAAACCAATCAAATTTGGAAAAGAACACAGAACTCTACCTCTTGTAACACAGTTGAATGCAGTAAAATCTTATTTAGTGTTCAGCCTAAACACCCAAAAAACTGGGCTTACAGCACCAAACTCTAGCATTTCAATGGATTGGGCAACGAGTAAAGATATTAATTGTGATTACACTATTCAATGAACATTTGCAAACTGATTTCCATTACAGAAAAAATACTGGAATGTATGAATAAAGTTAAAGGTAAGTATATTTTAAATGTGACCACACACTCTGAACATTAATGGGTCCTCTCCCATCCTCCATACAGAATATGTCCAATTATATTAGTGTCAGTCCTTGTACACAACCTCATAAGCAAACGTTCTCTTTTCTTCAACTTGCAGTACATCACATATTCTTGACTATTTTTGGTGTAATATGGTGTAATGGTGGAATAAAATTTCAACCCATCCTTTAAGGAAGTTTAGTAAGGGCTCTGTCAGCTAGAAGAGCTAATGCAGGTGAGAATACTAAAATTAAATCAAGGCATAATATTAATACAAATGTGTATCTCTAACCTGTGGGACTTGAGCAGGGGGAATCGCTGTAAGACTATTGTACAGATTGAGCAGTTCTTCTGATACTCTGACAAATGTTTCGAAACGAGACACATCTATTCCATCCTCCTTAACCTCGCCATTGATGACCGGACCTTCACTGTTTGGATGATGGTGCTGATGTTGTGGCTTGGGATCTAGTGAATTGCTTTCACTAGCACAAGCAATGTTCACAGCTGCTGCCAAACACCGTAGTGTCAAATTCCGGATACGCAAGAATGACATATCATCCAAGAAAGTCTGACGTTCAATTTCCTTTGACACTTGTCTGTCAATATAATTAGACACAAGTTTATGTAGTACCAAACATATAATTATGAACATCAAGTCCAATAACAATATACAGCTAGTTTTTGTGACCACTTATTAGGAGTATAGTTTCACTGCACAAAAATCACACTGCATTATTTAGATATGAACTGAGTTGCAAAGACAAAATTATAATAAACTGATATGCGCAGATATTAAATATTGAACTGCACTGACATTTACATTGTAGTAATACTTCTTAACAAGGAGGAAACTCACATATCATCCTTTCAAAGAACTGTCAAACCATTTTGGTTTTTGCTTCTATCAGGCAATTACAGTTTTCAATTAATTCAATATATCACACACAACACATATATTTCCCAATTTCTATATTCAACAATTACCATAATCACCCAATGACATCCAAAACATGAATTATCCATGTATTTTGATTATTCATGCACCTTCTCCTTTTTATTATAAAGAATAATTGGAAGTATACTGTACTAACAAAACAAAAACCCAGTACTCATGGTCCTACTAACAAACTTGGTTTACTATTTCTGCCATAATTATACAAATTACATACGGTTCTTCTTCTACCTCACTGTACTCGTATTACTCTCTCTGGCCTGTTCACACTCAAAATTAATTTTGACTTATGTTATTTTTGATGTGAAGTTGTTATTATTTGACATGTCCAATTGTAATTCTCTACAGCTATCTTACTTACTTACTCATGGAGCTGAGCCCTTCTGGAGGAGCCGCCAATTCTGCAGCTACTCAAGAATTTCCCAGCATTTTATGGAACCCGAAGGTTCATTACCATGTTCACAAGAGCCTCCACTGGTCCCTATCCTGAGCCAGATTTATCCAATCAATGCCATCCCATCCTATCTCTCTGAGATCCATTTTAATAATGCCCACCCATCCATGCCTTGGTCTTCCCAGTGGTCTCTTTCCTTCTGGCTTTCCAACCAATATCCTATACATATAGGATATACATATACTCAGGAATATATACTTTGCCAAACTGCAATCGTTGGTAAGTTATGGGTTGATTTTTTGGGGAGGAGAAAATGAAAGTATTAAAGTCTTTAAAATACAAAAAAGGATGCTTCGTTTCATGAAAGGTGTAAATAACAGAGTGTCATGCAGACCTTTATTTAAAGAATTGAAGATTTTAACTATTACGTCCTTGTACATCATAGAGGTGTTGTGTTATTTTAAGAGATATAATATATACACTACGAGAAATACTGATTTATACGAGTATAATACTAGGAGGAAAGATGATCTTCATGTACAACAATGTAACACATCAGTTTTTAAGAAAAGTGTTATTAATGTGGGCATTAAATTATATAATATACTTCCTTTGGAAGTTAAAAAGTCAAAGGGATGTAATGAATTTAAACATAAATTAAAATTATTTTTATTTGATCGTCCTTTCTATACATTGAATGAGTTTCTTCAACAGGGACATGAGGAAGCATAGCAAGGTTTTTTTNAGAGCATAAGTTATGAAGCTCCTCATTATGCAGTTTTCTCCAACCTCCTGTCACTTCATCACTCTTTGGTCCAAATATTCTCAACACCGTTCTGAAACACCCTCAGTCTATGTTCCTCCCTTAATGTCAGAGACCAAGTTTCACACCCATACAGAACCACAAGCAAAATTATAGTTCTGTATATTCTAATTTTTAGGTTTTTGGACAGCAGAAGAGAAGACAAAAAGTTCTGGACCGAATGGGAGCAAGCATTACCCAAGTTCAATCTCCTCTTAATTTCCTCCTGAATTCTCTACAGCTATGGATGAAATAAATAATAATAAAAGAAATAATAATTCTGAAATTATGAATCTTACACACAGCTGGTAGGAATCCTTGGACAAGCGATCAGCCCATCAGAAAGTCATTACCTACCCAGAACACAAACAGAGAATAAATGCAGACATCCATGCCTTGAGTGGTATTCAAAAACCTCGATCTCAGTGTTTCAATGGTTGAAGGCTTTTTGTGCCTTAGAGACCATGCAGCCACTATGTACAGTTTCATTAGCATATTTCCAAAATTAATGTGTTTCATTTTTATTCTGCCATGTTATTACTGTTTTTATTCATCCTATCATATTAATAAAATTCTATTCTGCACACTAACCTTAAGTGAGGATCCCATGACATGATCACATGAACATCCCGGTTATCCTGAAGGTTATCCCAATCCACTTTATCCTTCTCGGGTGTCACATCCATCCCTTCAATGTACTGTCACAAAAAAGTAAACACGTAAATAAGGCATGTGTGACAATGACTTTCCAGATTCAGACAAGATTAAAATGAGGATTTGGAAAAATTTTGAGAATTTTGATAAGAACAAGAATTTTCTCTAATTGACACATTTTTTCACTCTAATAATTTATAAAAATAGCCACTTTCACACTGTGCAACTGTATTTACCTCAACGGAGATGATTCCAGATGTAAGACAACCTTGTACTACAAAACATGAACACATGAAATTAACAGAACTAGTTCCCTTCTTCAGGTCACCAGCTATGTTTAAGGTCTATCTCCATACAAAATTTCACATAATTCTAACTATTCATTATTTATCACTATCAAATGAAATGCCAAAGAAAACAGTCATGTGGTTGTTATACTTTTATCTTCCACTCTATAAAAAAAATTACATCAACAAATGCTGCAAGATTTTTTAATCTCTCATCACTCATCATTTCATAATATTAAATGTATTTAGATTACTGAATTTATCCAAATACTTTGGAATAAAATGTGCACCTCATACACACCGTTCAGATGATTGGATTTATTGGCACCTTGGTTACTCTCTCTCTTAATCACACTTAAATTACAGCGCAATTGCTGACGCATGCACACACACTAGTCCTCTCCTGGTAATGGATCTCAATACAGAAACTATAACAGTCTCCCTAAATCACACACTCCCAATCCCACTGCACCATAGCACACATCTTAAAATCAGACGAAAAGTCTTCATATGATGAACTTCCCGTGGCTGTCACTTAAAACTCTCTCACTGTTACTTAAACACTGAAATCTGTTCTGTCTCTGTCGCTATGTAGCATCCACAAAGACCACACACACAAAACAGCTTCTGTGATGAGTGTTTACTGCGATGTTGTATAGCAACGGTCGCAGCACGGGCTCCATAGATTGCCAGTCATGTGATAGCCATCTCACCAACCCACTGGTGCACTAACTGTTGTCTAGCAACAAACTATAAACATTCATCCTCTTGTTGTGGGCATTTACATGACTGAAGGTTGTTTACAGGTTGTTGCTTAGAAATACTCTGGCCATTCATGCTACAATAGTATTAAATAACTAAAGAAAACATTTACGTTAATTTCCAAACTGATGACAACATTATTTAAGAAATGCTTAATTATATGTCACATTTGTTGAATTGCATTAGCATGGATCTAAATTTTACAGTTTCAGTCCTAACCTATCTAAACATACTCAGCAACTCGAGCACTTACCTTAATAGTATCCGAGAAGTTTTTACTTGTAAGCAGCTCAAAGAGCATTCTTTCAATAGTAATAAGTGCATAATGCAGCGAGTTGTTCAGTCTTTCTCGAAACTCTACAAATTCTTCAATTTTCAAAAAGGAACCAAATTTATAAGAGAACGTTAGGTGATCTACACTCTGAAAAGAGACAAAAATCAAGAAACAACCCTATACAAAGAACTCTGATATTAAAATATGGAAATATTTTGCAGATAATAACAGTACTACTGGGTCTATAGTGTGACAGTTAAACATCTGGTATTATCCTTCCACAAATTACTTTGTGGACAAACAGTTTGGTAAGTGAGCTTCACTTGGAAACCTAACTTTGCAGATATGGGATTCAAAAACAAATGTAAAAAAAAATAAATGATACAAACTCCGTCCTAAGTGCAAACAATATATATTNTAAAAAATGGTTAACGTATCAATTAAAAAACACAAGATTTATTTTAGAAAATATAACTTGCTTTCATTACATCCAGCAAGCCATTAAAAATCATGGCTATAAATTTCACATTAACAATTCAATGAAACATAAACCACACATACACAAGCACATACACCCACACACACTCACATATGTATGCACACATGCATATACACCAACAACAAACATATAAATGCATGCGCAGTTACAAATACACAAATATGCATACCCATGAACGTGTGCACATGCATGTTCATGCATACACACAAACAACAAACATATAAATGCATGCGCAGTTACAAATACACAAATATGCATACCCATGAACATGTGTGCACATGCATGTTCATGCATGCACACAACAACAGAGTTGCAGCAGTACAGTTTGTGGGAGAAGGGTGATCATTAAAACAGTAGTTTGAAGGTAAATGGACTGACCAGAAAAGTCAAAATCCTGGTTGTTACATCAGTGAATATGGTGCCTTTGGATTATTACTTATGGGGGTATACGAAAATCTTTGTTTATGAAATGAAACTGCAAATGGTAACACAGCTAATAGGCCACATCTCTGACGCTGTGTCACAGATCAGAAATGTTGCCACGCCATGCACAGCAACTAGTCCTCTTTCACACACAGCTAGAACATTCTTAAGATAAGGTGGATGCCAATGAGTATTTACTGTAACAAGTTATTCAATAACAATAACTTCAAAAAAGCAAACTTGATTTTCTGCTGACTTCCATTAACAACTTCAAACTACTGTAGTACTGAAATTAAGCAAAATGATTACTCTTTCGTTTAAACTTCTAATGACTATCCCTGAACACAGGTGTACTATCGACCTTACATCCTGGAACATTCCATGCATGAAACACGATAGAAAGTGCCATCCTGGCTATGACACCAACCATTCTCATGGTCTTCATCAGGAACTCCAAGCAAACTCCTGGATAGTATGTTAAAATTATGCCACAACCACTTCCTTTCATAATCTTTCCAATTCACTACTCACTATCATTTTACACTAAATAGCCTAACTTACTGATACCATTGATAAGTAAACCAGGGTGCACAAAGAAAAGGAATGCTCCTGTACTATGTTGTGTCTGCCAGCTGGAAGGTATAACAAGCTATCTCATGCTTTTAGTCTCTCACAAAAGTATGAAAGACTCAGATGCACTGCTACATGTGAATGACTATCATAAAGCAAAGTTTAAAAGAGTGTGGAATCCACATAAAGTACTGCAAGTCCGTCTGGATCTGTACGATAAAACAGCATAAAAAATGTCTACTTTAAAGTTATACATCTAATTTGCCTCTACTGTCTCCATCATAAATACATGCATGTCTGTGAATGAAAGGGTCTATCAATAGCCCTGACATACAAAAAACCAGTGCTTGACAGAAAAAAAGAGTACAACTACTAGCTGATGTCCAGCTACAATTTATATTGGAACTCACATCTTTGTAGTTGCCAGTAAAAAATTTGAGTGTTGCTTCATAGAGTGCTGAAGTCACTGCAAACTGGCCAGTAACAAAAACATGGTTACAGTGGTAATAACCAAGGGAATCCAGTTGCATGTGTTTCACATCCAAGAGTTCATAGATTTGATGAGCTGCACCACCAGCTCCTGTACAAACAGAATAAAACCAGTCAGCAAATGTGCACAACACTTTACAAAGTTGGTATTTACTCATTAACACTTTAGTGCAGGATCACTTCAACTGCTTGTGGTGGCAGACATGTTTTTATCCAAAATTAAAAAGGGCAGGAAGCCTATTTATGTTGCAAAAGAGATTTGATGTAGTTTGTATTCAAATGATGGGAAAATTTATATCACAGACTTCCACCCACTCTCGGATATAAATTCTGTACATATAATTAAAAAAATCAGACACATGAGAATGGACAGAACAAATTGTAAATTGTGTATATATGTCCACCTGTATCAGATTAAGAATACTACATAGCGTATAAAGCACATTCCTCCAGATGAGATATTTACTAGGGATATCATTTGCTATGTAATTTAGTATCGATATCAGATACATTCATACTGATATTGAATTGTTTATGAGTTTTAAGTATTTTTAACTATTCAAATATATAATCAAATTCAATTAGGATTATATACTGCCTCCATTTGTATTACAAATTGTCATACTTACACATAAATTACAATGGCAATTGTACTTGTAATTAAAATCACTTAGACCAGCAAGCCTTACACTATGCATATGCATAAAAATGGAGTTCTCCACAACCTAGAAGCCATGATTGGGATTAAAATCAGGGGGCATCACTGCAACTCATATGCAATGTGTTAAGTAAACAAAACAAACATTTTCACCTCTTCTATAAGTAACAAATCAGTACACTTCTAACCTAATATAGCGTAGAATCGCAGTAACAACAGCTTGACATGAAAGTTTGATGGACTGATGGTAAGTGCATATTCAAGGACTAGGATGGCATCATAAATATGCTGACTGCTCCCTGTCTCTACCCATACATCATAAAGGACGTGTGCAGCCAAGAGCGCATATGGGTCATTACACCTGCACACAGAAATACATGTGTAAGTCTTCTGATAATGCTTTATATCATTTCAACATACAGGATAAGAATAATTTTCCACTGCATGGGAGATCAAAAATATTACAAATAAATAAACAATCACACACAGACAACATGGCTGTAAATATCTGAATATAAGGGAAAATGGGAATGCAAAAGCATAATATTTACAAGCTGCACACTAAATAAACAAAAGTATTAATGAACTGAAGAAGCAGAGATGCACTCTATGAGACCAGCAGTAGGCTACTCTATACTAAATAAGAAATTCTGGGAAGAACTAATTGCCTACTTTACTTTGATATAACATGCACTGCACAGAAAATGACATGCCCAAACAATTCTATTGTTGCATGTGTATTCACTGCTGTAGGAAAATGTTTACCAAATATGCTGCCTAGCAACAATGGAGGCATACATACACAGATACAGAACAAGGTGATCTGAGAAGCCTACTTTTAATTTTTGTAATAAGCGAAGTAAGCTAAAAAAACATTTGGACTTGTCTATGGATACACAATAATATAGAGGGCATTGCCCAGCAATGGCAGTAATGTGTCTACTGCCGCTGTCTAGCAATGGCTATCTCCCTTGTATTTTGCCTGTTACAGACAGGGTTCTCTCTTCAATCCATTGCTCTGCTCACATTCTTTTGGGTGCTGAACTTAGTGTTCTCTCTTTGGTCTGCCCCAACGTACTAGGTAGATGTTCAAAACACACAATATTCAGTCTCCATCTGAGAGACAGGAAGAGGTCTGCTGTTCTGCTCAGCTATAATGATTACAATGAAAGGCTGATCCCTCCTCTCATCCAAGAGGAGGCCCAGTTGCCTAGCAGTGATAGGGGGGAGGACATACAGACATGAAGGTGATTGCATGAACCCACTTTAGGAAAGTAGATTAAAAAGAAATGAAGAAATAAGACAGAAGCATAATGTATTTAACTCAAACAAAAAGTCATAGAAATCAATCAAACTGGCTCTAGCAGTAATGTTTCTGACTCAAATTCAAGAGGTGCTAAGGTTAAGCACTGTGGAGTTTTACTGTCAGTCCCCCTACAAGCATGCATAGCACAGTGCTTAGGCCGGGTGAGAACACTGCCTTTATCTTAAGGCTAAATGTTAACTGCATAACAACAATTTTCATTTCCTGAATTACACATGTAGATGTTTTAATGTATGTTTCTCAAACTCACGCAAATTCTGTGTGCAGTATGTCTCTATTAAAGCTGTGTCCATGGTCATAGTACTGAAGGAGTGATGATGCCATTGCTAGTTTGTCTGCCATGCTGAGGTCCACATGACAGCCAACACAACGGCTCAACTGAAAACTGCTAATGTGTTCCTGCATTTGTTTGACCTGTCAAATCACAATAAACAATATATTCCTATTCTGACAAACTGTGTTTCTAGAGCTGACACAAACCACACAACTTGGTCTATTGCTACATCACACACACACACTTCCTGAACAACATGAAAGTCACATTTAGTGTAAATGACAAATCATCATTAACTCCTTCAATCTCAGAAAATTGAATCATATAGTATAATCTTAAAAAGTTTAAAAAATGTCCCTATTCTTTGGGGGGGAAGGGGGGAGGGGAGTTATTTTTCAGCACTTGTTGCATCCACATTTCTGAGTTACCATATTCAGTCCCGCAGCCAGAAAATTTTGATAAAATTGGTCTTGGCACATGTACTCATACCTCATGTCAAAGTTGGAATTTTATTGCAACATAACGCCTAAAAATACAGAATCCTACAATCCTAGAACTGTCATAGAGGCATCCATTGCTACACAGTGGCCTGTTGTAACTTGCTTCCATGGCAATGAAGATGTGCCACCCAACAGTCACAGGAGGCACTTTAAAATCAGCCCTCAACAAGCCAATACAAAGCAATACACAAAACCTGACACATTAGGGAGAGTCCCTGTTATCAAAGCCCTAAACTTAGCATATCTGCGACAACAGAGCCTACAAGCAAGAGTGATGTAATGGATTATGACATGATAGTGTGCATTTGTATAATGTGTACATAAATAAGACAATTCAATGACCAATAAATCTCATTCACAATCTGAACTCTGTGTCTAATTACTATCATGTTACATTATTTTTACAATATACTAAATAACAATTTAGTCAACAGGTACAAAATAAATTCATCAACATATCAATATTTCAAGACAACACAGAATTATACCTGCAAAAATTTGCCTCTTTAATCAAAACAGCCAGCTGGTAGGAGTAGTTGAATGATCTCCCAGCCAGGTCCATATAGATTAACACAATCAAGAAATAAACATGGTTTTTATTTGAAGAAAGTCGCCTTCTGGGTTTTGGCGCCGTGTATTCTTCATTTTGGCTGACGTTTCGGAGGAACGTATCGCCTCCATCTTCAGAGAAGGTGAATGGCTTGTGAATGCAGAAAGCAGTAGCTTTTATTTGGTTTTTATTTGTTCTAATCCTAACATACTTGTTGCTTCACAAGGGACTAAAACATTGCAGTAACTTAAGCATTTAAGTCTTATCAAAAAGAAAAATTAAATTGAAAGTAAATTTGATTCCATGCAATACGGTTAAAGACTTTAAACCAAACTATACAGCATACTGAGATACTTGTTTCAGATTCAATCCCAAAGAGTAGGAACTATTTTTTATCAAAGCGCACATTCTTCTCACCCTGTAATTGGATCTACTTGAATATAAGAATAAATTAACTTAATTTAAATTAAAAATTTTTCTTGTAAACATACCGATGATGGGAGTTCTCCAACTCTGAGTCCAACAGTTTCATTTACTTTCTGTATGAAGTCTTTGGCACGATTATTAGATAACAATGGTAAAAACATTTTCAGATCTGACACGCAGCATGGCTTGTCTCCAAAATTACGGAAATATCTCATAAACAGCTCTACAATATCACCTGCACAAACAACATATTATGTTAACAAACACTTAATAATACCTGATTTGAATGCCAGCTATGTCCACTTGTTTAATAACAGATTCCAAACCCATATTTCTGACATTCTGACATTTTATTAGCTATCAACAGACACAAATACTACAATCACATTTAGTTCTATAAACACAGAGAAACCTCTTGAGATTCTCTACTAGAGAGAAGAGAAATGCTTCTTAATGTTCAGTGAAAAATTATCAACCCAACTATTTTCAAAAAAAATAAATATTGATATATCATAGGCTCTTAATCTGAGGAAGAAACAAGTTACAAATAATGATTCTCTTTAAAGTTTGGAATAGTGATTGATTCTTTACTCTGCAATTGTGTTGGGCATTCTTCATTGTCTGAGGTGGCTCATATACAGTTTGGAAGTTGGCTCTACTCCTAAGGCAAACTGTGTCATCAATTGGGCCCAGGATTTCTGAAAATGCATATGCGCACATGTAAATGCATATTTCGAGGGTTTTTGGTCGTTATTGCACATTCTAAACGTAAGAGCATATTTCTGCATATATGTTTGAAATTAAGGATAATTTCATTATTCTCTAACAAAATTGGTTTTGCTTGTGTTTTGGACATCCCTTGCCAGTTGTTACTCTCAACTCTCTGAGTAACGGCACTTTTACCACTTAACAATACAAGCAGGTAGCTTGGCTATTTCGAAAGGGAGGGGGTGGAATTTTCCTGCATTCCTTTGAACACCACAGCAGACAGTAGCATCAGAGGGTTGGTCTTGAGAGAAGTCTCTTCAGTTAACGTGTTACTCTTTTCTTTAATAATCTGCATCAAAGAAGTGTTTGTGTACTGAAAATGCCTAAAGAAAAGTTCAGCAGTAGATATTTAAAAAATGGGTGTGTTTGGTAATAGTGACTATTCAACAGATGGTGTCATCGTGTACTGTGAAGTTTGCACAAAGGAAGTAAAATGTGAAAAGAAATTTCAAGTTGAACAACAATCAAGAACGACTGCACATATTACAGCAAAGAAGGGGAAGAAGAACAGCACACCACAACAACTACTTCTTACACAGGTCAAACCCATGTCCTCTGTTAATACATTTTCAGCTGATCTTTGTAAGGCTTTAATATGCAGCAACATTCCATGGCATAGATTAATCAATCCAGTTCTGCTATCATTTCTGGAGAAATACTGTGTAATTCAAAAAATCCCAGATGAATCAACTCTCAGAAAAAATTATCTACCTTTGCTATATGAATCTACTCTGGAGTCAATCCATTCTGACATCAGAGGGAACTGTGTCTGGATATTGGTGGCTGGAACAACCGATTTATGTGGCCGATACATAGCAAATTTTGTAGTTGGTAAGCTACATCCAGACGAACCCAGCAAACCCCATCTTCTTGCTTTCAAAGTACTAGAGAAAACCAACCATAGCACAATAGCAAGATTTGTAAATGACTCTCTGCGACTGCTATGGCCATCTGAATTTGAGAATAATTGTTGTAAGGTGCTTGTATTACTCACAGATGGGGCTTCCTAAATGCTGAAAGCAGCAGGGGCCTTACAAGTATTTTATCCAAATCTTATACACATAACCTGTTTAGCACACGGATTACACCGTATTGCAGAAAAATACGCGCATGGTTTCCAGGTGTTAATGATTAGAAATGTTTCTGAAAGCACCAGCTCATGTCCAGTTCTACAAAGATTGCCTACCTTAGGTTCCTCTGCCACCTGAACCTGTTCTAACTAGGTGGGGACATGGTTATCTGCAGTTTCATTTTATCAGGAGAATTTCAATCAAGTAAAAGAAGTGGTTACAAAACTTGAAGATGAGTATGCATGTGTCCGTGAAGCAAAAGTGGTGTCTGGAAGTGATACTGTTTATCAAGATGTAAATTTTATCCATGTATATTTTTATACAGTTTCAAAAGCCATTGAGAGCTTAGAATCTTGTGGTGCACTTGAACTCGTTCAGAAAGCAACCTGTTCACTGAATTCCGCTCCAGTCGAAATTGGAGAGAAGATTAAACACAAGTTAGAAATGGTGTTGAATTCGAACCCAGGACTAAAAAAGATTCAGTCAGTTGGTCAGTACTTCAGTGGAATTAGGGCATCTTGGCCAGATGAATGTTCCGAACCTTCGCCACCAGTGTATAAATACTGTCCAATCACATCAGTTGATATAGAAAATCATTCTCAGCCTACAAATTCATTTTGACGGAAAATAGACATAGTTTGTCTCCAGAAAACATTGAAAAATTTCTAGTTGCCTATTGTGATGCTACTTTCTGCAGTGAATGATACATGTAAATAGGTGAGTCTGATTAAAGTGACCTCTTTCTTATGTGCATAGTGTTTTATTTTTGGTGCATATTTTCCCGCTTTTTAGCAGATATTTTAAGTGTTTTAGTGCACATTTTAAGTGTTTTTAGCGCATAAAGATCGAGGCCCTAGTCATAAAACCGACATTACTCATTATTGTTTTTATTTACAATATTAGTGTCAGCAATTTGAATGAAACACTGAGTTCTTTGAATACTAAATATGTATGCCAATTACTAGACCACTGTGGCAGTCTTTAACATGACCAATTAATTATACAAAACTCTGGATGTTGTTCGTTGTCTACAGGCCAGACATGGGACCCACCTAACATAGCTGCAGACTTGTCTGGCTGACACAAATGTAGATGCCAAACATGTTCCCTGTGCCTGATTTCTATGGATAAACCTGGCTGCCCTATATACACTTCTCCACATTCATATGTAAGGCTGTAGAGCCCTGAGACTTTCAGTTTCAAGTCACCTTTCACTGAGCTTAACATGTGTACACTTTTCGTAGCCCTGATGTGGACTATCTTTGTGTTAAACTTTCCTAGCAACCTGCTTATCTTATATGACACAGACTGGTGGAACAGTAAAGTGATGACACCAGTCAGTTATCTGCATCATTTCCTTCTATTTCTGAAGCAGAGCTCTGTTAGTCTGTGTCACTGTATTGTTCTGCATGAATGTTTTTATTAATGCCACATTTCATATTTTCTTGACCTTGGCACTAATTGTAGGTGAGCGGTCAGCTTCACGACCCGGCCGATTTACCCCCAGGGAAAGAGCCCCAGTACCCATTGTATTGGAGGTTGGGTGCACCCCAGAGCCAGTCTGGACATGGAGAAAAGAGAATTCTTGATCCTACCGGGACTCAAACTCCGACCCCTTGGTTTTCTAGCCCATAGCCTGTCACTATACTAAATGTCCTAGTGAAACACCCACTTCTTTGGTCACCAAAGTGTCCAGAAACAGTAGCAAGCTGTTTGTTTTTATTTCCATGGTGAACTTGATGTTCATATATATGTTGTTTACACAATGTTGACACTTCATAAGTCATCCATTCCAAGGTGGCCAGATGACATATGTATCACCCACATTTCAATTTCGGTTTTCTAGACCGGAGACAGTATTTCCTTGAAATTGCTCCTCAATCATCCTCACGATGCCAAGTGCACCCCATTCCAGACCCACTACTTCTCAGAAAATCTGGTAGTGCCGGGAATCGAACCCGGACATCTGGATCTGTAGCCAGGAACTGTGATCTGGATCTGTAGCCAGGAACTGTGAGCACTTGACCACAGAGGCAGTCTTCATATGCCCTACAGCAAAAAAAAAAAAAAAAAGTGGCATAAAATTGTAGAATAGGTTGAATTCATCTATGACTAAATTAGTGAACATTTATATATATACAGAGTGTCCCAGGAGGAATGTGCCAAACTTTGGGAGGGTGTTCCTTATGTTAAAGTATGCCGATATAACCCAAAACACCTATGTCCAAAGTTGAACGGTTACGGAGATAATGGCCAGAGAAGTGTGAAACTTTGACCGGTGTTACACACTTGTTGATTACAAAATACATATTAAAACTGGCAGGAATATGTGGTTTCTGTAATGTTAATAATGTACGTAACATCAAACTAACGCGTGAGTAACATGAAGCCATAAAACTGAAGTACAAAATACTTGCTCACCATGTCATAATTGTCTTAGGTTTCCAAGCGCTATACATGACACATGACTGGCAAGCGCTGACGTAACATGGCTGGCTGCGCATTCTGGTATAATCCAACTACATAACTGTACTAAACATACATTCACGGAAAATCTCTTTTTGAATTTTGTTTCCATTTTCTCATGTGGATTATTATGGGACCACGTATGCACATTTCGTAAATTATTTACACCGTCCCGGGTAAAAGACGCCTCATCACTGAATAAAATGACGTTTAACATTTCGGGATGAGCTTTTTATCCAGTGGCACAAATCAATACGCTGACATGGTCGCCTGGTTCCAGATGTTGTACCCTTTGATCATGGTAAGGATACAACTCTTCATCATGTAAAGTTCGCCACAGCTGCATACGTGATACGCCGATGCGAGAGGCCTCTACGAGTGGACAGACGCGGACTTCTCTGAACCATCTCAAGAACGTTCTCTCGTGTGTTTATGATTCGTACATCCTCCCTTTCAGAGTACACAGAAACACTCAGAAGAGAACCAGTATCACGCAATGTCTGGTGAATTCGCGTAAATACACTTCGACATGTAATCTTTCAATCGTGAAAACGCCTTTGGTATTCTTCAACAGCAGCACGTGCATTGCCACCACAAAATCCACACACAAATGAATATCACAATATTCCACGTTTGAAAAGACAAAAGGCATTTCAGCAACTCCGCTCAATTAACCTACCACCCATTCAAAACGCGCCCGCAACGTATAGTGAAGGGAGCTTACGGCTAGTGTGAATCACCACACTCAAGGACAAAAATAGATAAGACGTCTCAGCTGACAGGTATAGTGCGTGGACCCGCCAGAAGACCACACTTTTCTCGGGCCATTATCTCCGTAGCCGTTCAACTTTGGACATAGGTGTTTTGGGTTATATCGGCATACTTTAACATAAGGAACACCCTCCCAAAGTTTGGCACATTTCTCCTGGGACACCCTGTATGTATAGGAAAGAAAAACAATGATATACCAAGAAGTTCTTCTGGATTTTCCCCTCTTTCATGCAGTCTTCTGTAGAATTCTAGATACGCAAGATATGGTCCACGCAACCGTCTAGAGAGAGCCTCATTTTCTGATAGGACAAGGGACAGAAAGTCCTTGCACATTTCAAGTGTACTGTCTGCAACCTGCCACCTTGCATCGATGCTCCTGTCACTATCAGACGGTGTCACTGGATCTGTCACCTTAGCTGAATCATCTTGGCCCGAATCAAGCAATGCTAGAGCAGATGTGAAGTAGCCCATATAATAAGACCAGCGATCCATACTGCAACATAATGGAATGAAAGTTTAAATAAAGCTCTTTTCTCTTGCACAGTGACTTCAGGGTAGTATTCAGAGGTCATTCTCAGTCACAACTGACAAATGCATGAACATGGACTGGCACTAGCAGTCCAGAACTGACCACCACATGCAAAGAAGGAGCATTTTCCCTGGGAATAGTAAAACCACAGCATGAAGCATTTAAAAATAGGGGCAGATTAACTTTCACCTTTGCATACTCTTTACACAACTCGTAAGAACATACACATATTTACTTATAGGGCATGTTTATGTCCAAATCTGAACTCGAATTTCATACTGGAAGCAAAAACCCTCTACCATTCTTCACATATGAAAGGGCTGCAAGTTAATGGTATCACAATCCTTTACTGGACTTAAGGGTTTATATTTCTACGAAGTGCTAAACTGAACAATATATATTTACTTACAGTGTATATTTATGGCCTAATCTAACTTCTGAAACATCACATTAAAAGCATAAATGGTCTGTATACATGAAATGGTTATAAGTTTAGAGAATGGCAATACCTTATTTGACTTGAGGTTTTAAAACAGAAAACAAACGCCATGGTTTTACTCGGCAAGCCAACTATACCGATCGAATGAATGCCGCTCGTGGACAATCGCTCGAATACTGGGCAATACGTATCTACTTACCGAACCGAACATGTTTATGTATAACAGTGGTAGTAGGCTTGGGCAGTGAAGTTGTGAAGGATATAATAATGCAATATACAGCAATAAATAGGATTTGAGGTTATCACAATGGTGGTGACAGAGTTCTATTTTCTGGGATATAACACTATGCAGTCTATTGAAAGTCAACTATCACTCACCTTCATCTTCAAGGATAAAGAATAAGACAAGCAAGAAACCAGCATGAAGTAGCCTCTACTTTCTTGCTGGATTTTTGCTTCGATTACTCTTCCACCCTAAGATACAGACAGAATGTTCCTCCAAAATGCTGATACCAGACTACATGGTGCTACAACCCAGAAAAGCACATTGTCAATTTTTACTGCCCTCAAAGCTTCAAATTTTACATATGTCATCTCCTACATAATGCCTCCCTCAAGTTTACAAAGCACTTACTCTTCTCGTAGGAGCAATTTGTACAGGATATTAGAGTCCCGCCACCTTCCCAACTTCATAAGTAGGCCAGCTCTCTTCAATGGAACAAACACATATGATATAAGCTTTTCGCCCAGTGGTCCTTCGACAACTTGTAATGCCTCCTCAAATTTACCCTGGAAAATGAAAACAAATGATGATGAAGAAAAATGGTTTCCCTGAATTTCTCTAAGAATATTTTCACCTTTACATATCTCCAAACATAACTCAATGAAATAATATTTAATATCTCCTTCTTAATAATTACTTTAAAAATACAGGTAAATTTTAGTTTAAATAAACAAAACTGGACTTCTCACACATCAATAAGTGTTTTAACAACATACACACATAAAGAAACATTAATAAAAGACCTTTCACTCTGGAAGTTCATCAGATGATTCTACTTTGTTATCCACAAACTATAAAATTAGCTAGTCCCCACTACACAGCACAAATGATGAAACTATTGCCAGTTTGGTTGAAAATTATGAAACACATATTATGCAATGAAGAAAGTTGTCTTCTGGGTTTAGGCACCGTGTATTCTTCGTTTTGGCCGACGTTTCGGAGGAACGTAGCGCCTCCATCTTCAGAGCAGTTCAATAGCTGCGGAGAGCAGTAGCTGTGGTGATAGGATGTGGAAGGTGCTGCTTATATACGAAGTAGGCAGTGGGGTGGTTAGGGAGAACGGACCAATGGGAGCAGTGGAGAATACACGGTGCCTAAACCCAGAAGACAACTTTCTTCATTGTCATCGCCGTGAAAACCTAAAAACTTACACATATTATGCAACTTACACAAAAAGTACTTATCGTTCAGTATGTATGCACATACCACTAGTCAATCTAAAGACATTTAAACTAAATTAAGCTAAGCTAACACAGCCTGAAAAATGTGTACAGTAAAGTATATTAAACCAGATTCAGTAACTGTCACAATAGCTACTGAATTCATCCTACAACTGCATCAATGAACATAATATTAAGGAACAGGAACAGATAGAGCTAAAGATTCATATGCAAAGGGAAATGGAAATGTGCACACAATCAGCAAATACAGTGGAACCTCAGTTAACGAGCACCCCTCATAACAAGTAATTCGCATAACAAGCAAAACAAACTGTAAAAAAATGACTCGCTTAATGAGTGACGTTTCACATAACGAGTGACGAGAGGGGAAGTCCCGGATTGTGCGCTTGCTATATCAGTCTGTGTTTAGCACTCGTTCCGCTAGCATCTTAGTGTCGCTTGTGATGACACATTTTTCCAAACTTGTGTTCAGACATATTATTTGTGATTTTTTGGAGGCAAAGTTATAACCCTTGCAAAATGTCCCCGAAGAAAAAGCCACAAAAAGACAGCCATAAATGAATAAAAATAACCGTAGAAATGAAACGTAATCACTGAAAAGTGAGAACGAGGTGTGAGCATGGCTGCTCTAGCACGCACATACAATCAGTCTACATCAACGATTTGCACTATCCTCAATAACAAGGACAAGATTAAGGAGACAGATGCTTCAAAGGGACAAGAATATCTATGCAACGGTTATGTATTCTCGATGATGTTGAAAGGTTGCTCCTTATGTGGATAAACGAAAAGCAATTGCAAGGTGACACTATTAACGAGAACATCATTTGTGAGAAGGCGAAAGTGATTTTCGCCAACCTCGTTAAGAAGACACCGGGATCATCAACGGCCGAAGGAGATGCATTTAAGGGAAGCCATGGGTGGTTCTAGAAGTTTAAGAGAAGAACTGCCATCCACAGCGTTGTAAGGCACGGTGAAGCAGCAAGCTCCGACACAAAGGCAGAAAAGAACTTCATTGGCGACTTCAAGAAGCTCGTAGATTCTGAAGGTTACCTGCCGCAACGGGTTTTTAATTGTGACAAGACAGGTCTCTTCTAGAAAAAGATGCCGAAGCGAACCTATATAACAGCAGAGGATAAAGCATTGTCTGGCCATAAGCCAATGAAAGACCGTCTCACGCTGCTATTTTGTGCCAATGCAAGCAGCGATTTGAAAATTAAACCACTGCTTGTTTACTATTCAGAAACTCCACATGCCTTCAAGAAGTGTAAAGTCCAGAAGAGCAGGCTAAATGTGATGTGGAGGTCCTACAACAAGGCTTGGGTGACACATGACCTCTTTACTGATTGGATCAATGAAGTGTTTGGTCCTTCTGTAAAAAAATACTTGCTTGAGATGAATCTGCTACTCCATGTCTTGCTTGTTATGGACAACGCTCCTGCCCATCCTCCAGACATACAAGATGACCTTGAAGAATTTAAATTCATCAAGATCCAGTTTCTGCCTTCCAACACCACTCCGTTACTCCAGCCTATGGACCAGCAGGTTATTTCTAACTTTAAGAAGCTGTACACTAAAGCACTCTTCGAGCGTTGTTTTGAGGTGATTGAAGGGACCAATCTCACTCTCAGAGAGTTTTGGAAATATCACTTCCACATCGTTGTCTGCCTCAAGATGATCGAAAAGGGGTGGGAAGGGGTTACCAAGAGAACCATCACTTCCGCTTGAAAGAAGCTTCGGCCGGAGAGCGTTGTCGAATGTGACTTTGAGGGGTTTGAGATAGTACCTGTGGAGCCTGTAGTCAACAAGATTGTGTCTTTGGCCAATATCACGGGGCTGGAGGTGGATAACAATGATATTGATGAGCTAGTGGAAGAGCACAGCCAAGAGCTGACGACCGAAGAGCTTACGAAGTTGCATTGTGTTTCACAGCAAGAAGTTGTGGAGGACAGTTTGTCAGAGGAGGAGGAGGAGGTAACAGCAAAGCAACAATCTTCTGGCTCAATAAGAGAAATGCTGAAAGCATGGGAAACTGTTGCATCGTACACTGAGAAGCATCACTATAATAAGGTAGTGGCTATGCGCGCTACAAATTTATTTAATGATAATGCTGTGTCTCATTTTCACCAAATCTTGAAGCATCAGCAAAAACAAATGTCTCTAAACAGCTTTCTAGTAAAAAAATAATTAGATGTGTATCATAAATAATAAACTAATTATTTCGATTTTTTTCTGTTTCCTGCAAATCGAATTCGCATTCCAGGTTGGTTCATTCCGCATAGAAGAACAGATGAAGATGATTCACGCTCCTTAACAATGTATATATAATTTTCTTTGAATAAACGTTAAACATAAATTTTTTTTAGTATTTTCTTCGGCATAAAATGCATTATCATATTTTACATTAATTTATATGGGAAAAATTGTTTTGCTTAACGAGTGTTTCGCATTACGATTAAGATTCTGGATTGAATTATGCTCGTTAAGCGAGGTTCCACCGTACTTTGATGTGATATTATCCTAACACTCATAAATAAATTACACAATGCTTAATACTAGAGGGAGATTATCTGAGATCCTGGAACAAATTATTTGGCCTGCCTGGGGGCAAGGCACACACTACTAACATCGACTTAAGCTGTGCACATTCAGATCTGTGGAGTAGTCATCGGGCCAACAGCCTACACACACTGCAATTTATCTTCAGTATTGCCCCAGTCAAAGGTTACACAGTAGCATAGTTGGTTGAGGCACTCTGCTACAAGCATGAAGGTTGCAGGCTCAATTCCCAATGAGGTCATTAGATTTTTCAACTGACCTAATCCTTCCAGCCGCACTATGGCCCTGGGGTCAACTCAGCCTTTGAAGTGAGTACCAGGAATCTTCCTGGGGGTAAAGAGTGGCCAGCACATATGGCTGACCTCACCATTATCTGTGAGCCAACTATCTAGAAAATGTGGGAGCCTTGACCTCTCACAATCCTATGGTCCTCCACAGCCTCTTACAGAGATCTCTATTGGCCCAGTGAATCTCTAAACAGCTACTGTGAAGCCAGCTTACATGTTGCAAGCCTGTAAACCAAATTCCCAAGCCCCTGTTATCATATCAAACATTGAATGTCAAAACGTAATGTGAAGGTTACACACTGAAACAAGTATTCATGTACGATACTCAGACAGAAAGCAAGGAAAAGGTTCTGACATAAATTTCAGGACGATACAGTTATAAGGAAAAATTCACATAATTCTAAATAAATTTAAACATACTCAACTAATATTAAAAAAAAAAAAAAAAAAACAAATCAAAGGGCCTAGTGCTCACTGAAGGGAAACTGGATGAAATAATTGCTAGGCTTGAACATTCCCTTCAACCCTCAATGCCTTGCAGAGAAGACCGGGTTTAAAAAGTCAGGTTTCAAGATTCAAGTCTGCTGTTTCCAAAAAAATAACTTCAACATGTAACTATGAACACAGTGGCGCAAGGAATGTGTGCATAACAACAAGGAGGATTTCCAGCATCTGTTGTGCTGGGAGGGTCTTGCTTGTGATTTTCTGGCTTATATGATGATCACGTGCACTGGTCTGAACACTCGCAAGAAAAGTTAAAGCAAGAAATGTGTCTCTTCTGCTGAAACAGCCAAACAATCTGTAGCAGGCTCTCAGACAAACTCCCTGCATTTGACCAAATCATCAGACCTGCATCTCCAGAATCATAAGATAAAGCTGCACTTCTTGCTCCGCTTCAATCTTCCCCTCACTCACAAACTTCTTTACCATTCTCTCGGCAAGAGGAAGTACAACACTTTTGGCCAGCTTCTCGTCAGCTTTATATGCCTGCATTACAACACTCATCACAGCCCAAAAGTAATAAGGGTTCTTCGGTTTGAGCTTGTACAGTGCCATTGCAGCTTGCTGTTGTTTCTTGTAATCAGCCACACGAACATATGACATAAACAAATGAGTCAGAAGCTCTTCATTGGTTGGATCTTTCTTTGTGGCTGCCTCATATATCTCACATATCCGCTCAGCTGAAAAACAAACAATATTTGAAAGGTACCAGAAGAAACTAACATTTGGAACTGATATCATATGATCTTTATATTCTTTGGGTCAAAATTCATAAGCAGATTCAATGGAAATGAGTTATTCTCCCCAGAAGAGGTACATTACACATATAGAATCATGTTCATTCAAAAAAAAAATTGCTGGCATACGATTGTGTATCTCTCGATAACATATAGTCATCGCTTGCAACGTAGAGTCATCACATGGTACTTCAGCTCTGACAGCATCAAGAAGCTGGATACATTCATCCTCCTTTCCAAGACGCAGTAGTGCAAGAGCCTTGAGGACCTACCAACAAAATTACTCATAATGGCCCCGAGAGCTAATTCAAAATATTACATATAAGGTGAATTACAGGTAACTACAAAGCAATGCCTAAAACTACAAACGAAACTGCTGATGTCATTTTGTATACCTTTGCACACTGGAAATTCGGCTGCTTCTTAAGGACTTTCTCAGCTTCCTGCAGAGCCTTCTTATTATTACCATTGTCAAGCCAGTCTAAACGAATAAAGTTATAATTAATGAACAATACAAACGTCTACAGTCTATTCATGCAAAACCAACATGCATATTATGGCATATAAATTTCCTTATGCTACCCTACCCAGAGTCACAGAAACTTATTTACTCTCAAATCGTTGCGTACGAACATATGTCTACCTCTTATATCGCATCCTTACCATATATTGGACGAAGTCTTCGCTCACCAACACTGCTATCCACATCCACCTTGGAAGCCATATTTGACAACAAATGCTGTTCTTGTACGCAAGACGGAGGAAGAATCGCAAAATCGTCTGCTAAAAGTACCAGGAAATTTGAATAGTTTGAATTGCCTGTTTACATTACAGTCACAATAAATGAGCACAATTTTCAGGAAAGTGTTTTAATTACAAATATGTGAAATTTATATTCAGTTCAATAGGTAAATAAACCCCACTTAAAACGATAAAGTACATCAACGTGCAAAAACCAGATGATTCATTCTCTCAGTTTAGAAAAGTTAAGTTGTTACTAACTATGTCAGTAGATAGCAGCATATAATGGATTTGTGCTGTACTCTGTGAGAAATTCTCTAAACAAACCGTTTGTGTTGTGGGATGGTACAGGGGGTACAGGGCGTTCGGGTTTTGTCTATATTGGTTTATATCGGTCTATATTGCGCTATATTATAAGCTCAGACATTGCAGAATATGCACGAAGCGCTCTTTTGGTTTAGAGCACCCGTGGTGGATTTGAGGTTCACTGGGGACTAGGTGGAAGGACGTTTTCGGGGCTCTATATGGTGCAGCTGAAATAATTTTTACGACTGTGAAAACATTTTTCAGATCAATCCTGAAAATATAACAGAAAAAATACAGGAATATATGAACATCTGCTGTAACGAAATATTAATTTCATACATTAACAAATAAAATGTCTTTCCTTGATTGAGGCTTATTGATTCAGCTGTAATTTCATCCAATTATTTAAACTCAAACTATGATGAACATTAAAGATAGGACAAGAAACTTATCACTTCTACACTTTACCTTTTACACGCTGAAGGAACACGAGCGCAATAACTTGGAATGTATGTATGTTATAGGAAGTCACAAAGTATTATCAAGATCTTACTTTTATACGCCTGATACTGGCAGGTAGAGGTAAATGTAAAGTTTCCCTTGTGCTTAACTAATTCAGTACTACGTCATGAGGGCGTAAGAGGAGGGTGGATATATAAGTCCACATTTCCTGGATCTCGGCACACGTTGGATGTGAGTGGTCAGCTTCACGCACCTGCTGCTTTACCTCCTGGGGAGAAGATCCCGGTACCCAACGGTTAGGAGGTTGGGTGGACTCCAGAGCCGGTCTGGACGACGTGGAAAAGATAAAATTCTTGACCCTATCGGGACTCGAACTCCGACCTCTCGGTCGTCCAGCCCATAGCCAGTCGCTATACCGGCTACGCTATCCCAGCTCCTCCTAATACTGCGAGAGCAACTGTAAATAGAAAATGACCATGTCACGACACATCATTGTTCAGCAAACCGTGGATGGAAGATGAATGTAGGGCCGACTTGAGGTTGGAGCGACCGGGGCGGTCGTCTTCAAAAAACAGAAATAGAAATCAGATATTTTACTGAGACTTTTCTTTCACTAAAATCACGAAGCGATATTTTATATTTCTAGTACTGGTTTTAGTTTTCAGGTATTATAAGAAATAAGAACACAAAATAGAATTGTTTTTCCTGATAAGGGCCTCCACAACGGCAGATAAAAAGCAATAAAAACCTGAGAACAGAAATTTAAGTTGAAGGATGTAGCATACTTAAAATATTAACACGGTAGCTACTAGAACACTATCAGAAATGATTTCTAGTAAAGAGGCATTTACCTTGACATTCTGGAAGGATGAGTAGAAAGTCTCGCAGAACATCCCCAGGCAATAGCAGGGCTCATATCGAACTGCAGGAAAGTTTTATTTAATGGATGAGGAACATCAGCAAGAATGTTCATTTTATACACCTTCATACAGCGTATCAACTTGACGAGCAGTTTAGATATCACTGGTGGAGGAAAACTAATATTTATTTTAAATTTTACTCTGTACTCGGCCACGAATAAAGTCTCCTGATAACAAAATTCGTCCTACAATATTCATTGTAGTCCCCCAGGACAAAATTCGGCGAAGAGTCCACTACAGAGGTTTAGAAATGAAAGTTGGGGCTGAAGAAGCAGATGGACTAAATTACCTCCCCATTAGGCCTATGCTTTCATTTTATTCGTGCAAAAACGCATGAATAGGTTCACGAGCCGAAGCACCAAGGCAAAGCGGACCATGAAAGTTGTTTCACAGGTTATGGATATGAAATTAGAAAGGGGCTGATAAAGCCCCGCAGGCATCTTCGAGCTGATGCCACTGCCGTGTGCATGTTATTATGCGTGCTGCAAATGACCGGCAGCAATTTAACCTTCACTGAAATTTCAAACCAACATCAATAACTCTCGGAGACTGCCGGTAGGCCTAGGTTTTACGGCGACTGTCACAACGGGACAATGAGTGATTTCGGTTCCAGTGTTTGTGTTGTGACGCATTTATTTGTGCTCCGTTAACGACAATATAAATAGCCCAGACGCAGGAGTTTTAAGAGTTTGCAGGGCCCTGGGCCAGTGATCAGGGTGGGAACCCGGGGTACTGAAAAATGTGGTGGGGTGTGGGTATGTTAGACGCTCTGGTACTTACTACAAACAATGAAAGCAAGGAGCGGGAAACACGCAGTTTCTGTTGCAGCTAAAGGCCTTAGGGACCCTTCACTCTGTCATGCTAGGCAAGTTGCGTGCCCCCTTTTGAGCTCAGACTATTATTATCGAGTGCTGTGGTCTAGTGGTTAGGGTTCCTGGCTACAGATCCAGAGGTCCGGGTTCGATTCCCGGCTCTACCAGATTTTCTAAGAAGTAGTGGGTCTGGAACGGGGTCCTCTCAGCCTCGTGAGGATAATTGAAGAACTATTTAAAGGAAATAGCGGCTCCGGTCAAAAAACTGAAATTAACGGCCGTGGGGATCTCTTGCGCCGATCACGCGACACTCTCCATCCGCTAAAGTTGGCACTAACTTCGCCAACAAACGGGGGTTGCTACAAAGTAAGGTGGAAGGGTGCGTCGATTAATGATTATCAAGAATGAGAGAGTTGGTTACATATATGTGTGTGTGGAAGGCCACTCTTGATTATTGAATATGCATGTTTGGAAATGTACGCATTATTTCATTTTCTCAGAAATCGTGAGAAATACAGACATTAGGTAATACATATAAAGTTTGTGTTTTGCCTTGAGGCGCAGCCACGAAGGTCACTACGACCATCCGTCCATACGTGAGCATCAAACAACTCAAAAATCAATTAACGGATTTTCATGAAATCTAATACTGTGAAATTTTAATAAAATATGTCGACATATTAAAATTCCTTTTAAAATCTGTCAAAAATAATGGACACTTTAAAAGAAGAAGTACGTGTGTTTCTGTGCATATCTCGATTGTAAGTCACTAATAACTTATTGGAGCAAGAACGCCCAGAACAAAATCTGTAGAGACAAATGAAACGCGCCCTTTATGTTCAATGCACGTTTTCGGTTGATCGTGTAGCTTGCGCGACAATGAAACAGAAGGGACGCTATGTGAACGTTCCCGTACGTTCTCCAGAACATATACGAGTGCCACCGAATCTTCCTCCCACTTGAATTTATAAGTCCACGCACATGTATACAACTATATATTTAATTAAAATATGATTGATCGTGCAGATGAAGCCTTTTACTTTTGACCACACTAGACAGATCTACATAAAAAGAAACACTTCAGTTGTTTCAGTAAAAGATAGGAATCAAGAAAAGCGAACATAAATTTTTGACTGAATTCATACTGCGCTGAAATCAGTTTTGCTTTAATTTTGTAAAGTAGTATTACATTCCAGTACGAATTAGTAATATTTATATTGCGACATGGCGCCTGAAAGCCAGAATAGAAGATCCAGAAGAGACAACCGAGTAAACATGCTTCCACGGCAACAAAATCACGTGACTGCAGCAACGGACACACGCTACAATAGAGTAACTGATGGAAGCGGTGATTACTTTTGCTTCCTCCCCGAGGTTACATAACGAGGACCCCATCCAGGCTGAGCCAGTTTGGTGGAATCTCCAGTCTGAGATAGTAAAATATGGTCTTGAGTCCCGCGGGACTCGGACCCGAGAGTAACTGCCCTGGCGAGGATCAGCAGCAGTTGTAAACAACAGACCCGTCCTCTCGTCAGTAAGGGCGCCCCACACCAACAAACCTGCAACTGCCTGATAGTAACAAAAATCTGATCTAGGGCCCAAGATGGAGTTTGACACCAAGAGAGACTGGCCGACTGACCGTCGGTCGTAACATAATTTTGATTTTGACTCTACTTACTGAGCCAGCTTGGAAGCGGGTTCGAATACCTCCACCGTAGCCCTGCAAGGCGTGGGAGGCGACGAAAAGGGAACCTAGTGTCTGAGGGTTAGTTTCATGGATGAGGTGAGACTGTGTCCACTTGGTACGTCGGCCACTAATTGGCCTCTTGTATGAGAATGAATGTGGAGGAGTCGGTGGAATTAGAACTGACAGGGGAAACCGAAGTACTCGGAGAAAACCTGCCTAGTGCCACTTTGTCCATCACAAATCGGACATGACCCGACCTGGGCTCGAACCCGCTCCTTAGCGCGGGAAGCCGGTAACTAAGCACCTGAGCTAGGGCACGGCCTCTGCCTGGTGGTATAACTAGGGCACCCTATTCCTGGTGTATAAAGTAGGGGGACCTTGCCCTCCAGGTTGCGGGAATTTCGAATCTGAAACAATAGAACATGTTCACGAGTTCAACGGGACTCGGACCCGAGAGTGACTGCGCTGGCGAGGTCCAGCAGCAATTGTAAACGACAGACCCATCCTCTCGTCAGAGATGACGCCCCACATCAGCAAACCTGAAAATGTCTGATAGTAAGAAAAGTCTGGTCTTGGGCCATAAACGGAGTTTGACACCAAGACAGACTGGCCGGCTGACCGTCAGTCGTAATTTAATTTTGACTTTGACTCTGACTAAGCCAGTCCCAGTCAGTCCGAGTCTGAGATTGTTGTGAGAGAGTCGTACCCTGGCAGAGGACTGGGAGCAGAGGCGGAGGAATCCCCAGTGTTTGAAGCCGTTGCGTAACAACGCCTTGTGAAGACAATAACGAAGCAACGTCTAGTGAACCCGTGGATAACTGAGAAAAGTAGTTTTGCGTACTAGAGATACAAGTTGGGTAACTGATCAATAAATCCAATTACCAATCCAAGCCCCGTCTACAGTCACTCAGTCGCGTGAAAATATATAATTCCTCCTGTCGAACGCGCCTGTTGACTGTACTGCTGAATGTCTTGACTTGTACTGTCTTTCTCTCTACATCTTTGTAGTAATAACAGTGTAGTAGTAACCATGACTAATACGTGGGCTTGACAAAGAACAAACCCACCCTCTCTTCAAAGAGGATGCCCCAGACAACAAACACAAGTGTCTAAACAGACTGAAAAATCTGGTCATGAGCCCCAAGATGGAATAGACACCAAGACAAGCCGACTCACAGTCAAGAGGCTAGACACCAAGCAGACCCATCCACAGCCGCATGCAAATGTTACTTGGATTTGGAACCTGCAGATGACAACTGCAATGTTCTTCGAAACGTTGTACAATCTTCAACATTCTATGCAGTATACTGCCAAAAATCAGAGTCACACGTGGTTACCATTGGTACTACGGTTACCATGGTTATTATTTGTTACTATAAAGAGTGTCCGGATGAAAGGTATCCAAAATAAAATCATTATATCTCAGAAAGAATTTATTATACACATTTATGGGTTACACCATTACAAAGGGAAACTATCAAAATTTCTTTTCTGCATATATAACTTTCTCAATAAATTTAAATGTGGGCTTCCTTGGTGACACGACAAGTATGCAGACGGTCCAACATGTTTGGTGTTACCGTAGCCACAGCGTCCCTTATGCGGGCTTTCAGGTGTTGTAGGTCGTTGATCTTACCCTGGTAGACAATGTTCTTCACATAACCCCACAAGAAAAAATCAGTGGGGTTAAATCTGGCGACATAGGAAGCCAAGCGATTGGTCCACGTCTGTCAGTTCATACCCCAGCCATCTCTGTCCAGGTGATTCCTAACATGGTGACAAAAATGTGGCGGCGTATGGGCGTAAGCTGGGTATGAAAAAGAACTTTCAGAGTTTTCCTTTCCGATGACATAAACCGGATACGTGTATGACAATTAGTTTCCGAGATATATATTTTTTTATTTCTGATACCTTTCCACCGGCATGGAGAAATGGAGCTAGTGTCGCCCGCATCTCAAAAATGTACGGCCGGCACATTTATGGAATTTTCTGACGCCGTTCATTTCCGTATTTAACTACTTCGTATGTGTAAACAGCGTGTGAATTAGACATTACGAAAGTGTACTGGACTGTTTTTATTTCATATTAACTCTGGGCTCGAACTGTAGCCGCGTAGAAAGTCAGAATTTGTAAACAGAAGCACAAAACCTCCAGCATTCAGAGCAGTTTACTTCCTCACGTCGTACTTACAAAAGTAACACGCTCCAGTAACCAGGTCACTGTATGTGTGTAAAATGCGTGACACAAGATACGTAAAGGAAATGGATATTCTGGACTAGAACTTTGCATGTACGAGGTCATGGCAGCACGAAAGAATATGCTCTGGTTTTAATAGCATGACTGCTGATTAACAGTTGAGAAAAGCAGTTCCGAAGAGTACAGTCTTCTGAGATGTGACCGGATGTGACGCCCTTAAGGCAGTTACAAGTTCACAGACTTTCCGGAAGAACTTACTATCTCCATCTTCAGTCAGTGAGTAAGAGGAGCAACCAACGAGCAAGCAGCTAGACTTATACACACTGCTGTATGTAACGCCACCGACAAGCGGCCTCCGTAGTCTAGAGGTAACGTTCCCACCTCATGACTCGTGGTACGCGGGTTCAAATACCCGGCGGAGGTCGTCGAATTTTTAAGGAACAAGTCCTCCGAGAGGGACTTTAAGCCGTGGGTCCCGTGTCGTAGCTTTACGGCACGTAAAAGAACCTCATATCTCCAAAGGAGATCACTGAGCCAAATTCAACGACATTTCCCGCCCAACAATAGTCTCTAAGGCCTCTGATAGATGGGGGAAGCATTATAGACACCGCCAAGCCAGTTGAGAACTCGCTGGCTCGGTCGGGACTGATGATACGCACCATTATCGGTAGGGTATAGAGACTGGTAGAATATCATAGAGGGAAGCACAATGGACCAATATGGGTCTAAATGCATGGGGAAACCCACCTTCTCCAATAACAACAACGCCACCGGCAAAGAAAGGACCATAAGGGGGCCGATAAATCATTCCCAAATGTATTTTAGCCAGTATAGTCACATCTCCACACATATCGCACGGAGAGGCGCAGGCACCTGTGGATGCAGGACAGTGCAAACAAGCTCCTATCAACACCACATCGGGTTCCAATAGAGAAGTGATAAAAGGAACGATTAAAAATAAGTTTTCTTAGCTCAAAATTAGAAGAAGCCGGAATGGCTCAGCCTGTATAGCGACGGACTATGGGCAGAACGGTCGGGGTTCAATTCCCGGCAGGGGGAAGAGATTTTCTCTACTCCATAGCTCTGAGGATCATGCACCCTCCTATCCAACGTGTACCGGGGGCTCTTTCCGCGGGGGTAAAATGAGAACAGCTTTTTTTATTTATCTCGTAAACAGCAAAACTTGCTGAAAACACGAATCCAACAAGAGTCGTTTAAATTTTTCTCTACAGCGTTTGTTCGCAACATTTTTCACTCAGTTAATGCTTAGTCAATATGCACAAGGAAACATAAGTTTTCGTGAAAGCGTCCGTTATTTTCGTCCGATTTAAAGCAAAACTGGAAAGTGTCGACAACGTTTAGTAAAACTGCCTAATATTAAATTACAGGAAAATCCATTTAGCGGTTCTGGAATTGTTACATATAGACATAGAGGTAAATATGGCAGAGCGAATAGGTGTATTTTTGCAGCACTGAGAGCGCGTCAAACCCGGAAGAAGAATCGGGGAAGAATTAGTAGAGACTGTTTCATAAAATTAAGTTTGTTTCCATACCTCCGGTATTATATCAGGCCTATACTACACGCAATTCCATATTATGCCACATCACAGTACATTACATGACTACACCTGTTGGATTTTTATGAACTGTTACAAACCACACACAGAATATTTTTAAGTTTTACATGAAACACTGCTTATATCTCTTCACCATGACATGTCTCCTTCAAAAAAGAAATTCTTCTAGGCGTTCTTCGCATCAGAAATTTGATTTAGAGCACTACTAGTCTAGATTTCAGCAGTCTGTGAGTCAAAATGAGTTTTCTGCTACTCCACCAGATCGTCATAGCCGACAATAAGAAATATTTACTTGGTTTAACCACCTTAATTTATGATTCCGAATACGTTCTTAAGAGGAAGCGGGATAGCTCAGTGGGCATTGCGACTAGGTTACGAGCTGGACTATCGGTATCCGACTTCCGGCAAGGTCAAGTCATTTAGCTCTTCTTCAGGCAGTGACCACCCAGCCTCCAATGTGCACCGGAGGTAATGCGGAGGGGCCTTAAACTGACTACTAACCTCCAACTAGTGTCAAGGTTAAGAACGGTAGAAACATACTTCCATTCCCCCATATGCTTTCACAGCATAGTGCTAAACCGTATATGTACAGGGATAAATGTACCTTCTTTTTTACCTTTATAAATTCTTAATAAGTACATTGTCAGTGAAAAAGCTTAGTTTACGGTTATGAAATGCAGCAACCATCCTTCCAAATGTAGCTAGGGATACGCCCACCTCACAGGTGAACACACTGTATCTGGACCGCCATGTCGCCGTACAGGTAGAGACAGACAGAGAGAGGAGGAGAATGGCGGTTCTCACAGCTGATAGCAACTCCAGTTAGTGTAGCAGTCAGAGGCTACAGACAACGACCGTCCAGTTCCGACTAACGTGTGTTGAATCATTCATTGTGCCACAAGACGTGAATCAACGCTAATGTTTTATGGAATTACTAACTGTTGCAATTGACGGAAGGTAAGTTCATTGTTAACTATTTTACATAGACCTCTCTCTTCAGAACCAGTGCTACAAATATGGGAATAAAGTTTAGCAGTACATCATACAATGGCGTTTGTAGAATTTAATTACAAATGGGGGTTCTTAAATTAAATTAACAAAGTCTGCATTTGCTATACGTTGCATCTGTTAAGCTACTAGCATAAATATAAGTCTCTTTGATGAGTTTGGTTTATTCAAAGATGCGTGACATCTGCACTGGCTAAGTAACAATTAATAGGAAATCTAATAATTAACAAATAAATATGGAAGTAGTTAAAGCAACTTGTCTCCTATGTCAAAGTATTATTGCATCAGTCGCCTGTAAGAAGGATAAAAGGTAACAAGAAAGAATCCTCAGTTACGATAACAGTTCTTCTGGCCGATATTCGAACCAGGAACGAAAGGAAAACAAACCAGGGGTGCTAATCCCTAAACCTTCTCTAATTCGGAATAGGATAACTCAGTCAGGAGAGTGACCACGGACTGGTTGGCCGGAATTGTAACCCGGAGAAAAGCAGGAATTGTTCCCCTTTTCCACTAAGTTCAGATTTACCCTGGGACTCACTCATTCTCCCATTTTATGGATTTCGGGGACTCTGTCCAAACGGATAAGGTGGCCGAAGCGTGAAATTAATTAATTATCTCAATCTAAAAACGAGATCTAGGGACAAAAAAAAATATGTTAACGTAATAGCAACCGACCACCTGAAGGCAGAAATGCAGCAAATCCCGAAACGTCCTTGTATCAAATACGTCTCAGGAAAGGGACAATGTTGCTCAGTAGATCAAGGAATTTCCCACGTTATCAAGAACTCGAAGGTCCAGTACCATGTTCCCAAGAACCATTTACAATCCCTGTGAAACTTTTCATAACATACTAGATGTTTAGTGCCTCGCCTTAATCCCAAGCAGGAGTACAACAACCCTTTGTGACTATCCGCGGTTGTTTATTCGCAGCTACTGACCATGTGGGGTCGTCTCCTCCATCTGAAACTAGAAGACACGGCAAGTCGTGGTGAAAAGAGACCCACTTAACATAGACAGTAGGCTGGAACCTCGCAAATATAGACGCTTATGTGGACATAGACCCTGTATAAAACTATATTGCGGGTAAACGTAAAAAATAAATAAATTTTAATAATTCAGTATTGACATATGTAATTCATAAAAACATGATGACGATCTTAATAAATCGAAATATATGAAAGGTAAAGTTGTAGCACTGCTTGCCTAATTTAGCACTACGCCATGGAAACGTATGGGAGAGTGGATATATAGACCCAAATTTTCTTGATCTCAGCACTAGACGGAGGTGAGTGGTCAGCTTCAGTTCCCTGCCGCTTTACCCCCGGGGAAAGGGCCCCCGATATACATTAGACAGGAGGCTGGGTAGGCCTCAGAGCCGGTCTGGACGACGTGGAGAAGAGAAAATTTTTTACCCTATTAGGACTCGAAATCCGACCCCTCAGTCGTCCAACCCGTAGCCACTCGCTATGCCGACTCCGCTATCCCGACTCCTCTATTCCTGTAAGTAATTGAAGTAAAGGTAAAGTTGTCCCTGTGCTTGACTAATTAAGCACTAGGCCACGAAGGCGTATGGGGGCGTGGATGTATAGAGCCATGTGTTCTTCATTTCGGTCCTAGTTGGAGGTGAGTGGCTGGCTTCACTCCCGGACCTCTTTACACCCGGGGAATTAGACTCCCTTATCAATTACATAGGAGATTTGTTGGGCCCCAGAACCGATCTGGACTACTTGGAAAGGAGAAAATCATGCCTCTACCGGGACTCGAACTCCGACCCCTCGGCCGTCCAGCCAGTAGCCAGTCGCTATACCAACTGCGCTACATCAGTACGGCATAAAAGTTTCTTAATTAAACACCAATTTATGAAGACTTATCGCAATGTAGCGATAGGCCTATATCTCCACGCATTCTTAACTTTGCACGAGAAGAAGATGAACAGTTGGTTTCATGTTCCGGCCGCCCTCGAAACCTACTGTCTCGATGAGTCTGGGAGGGGGTTCGAAAAATAATGGTGTGGTTTCGAGAACCAATATTCAGAAAAATGAGAAACAAATTGAAGAAATTAATATTTTGCTTTAAAGCGTGCCTCCAGTACTTTCGAACGTAATTAGTAATCTCCGACAGGTGCATCGTTCATGACCCAGTACAAGTCTGAGCGATATTCCACTTGCAGCCACACACGCTCTAGCGTCTCTCTATTACTCAGAGGTTCTCTCATTCTTGCTTCAACCGATTCAAGACTCGAATTTCTTACATTTTTTTTTTTGGCACTACAGCCCCAGTGGGCCTAGGCCTACCTCCATGAACTTCTCCGTTCACTTCGGTAGGACTCCTTGGGCGGGTGATCAGCTCGTCGCAACGCCTCTACCTGTACACAAACACAGAAAAACGCACACACACAAACTAAATATCCATGCCCTGAGTGGGATCCGAACCCACGATCTCGGTTTCCAAGCTAGCGAAGACAGTACATGTCTTAGACCGCTCGGCTACCGTGACCGACGAATTTGTTACATACTCGTATAAATTCAATTTTTCACATAGCCCCCCCTACAAAAAAATCTAGCTGTGTCAAATCAGGACTCTTGGTGGTCACAGAATTTAACCACCCCTGCCAAATTTCTTTCAGGAAATGCTGCACTAAGAAATTATTGCGGAACTGTTTGAGTGCAAGGATATAAAGGTACACAATTTAGTGTGTTGTCTTTTGTGTATCTGGAGAGAGAGCCTTCCAAAACCTTACCATTATTTTTTGGATGCAGTGTATTTAAAAATACGATGAACTCCTCCCATACGTGCCTAATAAACAAGCATTAAATTCATATGCAACTACTTAGTTAATACGTATGAAACTGGCGATAATGCAGATATATATCCCTTTGTTAAGGGATAAGCAGTTAGTATTGAGATTTCAATAATAATTTTTACACACGCTAAATTTAAATTAAATATATATAAATTAGTTGACCGCTTCTGTGGTCAAGTGGTCAGAGTTCCAGCTACAGATCCAGAAGTCCCCGGTTCAATTCCCGGCGCTAACAGATTTTTTTTTAGAAGTAGTGGGTCTGGAACGGGGTCCACTCAGCCTCGTGAGGATAACTGAGGAGCTACTTGCATGGAAAAGTAGCGGCTCCGGTCTAGAAAAACGAGATTAACGACTATGGGGATTCGTTGCGCTGACCACGCGACACCCTCTATCCGCTAAAGTTGGCACTAACTTAGCCGACAAGCGGCAGCCGCTCGGTTGGTATAGTTCGCTTGCGGACTAAAGCCCCAGATATTATTAGTATTACATATAAATGATTTAATATACACTTCAAATTAATAATGTAATAGATCCCTACATACATAAAATAATAAGAATATGACTTCAGTGCAGTCTAAGCTTAACAAAGGCTTTCTTTTATTTTTATTTTGTTCTATTTGCTACAATTGTGGTCAGGAGGTTATTTCGGATTGATAAAAGGAAGTGAGTTCTGAAATGTTTGTATAGCATCTCCCTTGCTTATCTAGAAAACAGTAAGACGTATGGCAAAATTGTACTGAACAAAATAAGTGCTTAATTTTTCTCCACAACTTTTGTCCAAAACACTTTACTTGCTAACAATTTTAGCGAGTTCGCTCTAAATATGGACAGAAACTTACGTAGGCCTTCGCGTAAGTGGTCGTTCAAATTGTTCGATCTAAATGAAAATTAAAATGGCTGGAGAGTTTCTGATAATATTCCCGAATATCAATTTCATGAATATCTGCCAAGCGGTTCTGAAGTTGTTTACTGGATATAGACAGGCGGAGAGACAAAATTAGTGCTCCGTAGGCTTGTGAAAAAGCATGTAAAAATAATAAATTTTTCAGAACATGGCAGCCTGTCACAGGACGGGATGTCGATTATCTTTATTCCTCGGAAAATTGATATATCCCAACACAATATTTGTATGACCGCCTTTGTGGTCTAGTGGTTAGAGTTCCTGGCCACAGATCCAGAGGTCCCGGGTTCGATTCCCGGCGCTACAAGATTTTCTGAGTAGTGGTTCTGGAACGGGGTCCACTCAACCTCGTGAGGATAATTGAGGAACTACTTGAATGGAAAAGTAGCGGCTCTGGTCTAGAAAACCGAGATTAACGGCCGTGGGGATCCGTTGCGCTGACCATGCGACACTCTCTATCCGCTAAAGTTGGCACTAACTTCGCCGACAAGCGGCGGTCGTTCGGTCGGTATAGTACCCTTGCTTACTAAAGCCACGGAGTTTGTTTTTTGTAATACTGGTATAACCTAATGCTTATGGAAGTGTTAAAATAGGCTGCTCTATCTCATTCATGGAGGTGTCAAGTCTCTGTATTGTGACGATATCTTTCGAGTTCATAATCGCAAGTCATTCTTGTGATTCAAGAATACTTCATCTTTCCTCGATAGGTTTACCCCAACCATATACTTTTTATTCTCTTATTAATTGCAGATACTTTCATATGTGCTAAACCTACCCAATTTCGTGGCTAAAGACTACTTTATTTCATGAATATCGCGGAATTTAGTATATCTGCCTACCACAGGCACTGTCAGGAGATTCTGATTTTCTGAAATTTACGTAACAGTCCACATTTCGTTCCACTCAATGTGCTTCTCTGTAAAGATTACACTTCCGGCCTTCATGATTGGCATCTATTGGTCCGCTAATGCCATGACTTATCTCGTGTGGCAATTCCAATAGGCAACTGACGTAAGCGTCTCCGATGAGTGAAAACGAAGCTGTTTGAAAATAGTTAAATCAGTGGACCATATAATGACAGTCACCACAGACTTTCAACCTGAACGTAGAAGGACACAGATACAAAAGTTTCGTGTGGCACTTCTAGCTCATTCGCGTGATCCAGACTGAAATGTTATAAATCTCCATTACAGTGATGTAAGGCATGAGAAAGGGAAACGTTCGAATTATACAAATTAGTCAAAC